CCCCCCCACAACCTCCATGCACCAACAAATGAGTGCACTATAGTTCCGTGTCTGCGCTTCAGTCCACCCCACGAAGCCCTGGGTCCTGTCCCCACATCAGCAGCCTTGCTACACTTAAAGAGCATGGACGGGGGACTGGTGTAGAACCTGCATGTCTATGTATTGTGTAATGGAAGCTTCGTAGACAGGCCACCACGTAAAGGTTTTCAAACGCTTGTGGGATGCATCTGATAAGTTGTGTAGACTTCCTTAGACTGTGTAGACTATATACTAGTCCGTAATTCACATGGGGATTAAAGAGGTTCGACATTATGCCTGGAGGATCTGTACAATTCTTGGTTAGAAAACAGAGAAACCAAAGAACTAAAAAAAATGTGGAAGAAAAAGAAAGGGATGTTCTAGGCTTTGCTCTTAATTCATGACGTTAGTAACTTGTGGTCCTAGAGAGACATGGGGGTCGGTGACTTGTGTTCCTGGAGAGACATGCGGGTCGGTGACTTGCGGTCCTAGAGAGACATGCGGGTCGGTGACTTGCGGTCCTAGAGAGACATGCGGGTCGGTGACTTGTGGTCCTAGAGAGACATGCCGGTCGGTGACTTGTGGTCCTAGAGAGACATGCGGGTCGGTGACTTGTGTTCCTAGAGAGACATGCGGGTCGGTGACTTATGGTCCTAGACAGACATGCGGGTCGGTGACTTGTGTTCCTAGACAGACATGCGGGTCGGTGACTTGTGGTCCTAGAGAGACATGCGGGTCGGTGACTTGTGGTCCTAGAGAGACATGCGGGTCGGTGGCCTGGGTCCCAGAAGAAACTCCATTCCTATCTCTTTTGTACTCTTGGGTAGTCATTGAGATATGGGCTTGAATTCCTGTTCACCTAGTTTTTTTGTGTGAATTGTGTGGTCAAGTTTGTATGTTATTACACTGAACTCTGAAGCTCAAAAAAATTGCTCAAAAGGAGACACAGAGGGGAGGGGCAGAGAAGAAAAACGATGGAGAAATGGTGTGGAAGTAGGGGAGGCTTCTTTTTTTTTTTGAGATGTAGTCTCACTCTTGTTGCCCAGGCTGGAGTGCAATGGCACAATCTTGGCTCACCGTAACCTCTCGCTCGCAGGTTTAAGCGATTCTCCTGCCTCAGTCTCCCAAGAAGCTGGGTTACAGGCATGTACCACCATGCCTGGCTAATTTTTGTATTTTTTTTTTTTTTGAGATGGAGTTTCGCTCTTGTTACCCAGGCTGGAGTGCAATGGCGCGATCTCGGCTCACCGCAATCTCCGCCTCCTGGGTTCAGGCAATTCTCCTGCCTCAGCCCGAGTAGCTGGGATTACAGGTACGCGCCACCATGCCCAGCCAATTTTTGTATTTTTAGTAGAGACAGGGTTTCACCATGTTGACCAGGATGGTCTCGATCTCTTGGTCTCGTGATCCACCTGCCTCAGCCTCCCAAAGTACTGGGATTACAGGCGTGAGCCACCGCGCCTGGCCCAATTTTTCTATTTTTAGTAGAGATGGGGTTTCTCCATGTTGGCCAGGCTTGTCTTGAACTCCCGACCTCAGGTGATCCGCCTGCCTCAGCCTTCCAAAGTGCTGGAATTACAGGCGTTAGCCACTGCGCCCGACCGGAAGTAGGGGAGTTTTAAGGCATCCAACTCATAATAATTTGTGTGGCTGTTACCCACCTTCCCATTTCCCCATCCCCTGCATCCCAGGACGTCCTGGCCTCAGCTCTGCATCCAAGACAGTGGGAAGCCTGGTTCTGGAAAGGATATGGTGCGTTGTGAAGTGACATGAGTTCCTCTGTTTTGTAAATAATTTTCTTCTTAATTTGAAAAGACATTCCACCCTTTCCCCTGAAAAAGAGTGAATTTCCTAGAGGAAGAAATTATTCATTGAACACCAAACAAACTGGCATGCATCCCATTCTGAATTTAGCTCTGACGTTGCACAAAAGGCAGAGGAGGAGCTAGAGCAGGACAGGTGGTCTTCAGCAGAGCAGACGCTCCATTTGGAGGTGAAAACCACTGGATGGAACATCAGCTCCCCAAGGAAGAGCTGTGAGTTTTTAACTAGTAAAACATTATCCGATAATGTCTCGAATCTGGGGAATATTTTCATATCCAGTCACGATGTAATCCTCCGTTTCAGGCATAAATCTTCAGAGTGATTCGATAGTGAAAGTGAACTCTGCATTTGAGTTGCTAATTTCATCTTTGCCTGTTGATTCTTTCAACAGTGGGCATCTTTTGTGTGATGAGTGTGATTTCAGGTGCTTAGATTAAAAGATGAGTAAGGTGTCAAGGTCACAACAAAAAGTTAAAACGTGAAAAGAGCTATATAACACAAAGTGTTACGGGAGGTCCAAAGAAACAAGAACACAGCATCTTCATAGAGTAGCATGTGATGATGAGGACAGCAGTGAGAGGCCAGGTGCGGTGGCTCATGCCTGTAGTCCCAGCAGCTTCGGAGGCCAAGGCAGGAGGATCACTTGAGCCCAGGAGTTCAAGATTGGACTGGGCACTATAGCAAGACCCCATCTCTACAAAACATTACAAAGCCAAGCATGGTGGTAGACACCTGTAGTCTCAGCTACCGGGGAGGCTGAAGGTGGAAGGCTAATTTGAGGCCTGGAGGTTGAGATTTTAGTGAGCCATGATCCTGCCACTGCACTCTGTCTGGGCAGCACAGCAAGACCCTGCGTGAAATAATAATGATAATAACAATAATAGTAGCAGTGGGCAGGTAAACCTGCTTTATCTAGCACTGATTCAGTATTCAGGTACTTTGTCTACAGATGTGGACACTGCGTTGAGGAGAGGGAAAGTGACTTGCTTGAAGCCTCAGTGGCAGAGCAAATTTGAACCCCCTATGATGATTCTATAGATGTGTATCGTAAAAGAACAATGTTTTGGCTAGTTCATCTGTGGAATTTTAACATTCTTTCTCAATCATATGTTAACTCATAGACCAGTATGTTTTTCTTAGTGTTCCAAACCAATCTATTCTACGTGATTTGCAGTTGATTGTTATTTTGTGTTGTTAGTATTTGTATGTTTCCCTGTAAGTTTATTGAGTCACATGTAAGCAAGAAATAATTAATGGCTTGAGAGCAACTGAAGAGGGCTGAAGGTTAAACGGTTTGTCAGCATCAAGCGTGTTCTGTATTTTTTTCTCTGAGGGCCTTTCACACCTTTATTCTCAGAGTTACCTGGTTGTACTTAAGATATATGAACAATAAGGAGAAGAAAAAACATCATATAATTCTATTATTCTCTCTTGCACAAGGCACATCTGTGGAAGGCAGAGGTTCTTGCTAATGTGTAAATGGTAATAAATTTGTTTTTAAAAATTCCCTTTGTTGGTCGGGCGTGGTGGCTCAGGCCTGTAATCCCAGTACTTTGGGAGGCTGAGGCAGATGGATCACTTGAGGTTAGGAGTTCAAGACCAGCCCAACCAACATGGTGAAACCCCGTCTCTACTAAAAATACAAAAATTAGCTGGGCATGGTGGCACGTGCCTGTAATCCCAGCTTCTCAGGAGGCTGAGGCAGGAGAATTGCCTGAACCCAGGAGGTAGAGGTTGCAGTGAGTGGAGATCAGTTAGGTAGCATTATAACTGAAAGCAAAAGCAAACTTTAAAAAAATGCTTGCTCGAGTGGTGTCCTTATTAGAAATATTAAAACTTGAAGTTTTTTCTAATTCATGACCATATCTTATGTTAATATATGTTTTATTTGTAAGGGAAAAATAAGATTTCTATTAAAGAACAGAAGTTGTTGATTATTAAACATGAGGAAGATATTTTGACTAGAGGAAATAAATGTTTTAAGCGGTTCATCGAAAGGACAGTTCAATGATTAACAGGAACTGTGCGACACCAGTTAGGCTTCATAGTTTATTTAACATCTAGATGTTAAGTGGGGAGGTAAAGCAGAAGAAATGCCTTTTATTTGGAAATAACAAAGAGCAGGGCTAAACTAAAGCAAGTTAGATGTCTGTGAGGCTTCTAGGTGAGCTGAAGGAATCTGATGTGTCTTAGTTAACATGGGATTAATGATGTTTTTACTGGAGGGTTTGTTGGGTTTTGCAAGTATAAGGGGCCTGGTCAAGGGACAACCGGGACCTGAAATTCCTGAAATACTGTGAACTGTTTGGGGGCAACTTTCACTTCTCTGCCTAAGTCACAAAAAGTTGATGTTGTTTTTAGTTCATATAAAGGTGCACATAGGTTAATGGAAACCTTGATTTTAAGAAAAATAAAAAATGGACTGGGACAAGTGGCTAAAGCCTGTAATCCCAGAACTTTTGGAAGCCAAGGCGGGCAGATCACGAGGTCAGGAGTTCGAGACCAGCCTGGCCAACATGGTGAAACCCCATCTCTACTAAATATACAAAAAAAAAAAAAAAAAATTAGCCAGTCATGGTAGTGGGCTCCTGTAATCCCAGCTACTCAGGAGGCTGAGGCAGGAGAATCGCTTGAACCCAGGAGATGGAGGTTGCAGTGACCTGAGATTATGCCACTGCACTCCAGCCTGGGCAACAGGGCGAGACTCCGTCTCAGGGAAAAAAAAAAGGAAAGAAAAAAGAAAATTACCAGGTCCTAAGCCTCAGTTTCTTGAGGATGTGGGGTGGGGGGTGTGTGTGTGCGCGCACGTGCAAGTGTGTGTGTGTGTGTGTGCATGCGCATGCACGCGCAAGTGTATGTGTGTGGTGCGCGTGTACAAGTGTATGTGTGTGTGCGTGCGCGCAAGTGTATGTTGTGTGTGTGTGTGCGCGCGCACGCGCAAGTGTATGTGTGTGTGGTGCGCGTGTACAAGTGTATGTGTGTGTGTCTGTGTGTGTGTGTATGTGTGTGCGCGTGCACACAAGCTTATGCACAGGTGGGTTTGGAGGCACGTGGCGGAAGAGGAGGAGCTGTACACAAAAGGGAAATTGTAAAAGTCTTAATGAATAAGATACGTTATTACAGTAGGGAGACTTTTCATGTTTGTTTTATTCCAGAAGAGGGCTGTCAGAAGGATGTAGAAGGCCCAGGTTTTCTGTGAGAAGCAAAGATCCTTTGCCTACACATTTTACAAGAAATGTGCAGAAAGCCATCGATAACTATACCTGGTAAGAATTCGTCTTGTTCATTGCTTCAGACAGAATCCCAAGATGCCCTAATCAATGTGGGAAGCAATCAGTGATTAGATCCATTTCCAATAGTAAAACGCACTTATGTCTTTAGCCTAGTGTAAACGTCACACTGTAAAAATATTTCAAAATTAGAATACTGTGAAATTAACAAATATATTTAATGAAAGAAACAGCAAGCAGCCTCAGAGAAGTGAGGCCGCCTTAGCGGTCCAGGCCCTTCCAGTAACTGTGGTTTCTTTGCCTGCGTTCATTCCCGCAGCGAGTCCCCGCCATCGTTTTTCTCCAGCGGAAGCCGCACACCCACGGGAGGCCACACCTCTTGGTCTGGGTCAGCCACGCAGAGCTCCACCACCAGCTCGTCCACGGAGAGGGGCTCCATTTATTCCTGGAGAGATGACGTAGGTCTTGGAATATTTTGGATCATCTTGTAATTACAATTTATAGTGGAGAATTGCTTCCTTATGTTCAATTTTTTTTTTTTACCAATTATAAAAACATGGCCTACTGCATGCATACATATACAAGCATGTACATGTTACATGTGAAAATAGATCGCTAACTATGGAGAAAAGTCAAACTCGTGATCTCCTGGCCCGTCCTAGCTGCCGGCAGTTTTCTTCTTTCCAGCCTGTAGCCAGGTCTCCGGTGTGTTCCCTGGGACTTCTTAGGTGGTATCCATGGCCAGAAATTCAGGACAAACCCTGACAACTAAATACTTGAATAAGCAAGAACTGTTGGAAAAGTAAAAGTTGTGACAGTCACTAAGATTAGAGACCCCCCCACGCCCCCCACCCCATGTCGCCAATATTCCCATTCAGATATTTCACCTTCACCTCCTACCCCTGGGGGAGCTGTTGCCTCTGGCCTGCTTTTGTCTGTGTGAGCCTGGGATTCTGGCTGGGTGAGCTCTGCTTCTAGGGCTCCAGCTCAGCTTGCTCAGGGACTCAGTGGCTCCTCCGTCCAAGGGTCTCCGAGAATCCCAGGACACTAACGCCCACCTGGCTGCAGCACCTTGGGTGTTCTGTTTTACCTCGTTTGTACTGTTTTTCTTTTCTTCTTCTTTTTTTTTTTTGGCAGAATCTTGCTCTGTTGCCCAGGATGGAGTGCAGTGACACAATCTCCAGGATGGACGTTCACTGCAACCTCCACCTTCCTGGGTTCAAGTGATTCTCCTGCCTCAGCCTCCCGAGTAGCTGGCTTTACAGGCGTGCGCCACCATGCCCAGCTAATTTTTGTATTTTTAGTAGAGACGGGGGCCTCACCATGTTGGCCAGGCTTGTTTCAAACTCCTGACCTCAGGTGATCCTCCTGCCTTGGCCTCTTAAAGTGTTGGGATTATAGGCGTGAGCCACTGTGCCCGGCCTCTTTGCTTTCTTTAAAAGTGATTCTCCACTACCATAGCACACGTGAATTGGCTTTTGCCTGTAGCTGTACAGCTGTGATTCTCAGGGGAGCAGGCAGTGGAAGGGCACCAAAGGGGTCTGGAAGGGACTCAGCTCAGCACTGCTTGGAGGACCTTTCATGCACGTGCCTCCCTCACTTAGGGGCAGCTGCCTCCTTCCTTGCCCTGATGCCCACTCACTGCCACCCCTCAAGCCTGCCTTTCTTGGTAGAAGGCTGACACCACTGCTTCATTCTGCCTAAATTCTAGGATTCTTTTAGCGCAACATTTAATGGAATTACCAGGGAAATTCATATAAATTCCATTTATAGAGTTAAAAATACTCCAGACCCAGACCCTGTAATTGCTTTTCACTTTAATTTTAAAAAATGTATTTACTTATTGGTGGGAAATATTTGCAAAAGGAACAGAGTGCCAAAGGGTAGAGAAATGAAAGTGAGCCCTCTCCCATGCCCCAGCCACCCAGTCTCCTCCTGGGAGATAAATATTACTATTAATTTTCCTTTTATTTGTATTTTAAAAGAAGTAATTCACCTTCCCTGCAATCTGGGAATCTGGTTTATTATCCGTTTGAAAGAGGAACGAACGCAGAAAATAACAAATAGCATTCTATGAAAATCAACGTGGACTGACCCTCTGCGGACAGGTGTGTCTGACTGATCACACAGTTTCCCTGTGAATTGTGGAGATTCCTGTGCTCCTAGAAACCCACATGGCAGGGATCTCATCTTGGCTTCAAGCTCTAGGAGATCTGCTCCCAGATGAGACCATCTAGGAAGGCTGAGAGTTTTTCTCATCTCCAGTTCCCTGCAGCCAAGTGCAAGAATCTCTGAAAGCCAGAGGAAAAATCAATACTCGGGCCTCACCCTACTGACCGGACTTCTTAGCATAACTAAGAATTAAAAAAAAAAATTTTCCAGTTCATTGATTTAAGGAGGTTAATAGCCCTTTCTACAAAGGTAATTTCCTTTTCTGTGGTATCATCAGAAGAAAAAAACATCTTGTGTTTTGCAGGTGTGCTTAGGTGTGTCAGACACGGCTCTGTGAGGGACCCGTGGTGCGTGTGTGCGCAGACACACAGATGTGGGCGTGTCTGTGTCTACACCGACGTGTATGGCAGTGTGGATACCTCCACCTATACCTGCGTCTGTGCGAAATCTGGAGTCTCATAACTCCTGTGTAGAATTCTGTCTGTTTAACAGGAAAAGAATCTAGGCTCAGAATGAGACGGGATTTCTCAGAGGGTGACAGCTGGAGCAGGGTGTGTCTGAATTCAAAGCCACCTTCTTTTCACCATGTGGTGCGCCTGCCTACGTCGTGGGTCACGTTAAATGTATAAGTAGCATTGACCGCGAAGGCCGAGTTTCCATCACTTTTACTGTTGTAACTAATGTGCATTTCTGCTTCAGGACTTTGATGAACCCAGCGCACAGACCGTGCAGCGGTTACTCTGGGAGGTGGAGGAAATGCTATTTGAAGGGAAGGTGAACCCTCAGACCCAGAGTCTGCTGGCCGAATGCGGGGAGTGGACAAGAAGATCGCTCCATCTGAGGTGGGGCCTGGTTGTGGAAGTTCTCTGGGGTGGGTTTTCGCAGTGCCTACCCCTGACGTGCCTTGATACAATCAGTACATTTGGACTGAGCGCACCTGCCCAGCCAGAGTATGGACGCAGAGCGCAGTCCTTCACTGAGAGGTCACTTCCCTTGTTACGGTGTCTGAGGAAATACTGAGACATTCCAATACTCATGCGCCTTTTAATTTGCAAGAAGCAAATTCAGCTCGTCCTGAGACGGGCATTGCACATGTAACAACTGCAGGAACGGTGGAGGCCACCTCTTACCTTCACATTCACTATGCGTGAGCAGCAGTGTCTGTCTTCATCCCAGAACACAGCGGGGACGGGCAGTGCTTATCGCTGGACAGCTGCTTAGGTGCGTCTTCCCATCTCACCCCATTCCCTGTGTAGGGAGGGTTATGTATTATTTACTTTTATAAAGATGGAGGAGATGCATTGGGAATGAAGGCAAGCTTTTCTTCCAGTCACTCAGCCAACTTATTGGGGGACAGTTTATCAAAGTTACCCGAGTTCCTCTAGATTCCGTCTGGGGAGGATGAATTGGAACACTCATGGAAATGTGGCCGCGTTTTCTGCTTACATCGACTAGGTAACTTCTACAGAAGTCTTGACCAACTAGGGTTTTTTCCTTTTCAATCCTTAATAAGCCACCTGCCTTAAAGAGTATGATGTGCCCACTAGATACCAATTGTGGACACTCACTTTCCTGGGTATGGTCACTCGCCAAAAACTCAGGAGCTCAGACTTATCCTTGTCACTGCTGTCTTACATCATCGATAGAAATGGAGGGAAGGCGGAGGAGAGCTTCTGTGTGCCCAGTGCTGCCTTAGATACCTGAGTGTGTCATACATAATCTCTTAGCCATTCGTCAGCCCTGCAAGGTAACCATTATCATCCTGTTTTGCAAAGGAAGGACAAAAAATCAAATCAGCCTGAGAACCTTGCCTGAGACCGAGTCAGTGGAAGAACAATCCGGCCTACACTCTCAAAGCCACACTCTTCTGTGACGCGTGATGCTTCCCGCGTACCCATACACACCTTATCATATCATACACATGCAAAATCATTGTCTCCTACTTTTAAAATCCCAACACGTTTTCCCGTTGTCTGATCCCAAATGTGAGTCGCTTCTCTTTTACCTTGCAGAGTATTAGGAAGACAGCTGATCCTGCCCACTGACGAGGGCGTCCAGCATTTCCAGGGCAGCGCTTCTGGCTCCACGGTCCACAGAGCCCCACCCAGTGCCTGCAGACACAGCAGCAACATCAGAGAGTATGTTCCGACAAGCTACTCAAAAAGCATTGTTAGCTGTATTTTACTTATACTCTTACACGTTTATCTCATCCACAAGCCTCGGCACCGCCCAGTTGGGAAATTTAGGTTCTGATGAAGGGCAGGTACAGAGAACAGTTTTTACTAGGATGCTTTTGATTCTGAATCGACAACAGGTGTATGTGTGTGTGTATATATATGTAGATATGTAAAACATATCTGGAGTACACGTGCACACAGATGGTAGTTACCTTCCACGTGTGTCCAAAGGCGCTGTGACAGGTGGACTGGGCGCAGGCTGGAAGCCGCCCCACTCTGATGATGGGTTGCAAGCTCCAGGCAGTGGCAGCAGGAGAAATGAAGCTCTGCCCTGCCATCTGTTCCCCAGCAGATTTTGATGACTCTCTATCCATTCACACATATTTGGTGTGCTGTGACACAGTGTGATCCCTTCACTGCCACCAAAGAGGGTACGGACTTGTAGAATGCTTTAGGCTTTTAGAAGCCCTTAATATTTTTAGTGAGTTCTGTATTTAAGTGTTTTTAAGGATTTGAGTTTCTTCCAATGTAACAATCAATAGTTTTTGGGGGGGATTCTGCACTTTACAGATAATTTAAAGTTTCACCATAATCATTTAAGCATTGCATTCTTGGTGTTATATGAACTCCCATGGAGATCTGTTTTTTTCCCATAGGTTGTGCATCTCTGGCTCTCAGTTAGTCCCAGCAACACCCTCAGCCCCTGCCCTGCCAGGCCCTCATGCTACAGGGATTGCTGACCTAGCAGCACATTCATCGCTGGAAGAAGAGGTTTACCTTGTGGATGGGAAGATCGAAGAGTATTTTGCTTTTGACAGAAAAGAGAGGTAAATAGGATTTTACTCGACCTTGACCTCCTAAAATAATATTAATTTATTTGACATTTATTGTTATCGTATGCTCGGTTAGTGTTTTATTTTTTACTCACCCAAAACGTTTCCGTTCTTTGGAGAGTAATGAACTCCCCAGAGCTTTTAGATTCCTAGCTGGAGGTGCACGTGTGGGAACGGTGAAGGCGTGTGCAGGATGCTGTGCCGGCAGACAGGGCTCCTCGCAGCCCTGGTCCCAGGGGCTCCGGCTTCCCTATCACTGGCTGCCCAAATCGGCCCAAGCAGCATTCCCACCTCTGCACTAAATGTGTGTTTGGTTCCTAATCAGAAACTACAAATATTACCTCATAAAAATTTGCCTCATGATTGAAAATTAAAACATTATAAGTAACACTGATGAAACAAATCTTAACAAATGTAAGAAGACTGAAATTCAGCATCGTTTTTGACCTCGGTGGTGTGAAGCTGAAAACTGGAAAAGTCGCAGATAAATATGTGCCAACTAAACAACCAGCGAGTAGGGCAAAGAAGCAACCAAAAGGGAAATCGGAAAACACACTGAGACAAATTAAAATGGAAACGCGGCATATTAAAACCAAACTCATGGGATACACTAGAAGCAGCTCTCAGAGGGAAGCTTGTGGCAGTCAATGCCAGCATTAAGGAAAGAGCTCAAACCAGCAACCTAACTTTATACCTGAAGGAAGGAGAAAAAGAGCAAACCAAGCCCAAACTTAGTAGGAGGAAGGAAGTAACAAAGATCCGAGCCGAAATAATTGAAGAGACTAGAAAAAAGGAAGGATCAGTGAAACCAAGCGTTGGCGTTTTGTTTGGTTTTGTGCCCCCGCCCAGTTTTATTCATGTGTAATTGACAAAGTTACATATGCTACAAAAGGACCATGTGTTTAACCAGGAATATGTGTATCACTGTATGTATACATGTACATACATGGATGTGTGTAGAGGGACTTATTTTAACTCTAAGCATTGATACTGTAGTAATTGCAGTGGGTCTCTATCCTTAGCCATGACAACCGTCTTGGACAAAAGCCAGCGCAGCTCGGTAGGAAATGGCGCAGACTCGGACTTCCTCCTGTTTCCCCTCATGACTGTGTCAGAGATGCCGTGACAGCAGAAGTGTTTGATCGCGTCTGGACAAATGTGGTAGAATTTTTGCAAGAGCTGATTAGAAAACACTGGGAAACCACACTCACAGGTACTTATGTGCAGAATTGGGCTTAATAAAAAGAGAAACAAAATCCCTGCTCCTCAGCTTGGCCATACCTAGAACATGGTCATTGAGACAAGTAGGTGTTCTGACCTTACTCACGAGTGATCTTTAGTCCCTTCAAAAAGGACGCTATTGTTTTTTTGCATTATAAAAAATAATGCAGTGCTGGCTGGGTGTGGTGGCTCACGCCTGTAATCTCAGCACTTTGGGAGACCGAGGCAGGTAGAGCACCTGAGATCAGGAGTTCAAGACCAGCTTGGCCAACATGGTGAAACTCTGTCTCTACTAAAAATACAAAAATTAGCCAGGTGTGGAGGTGCATGCCTGTAATCCTTGCTACTTGGGAGGCTAAGGCAGGAGAATTGCTTGAACCTGGGAGGCGGAGGTTGCAGTGAGCCAAGACTGTGCCATTGTACTCCAGCCTGGGCAACAAGAGCAAAACTCCATCTCAAAAAAAAAAAAAAAAAAAAAAACAGAATGCAAGCAGGCATGGTGACTCACACCTGTAATTCCAGAACTTTGGGAGACCAAGGAAGGAGAATTGCTTGAACTCAGAGGTTCAAGGCCAGCTTGGGCAACATAGCAAGATCCCATCTGTTCAGAAAATACAAATGAAAAGTTAGCCAGGCATGGTGGTACATGCCTGTAGGCCTAGCTACTCAGGAGGCTGAGATGGGAGGACCCCTTGAGCTCAGGAATTCGATGTTAAAAGTCAGCTATGATCGTGCCACTGCACCCCGTCCTGGGCAACAAAGTGAAACCATTTTCCCCCACAAAATAACAACGCGTATGATTGCGGTCTGGAAAACACAAAGAAAGACACAAGAACAAGGCTGGAAGTCACTTTTTTTGTTATAGTAAAAAAAAATGAACTAATCGTGAATAATTAGATATTTGTATTTAATTATTCATAATATCATCTGTCACGTCATGTCAAATGTCAATGTAGCTAATTGAATAATCCCTAACTTGTCTTGTTTCAACAAATAAAATGTTCTCTAAACTCAACATTGAATAGAAACAGATCATAAAAATGCCAGTGATGGACGCTAATGACTAGTTTCTCCATCGGTTTCTACAATAAGGCCATAATCCCGTTCACCTAAATCCTGTTCTTTTTCTGGTGTTTAAGGGATGGTTGGCTTTATCACGTGCTGAGACTCTTATTGCCCACTGTGTAATCTGTTTCTCCACGTCCCACCGTGACTCCAGTCACAGCAGCCGGTTGCTCCGTGGGGGTCTCTGCCCTCCGTAGCAACGAGTGTGGTGGGCATAGCATGGACTGGCGGTGGCTCAAGAACAGATGTTCTCAATTAAGACTGAATTCTCAGTATTTGTATTAGATAATCTGATGTCTCTGGGAATGTTGATTCTTCTGTTGACACACCAGGGGAAAAGCAGAGAGAAAAACTGAAAGTCGTTGGAAACAGACTTCTGCATGCCCTCGTTCCGCGCGCTCAGGCTGATGGAGCCAGTGGCCCTGGGTCTGGAAGCTCTGAGGCTCGAAGCATCTCCCTGGCTTCTCATCTGAACCCGCCCCAGGTCGGTGGTTTCACACCTTCTCTCTCTCTCACCTTCCGTCTGTGTGTCTCTCACTTCAGTTTGTCAAGAGCGTTGTTCTATTATACTGTAGTATTGAGATATTTGGGGCTGCCTTCCATGCTGCCTGCAGCGGGGGCCACGCAGGCTTTCCATGGTAACTTACAAAGAAACCTTCGCGATATCACAGTGCCTGGAGTTCTTGATGTCCTGCCCATGAAGGAGGAGGATGTCCTCAGGTTCCTGGCAGTAGGAGCCCAGGCAGGCAGCACCGCCCTTGGCTTCCAGATGGAGAAGTACATCCACAAAAGGAACAGCGATGGCATCTCTGTTATAAAACTGAAAGGACCTGAGAGAAGCTGCTGCTGGCAGCTTGTGCTGTTGTTGCTGTTGAAAGCCCTGCTGATGTCCCTGTCACGTGCTCCGGGAATATGGCCGGTGAGCTGTGCTGAGGTTCACTGCTGCCACCAGAGCCACTCCAACTGCTGGCTGCTTCACTCCTGGCACCTTCGCTCACCAGATCCAGGCAGCCTTTCGGGAGCTCTGTCTGCTGCTGTTACTGATCCCAGAACAACCGCCAGCCTGCCACAGAGGCGTCCTGGGCTAGCCCACCTCCCATTGCTCTGTGGAGCACAGATTCTCCTTGGTGCTGTGTGGAAGCTGCCATCCCCTGCAACAAGGGAGCTCGCTCAGTGGGCCTGAAGGGGTGGCTGCTGGTTCAGGAAGTTCTGAGCATGTATGGCACCGTTCCCCAGGAATACCCATGGGAGGTCATGCCTGACCTCTGCTTCTGCAGAGACCCTGAAGAGATTGAGAGGGAAGAGCAGCCTGCTGCTAATGAAGCTGTGGCCAAGTGGGGGTTTCAGGGGTATGGACTGCCCCAGTGCCTGCTGAGTACTGCCGCCCAGACAGGGTCCAGACCCAGCTCCTGCGTGCACTAACCCTCAGCCTGAGGCTGCAGACCCAGCTCCTGCACACACTACAGCTCAGCCTGAGGCTGCAGACCCAGCCCCTGCATGCACTAACCCTCAGCCTAAGGGTGCAGACCCAGCCCCTGCGTGCACTACCACCCAGTCTAAGGGTGCAGACCCAGCCCCTGCATGCACTAACCCTCAGCCTAAGGGTGCAGACCCAGCCCCTGCGTGCACTACCACCCAGTCTAAGGGTGCAGGCCCAGTCCCTGCATGCACTACAGCTTAGCCTGGGGGTGCAGGCCCAGCCCCTGCCGCCCCTGTGCGTGCTACTGCCCAGCCTGAGGGTGCAGACCCAGCCCTTACGTGCACTACTGCCCAGCCTGAGGCTGTAGACTGCTCTGGAGGTGCAGGGGCCCGCTATGCCCATTCAGCAAGTCTCTGCTGCAGACTGGAGCACTCAGCCTGCCGGGGAGGCCTCTTCTGCACCTCCCAATGCTCAGGCCAGTGAATGAGGATCAGCTCTCAAGCTGTTCTTCCACAGGCCACCAGCAAGACGGAAATAGGCTGATGGAAAACAAACGTCAGTTTCTATGTAAAACAGTGATATTTGGGTCTGTCTGCAACGTGATTATGTCATGAAGTTAAACAGAAATACCACGTGGCACTGCTCTGAGATGTGAATCTGTTTTCTACCTTTTGGGAGATAAAAAAACACTTTCCCCCTAACATTTCCAGCCAGTTTGAAAACTATGAATGTTCTCCCTACTTTCCACCAAAGTGATACAAGAATCGATGATGAGTCTACATTGGGCCTGCCCAGCATTTATCGTTTGCAGTTGAGGCTTTGAGGAGATACACAGGTGGATCAAGCAGTCCCTGAACCAGTGACACAAAAGCTCTGACCCGGGGCAGGTGTAATAGCTTCTGTGAGGGTCGTGCAAAGGAAGAAAGCCTTGGAGAAGAATCAGACAGCAGTTTGTTCTGATTAGAGGAGGGGGATTGGTCTTTGACACTGGAGGTGAAATTTGAGCAGGAACATGAAGACATGAGCCAGGCTCTTGTGGGAAGGAACTCTGGGTGGCCCATTTCAGGCCAAAGGCATGGATGAAGGAAAGACAGGGCGTTTTTGGGGACTGTGGTTGGACTGAACTTAGGCGTAAGAAACTGGGAATAGCAGCACAGTGGCAAGAACGGGGGATGAGGAATCGCGAGGCCTGTGAGGAGTATTTTTCTGGATATGTTGAACTTTTCTGAACTTTAGTGTCCTTAGCTTATAATGAGGACGATGCTATCTTGTCCAGGGGATTGTTGTGAGGATAAAATCATAGAAATACTGGAGAGCTCCCGCCACGGGGACCAGCACATACTAAGCACTTAATACATTTTTCTTGAGTTGCATTTTTATTGAAAGATCTGGTAGCGGGTGAGGCTGGAAAGGACATGCTTGTTCACAGGAGGCCTGTAGTGTTGTCAAGGGGGATGTTTCCACTGTCCATGTGTGTCAGGGAGCAGAGAAAACGGATAAACGCACACACAGATGCACACACACCCTACATATGCCACATGCACACCTCCACACACACCCCACACAAACACACAACACACACACCCCACACACATGCCACATGCACACCCTCCACACACACACCCCACACACACCACCCATCATACACCACACACACCCCACACACATGCCACATGCACACCTCCACACACACCCCACACAAACACACCCCACAAACACACCACACACACCCCACACACATGCCACATGCACACCCTCCACACACACCCCACACACACACACCACACATCATACACCACACACACCCCACGCACATGCCACATGCACACCCTCCACACACACCCCGCACAAACACACCACACATCATACAACACACACACTCCACACACATGCCACATGTACACCCTCCACACACACCCCATACAAACACACCACACACACACCACACGCATGCCACATGCACATCTCCACACACCCCACACAAACACAGCACACATCATACACCACACACACCCCACACTCATGCCACATGCACACCCTCCACACAACACCACACACAAACACCACACACACACCCCACACACCACACACACATACCATGTGCACATATACCACACACACCACTCACACATGCCACACACACCCCTCCACACAACACCCCACACAAACACACCCCACACCATGCACACACACCACACATCATACACCACACATACACCACACATGCCACATGCACACCCTTCACACCCCACACACACTACACACACACACCACACATATGCCACATGCACACCTCCACACACACCCCACACAAACACACCACACATCATACCCCACACACATGCCACATACACACCCTCCACACAAACACACCACACATCATACACCACACACCCCCCACACACATGCCACATGCACACCCTCCACACAACACCCCACACAAATACCACACACACACCCCACACACCACACACACATACCATGTGCACATATACCACACACACCACTCACACATGCCACACGCACCCCTCCACACAACACCCCACACAAACACACCCCACACCATGCACATACCCCACACAAACACACCACACATCATACACCACACACACACCACATGCACACCCTCCACACAGCCCACACAAACACACCACACACCATGCACATACCCCACACAAACACACCACACATCACATACCACACACACCCCACACACACATGCCACATGCACACCCTCCACACAATACCCCACACAAACACACCCCACACCATGCCCATACCCCACACAAACACACCACACATCATACACCACACACACACCACACACACACCCTCCACACAACAGCCCACACAAACACACCACACACCATGCACATACCCCACACAAACACACCACACATCGTACACCACACACACATATCATGTACACACATACCACACACACCACTCACACATGCCACACGCACCCCTCCATACACACCCACACACACCCCACACACCATACCCACACCCCACACAAACATACCACACATCATACACCACACACACACCACACACCATACAAACACATAACACATGCATACGCTACACACACACCACACACCCCATGCACCCCACAGCCACACACCACACACATACCATGCACACCACTACACACATCACATCACTCACACATGCCAATGCACCCATCTACACACACATACCACACACACACTACACATCAAACACACCATACGCATACCCCACACAAACACACCATGTATCATACACATACCCCCTGCACGCACACCACACACACATGCCACACTCACACATACCACACCCACACTACACATCAAACACACCATACGCATACCCCACACAAACACACCATGTATCATACACATACCCCCTGCACACACACCACACACACATGCCACACTCACACATACCACACATATGCCACATGCACCTACATCCCCCACACACCCCACACAAACACTACACACCCTACACATACGACATACATTATATACCACACACACACCCCACACCCCATACAAACGCATACCACATGCACACACACCACACACACACCCAACACACAGCGACACATGAAGCACACACACACCACACACCGTGCACACACAAATGCACATACACACACCACATACCACACACCAACACACATACCACATACGCAAGCACACCACACACACACCACATGCACACACAACCCACAACATACCAACGTAGGTGCTATGGGGTTCAGAGGAGAAATCTACTTTCAGAGTAGGGTAAGATATGAACCAAGCCTTAAATGATGTAGCTGTGATTTGTTGCAGTGAGAAAGGAAGGGAGACTGTTCACAGCGAAAGCAGGACTGCACACCTGGCGCAGGAGCGTCCCAACCTAAGACCTTTGTGAGACTGAGAGGCCAGAGGCCAGGACAGCATCTGTGCCTCGGGGCGGTGGGGAAAGCAGAGGCTTGTTTCACTCTTAGTAGAGGGGCTTGGCAAGAGGTCTCCGCCGTCTCTGTTCTAAAGAAACTTTTGGAATCGCTCCCTGCTTACTGTGTTTTTTGATCGCTTTAAACTGCTCTGACAATTTGCATACAACACTCTCTACTTTAAAAAAATACGTAGCATGAATATCACAAAAAGAACAGTTGATGATAATACAGAAAGGAACCTTTAAATATCAGGCAAAATAAATAGACCTGAAAAATACGGAAATTCTAGAAGCTGAGGACTTTTAAAGTAGCTGTTTTGGTTTTAGAATTCCTCTGTTTGGATAAATGTTAAAAAATAAATGGAAAGCAACGTGAACAGAGTAGAAATAGAGCCTGCTGTGAAATCCTCACGGTGTTCTGGGGTAGTTACAGAAGGTCTTTTTTTTTTTTTTTCCTTTTTTGAGATGGAGTTTCGCTCTTGTTACCCAGGCTGGAGTGCAATGGCGCGATCTCGGCTCACCACAGCCTCCGCCTCCTGGGTTCAGGCAATTCTCCTGCCTCAGCCTCCTGAGTAGCTGGGATTACAGGCATGCGCCACCGTGCCCAGCTAATTTTTTTTTGTATTTTTAGTAGAGACGGGGTTTCACCATGTTGACCAGGATGGTCTCGATCTCTTGACCTCGTGATCCACCCGCCTCGGCCTCCCAAAAGTTCTTAAGTTACTCCTCTACGTGTGATTCTGGTTGCCACATCTGTTCATGAATCAGAACAGAATTCCAGTCCCAGAAATCCTGTTCTCCTGAATCTAAATATTACTCTTATTTTTAAAGTTTTGAGTTTTACTTTAAACTCCTGGATACGTGTGCAGAATGTGCAGGTTTGTCACATAGGAATACATGTGCCGTGGCGGTTTGCTGCACCCGTCAGCCCGTCATCTAGGGAAATATTTTAAATCCTCGTTGGTCATACTGTGGGACTGAAGAGGGAGTTAAGAATCACTCAGCCATTAGCTCATGCTTTTGCAAATGTTACCTAATTAGTTCTCACAGGAGCTCTGTGAAGCTGGTATGCCTCTTCCCCAATGTAAAGAGGAGACCTTGAAACTTCCAAGAACAAAGTAAGCATTCCGGAATGACTGACCAGGAAGCTGTTAGAACGGGATTCAGAAGGAAGCTTCTCCGGAGCTCACGCTTGGGCCCCAGGCATCTCACTGCTTCTGGGAAGAGAACCCCTGGCAGGTGTGGAGGGGAGGACGGCGAGGTCTTGGGCTCACGGGCCAGCGAGGGGCCTCCATGCCTGGCCTGTGCCTCTCCTGGACCTCTCTCTGCCTTCCTCACCCTGGAGTTACCAGAGGCTGATACACATTGACCATCAGAGCTCCCTTGTCCTTCAGCTTCCAGCAGAGACTGAAGCCGGGCTCTGCTTCCCCGCGGCCTCCCTGCCAGGTCACCCTGGGCCGGTGGCGCTCCTCCCCGGTGCAGCGACCCTCTCTGGTGCAGGAACCTCTTCCTCACTTCTGGCCACTTTAGGCTGGTGTGCTGAATGTCCCCATGGTTAGGAGCCTTGGGGAATTAACCAAGTCGTTGTTCATGTCTCAGCCCATGTCTTTATAACATACCCCCCGTATTAGCTTTTCCTGCAGTCAGCCAGTGAGTGTGCTGTGCGTTTCCTGCTGATTTCTGACAGGTGTCGGTCTGGAGCGGCACTGGGCCGTTGTGATTGTTTTTTCTTTTTTTTACCGTTCTCAGGTTCATCGCTTCTCCAACAGTTTTTATAGTGACATGAATAGTGTCATGACAATTCACGCGAAGCCACTTCAGCACAGACCTGCCTGTTTTCCCGACAGAACACAGTACGTGTCAGTATCATGTCCGTATCAGTTGGCGTTACCCAGCCTCTGACTTGCGCTAGACACACTGAAGCCTGCAGGGCACGAGAGATCGCCAAGGTCCCGTTGAATCCCATGCTTCAGATGTGCCTGAGCACATCCCGGGGGAGTGTGGAAGAGCAGAAACAGGCCCTTCCGGTAGCAGCCACAACAGTGCCGGTCATGCCTTTGGTTGGGAGAGACAGAAAAGGGAGAACAGGGTCATGAAGTCTTACTCTTGTGTGCTTGACTGATTATTCACAATGAAAGCCTCAGGTCTCTTCCTGTGGATGTTTCTCCACTGAAACAGGAAAGGGTGGGTCTTTCTATTCATTCAACCAGTTCTTAAGAGTCTGTTCCAGGTGTCAGGCACTGTTCTGGGCGGTGCTCACCCAAGCCCAGGCAGTGTGTGTCCTGTTCTCGCAACACTTGCGTCTGAGTAGCTCACAGGATTTCCTTCCCCCAGGAACGAACAGGAGGACAAACCATCGGGTGGCGGGGCCGGTGCTCTCTCCTCCCCACGGCACAGACTGGGACGGGCCTCACACACTCACCGATTACTAACTTCTGCACAGAAAACGCCAGTGCCCTGGAGGCTGCCTTCTCTTGTTTCAGATTCACAGAGACTAAAAACCCCCAATGTCTATAGTGACGAAGTTCTTCGGGGAACAAAACTGTAAGTCTTGTTTGTCTCATGCTCAACGGAAGGTCACACAGGGCCTAGATGCTTGTCAGTTAGGGTCTGTGGATGATCCCGAACAGGGCATCCTCTATCCACTGATATGCAGACATTCTCTAATGAGCTCAGTGAGTATTTAACATTCAGCTTGCTCCGGAGTCTTTCTTCGCTGTATACTAGGACATAAGGTCAGGCTCTCTCTGTGACACAGGCAGAATGAGCCTCTGATGGTGGGGTGACCTTGGGTGCATTTCAGTGGCCTCCCCTGTAAAATAAATAATTAGTTAATGCCTTTAAATTACGTAATTAATACTTTTTCAGGGGAGGTTTAAATAAAATAATGTATGTAAAATGCTATCAAATAAAAGGACTGTGTCTGGGATTCTCTTTAAGGCTGCTCTTCTCTGTGTAGGAGTTTCAGCGAAGCTTTTCATCTCAGGGATTCACATCCCACCGTGGGTCATTAGAAAGGTTCTTGTCTCTTGCCCTCCAGCTAACTTACCAGCAAAGCCAGTATTTGTGTAGGTAATAGCAGCTAATGTTACCGATGACCTTCCTTGTTCCCAGCACCAGGTAAAGGAAGTACGTTTGTGGTCTTACTTATTCCCCACCGCGAACCTTTATGTGGGTGGGACTCATGCTATCCCAAATCTGAGATGAGGAAACTGGCCAAGCCTGCCAGAGATCCTCCCCCAGGGAGAGGCTGAGCTGGGCACACCCACACCCACAAGTGCCCTCCAGCTTCGGAGACCACCCACTGGACCCCCCGGCCTGCAGGGAGGCGTTATTAGGAGCTCACTCAGGAGCGGGCGGCTGCCGTCGCGTACCTGGTGGCTGCACTCTCCAGATGCAGTCATTATAAACCCCCTTTCAGCTTTTTAATAGGTGCCTGTTGCTTTCAGTTTGGGGCGGATGTTTCCAGCTGTGTTGGGTCTGCTGTGCTGATTCTGTACGGGTCCCTTTGCCTCCTCTGCCTCGGTTCCCCGGTGCCAGTCAGCAGCACACAGCAGCCTCTCTCCTCCTGCCCCAGCCTTCTGGGCCCCGCTGTCACACTTCATCAAGTGGAAACCCATCTCTGCTTCCTACTGAGATACATTCAGATGCCTCTGACTGCACAAATCCCTCCGTGTTCTGACCCCTCTCTCCCTGTAGGCTGGTGATTTTTGAGATTTCTTTTTATTATAGCCACCGTGAGGAGCCCTTTTACACTGTGCTTCCTGGTTGCTCTCCCACGCACGAATTGTAGTCCCACAGACAGGCTGTTTGTGTGCATAGCTGTGCTCTACACATAAAAGGGAAGCTGCGGTTTCACAAGGACAACGCCATCCCGTTTGATCATGCTGCCTCACCTGGCTTCTCACCTACCTGGATTCTGACCCGCCTCATGTTCTCTCTGACCCTCCCCCCACACACCAGCTCTGCATCTTCTCACCGCCATCCTCTGTCTTTCACTTTTATCAAGATAACATTTTCCCCTAATTATCAGAGTGCTGTAAGTTTCCTGGGGGGCATCAGGATAATACCACAAATAGCAGACATTGAAGACCTCCTGTGTGCCCCAGAAACATAGAAGTCACAGCTCTTGGCAGATTTCCTGTCACTTGCCAGTTATCCATCTACCCGTGTGCTCAGTTACATGATGCTGTGTTGCAGGTTGACTGGCGTAGACCACATGGCTTCCCCGCTGCTTCAGACCTCACCAAGCAGGTTACCCCCAATTGGCACAGAGACCAGGGAGCAGAACACAGCAGTTCCTGGATCCCGCCTTGTTTCTGTAAGACACAATTCATTCCGTTAAGTGGACCATTTAGGCAGTATATTGGAAAACAAACAAAAGCAACCTTGGCACTTCCAAGTGAAATTAGTAACGTAAGATCTGAGCAGCTGTATTCAAACGCCTTCATAATCGGTTTCCAGAAACTAAATGGCTTGTGAGAATTTACAGGGAGTGACAGGTTAATTCACCATTTTGTGAAATAAAAGCATGCCTTGAACTAAATCAGGAAGTCCAGGTGTCACGGAAATATCTCATCAGATGGTGTCGCAGAGAGAGCGTGAGATTTGGTCAGGAGAAAGGAGGGCCACGCGATCCTGCCTCAGAAACCCTTCTGTGATTTGGTACAAGTCACTTTAATCTACCCGAGCGTTGGTGTTCTCCTCTATAAAAGGGGACTAATAATTGTTAACCCCAAAGAATTGTTAGAAGGATGAAATGAACTCATCGGTGTTGAATGATTCCTGACGTGAAATCGTGAGCTCAGGAAATTCTGACCCTGCTCATTTTTATCAGGTCTCATTTTTACAGCCCACCTTTGCCATGTCTGTTGCAGTGGAGGGTGATACCTCTGCGCTCAGCCTCCGCTCAGCCACGCAGTCACACAAGGTCTGGGGAGCTGCTGCCAGTACCATGACCAGCTGCCCCCCGGGTTTATAGCCACCCCCCACTCACTCTCACGCAAGTAACTGGTCTCTATTCATTTTATACAACACAGAAGGAGCCCTGTTGTAGGAACATGAAGACATAGAGAAAAACCCTGCCCGGGGCAAGGTTTTCTCTTGTATTTCCCCTGCCACCTGGAGCACAGCACTAGAACGCATTCCCAGACGGCCAGAGTTGCAGCGTGTTAGCCTTGAACCTTCAAATAACTTCGTTTTAGATAAGGCGAACATCACATTAGAAAGCCCGATACTTCACAAATGCGGAATTATATTTCTATTATGGTTTAATATTAAGAGATGAATGTGGCACAGGTTTTTTATCTCTCTCTCCCTGTGGTGACACTGTCATTTTATCAGGTCTAATAGTGCAGTTACATTATCAAAATATATCTCCTCAGGTATTTATCCTTAGGAGACCTGATCCCTAGTAACGTCTAATTAAAAGTTTCCAAATAAATGAGTGAATGGTTGAGCACGTAGAGATTTTCCTTTGTGTTTTTAAGGGTTGTGTTTATTTTAAATGAGAACATATCCTTCATTTAGTACAGAGGAAAGCATCCACAAAACTGTGTGCTGAGGGCCGTGCCTGATGGTATAGAGTGGTCACCTCTTCGAGAAAGGACGGCCACCGTGGAACAGCGGTCAAGGCCCAGCACAACCCATGCGTCCCGGGTGGGTGCTCTGTTCACTGGAACTTTAATTTTGAAAAACATTTGAAAACAATGAAACTTGTCCCTGATGTTATTTTTTTTTCCAACAGTTGGATGCGCCTCGAAAAAGTTCATTGACCCAAATGGAATTTGCTGCTCACACATGGACGGGTCAAAGTATTTTAACAGGTCAGCTTTTCTCCATGTATAAATAAGGTGATGTAATAGGCGAGATTTCAAGTTTCAGAAAGTGAAGTGGAAGATTATCTACCTCGATAAGCCTGTTTTTCTCATGGAGGAGGGAACAGCAAGTGTTTGTGGCCGATGGCCTGACCTCAGAAACCTCAATCGCAGAGCACACCTGCACAGACACACCCTTACTTACCTGCCCTTAGGTCAGCAAGGGGGAAATGCCCACATGCTCTCAATGAGCTGGGGGCCTCGCTCTTAAAAAATGCTGTCTCAGGGGCAGTCAGTACCTCCGTTTGCTATAGAGTTTTCATGCTCTATTTCTAAATGCAACTCTAATCTCAAATTCTCTTTGAAAATCGAATGATAAAAATGCTTGAGAAAGTTAACACAAATTTGCTAATTGCTTTATAACATCGGGTTTTACAGGTAAGTACATCTCAGCCTTGCATGTTGTTTGCAGGAGAAAGTTCTAGTTTGAATACCGGCCGGCGGCGTTTCCACTTCCAGTTACCAACACTTTTTTCAGGGCGGCGGCGGGGCCTCATCAGGGGGTGTGCCGCTCTGGAGTCTGATGTGGGATTTCCACCGTCGCTCTGCTGCCGGCTGTGCAGCCCTAGGAATGTCCCAGTCTCCCTGGGCCTCAGCTTCCTCTTTTATAACAAGCTGGGTAGATAAAATAACTACTGGAAATCTGTGAAAAGGACCTAGCTAGATGCCAGGCATATATTGCTCAAGGATTATGACTTATGATTGTTCCCATTATAGATAATCTGAAATGTCGGGGATAATTTATTGTTTTACAGGGAATCTTAAAGGTATTATAATTGTGAGAGTGAACTGTGTGGGATGTAGGCCTTCTATAATGCAGCTCTGTCACTGTTCACAGCAGCACCTTCTGCAGCCCTGCAGTACGGCGAGGTCAGGGATGCTCCAGCTCTTTCAGATTTTGCTCCTGTGCTAACGGCTCCGGGCTCTGTGCCTTTCTGTTGCCTTTTTGTTGGTGTATGTTCTTCAGCAGCATGAGCGGCTGTTCTCATGGCAATGGCTCATTGTCTAAAAGGCAGCCATGCTACATGGTCGGGTGTTGCTTTTTTTTTTGAGTTGGACCTACTGCAATGTCCAGGCTGGAGGGCAGTGGCACGATCTCAGCCCACTGCAACCTCTGCTTCCTGGGTTCAAGCCATTCTCCTGCCTCAGCCTCCTGAGTAACTGGAATTACAGGTGTGTGCCACCATGCCTGGCTACTTTTTGTATTTTTAGTAGAGATGGGGTTTTACCATTTTGGCCAGGCTGGTCTCAAACTCCTGACCTCAGGTGATCCACCCACCTCGGCCTCCCAAAGTGCTGGGATTACAGGCGTGAGCCACCGTGCCTGGCCTAGGTGTTGCTTTTAACACAAGTGTAGATGCTCGGGGGAAAGTAGCTGGTTAATCATCGACGGTGTATCGAGTGCTCACCCAGTGCCAAGGTCTGTGCTATAGGCTGGGATTCAAACACGAGGGGTGTTTCTGTCTGTGCCTCAAGGAACATTGAGCCTGGCAGGGAAGCTGGAAAAGGCTGTGAGAGGGCGGGCAGGAGCACCTGGTTCCCCTGTCCGGTGGCTGGAGGGCACAGAGGCTTCCTGCAGGAGATGGCCTTCACGAGGGATGAGAGAGAAGGGGCCGAGGGCTGACAGACATGTCTGCGGATGGCCAGCGGTGGGCGGTGCTGAGAGAGGGAATGGGGAATTCTGAGCTTTTGGGGATGCTGACTGCAGCGTGCCACGTGGAGGTGTCCAGTGGGTAGTTAGGGTACACATAAGTGGAGGTTTGGACAGGGAACTGGGTTCTGAACTTGCTTCAAATCTGCACTGTTAATCATTCACCAAATGTCAGGTCAGTGTATTCTCTCATCAGTAACGTTTTTTTTTTTTTTTTTTTTGTTTAAAATAAGCTATTTATTTTTTCTACAATTATAAAAATAATACATTATCAAAATAGACAACTTGCAAAACACAAAAATCCACCAAGGAAAATACAACCAAGGCCCCCTGATCTCACCACCTAGAGAGAACACGGCTCAAAGATGTGAGCTCTGATGAAGGTGTGACGTGGCACATGCCCAGTGCAGATGTCCCAGGCTCCAAGTGAGGCTGCAAGTCGCCCACACATGCAGATCAGGAGCCCTAAGTCTTGCCCTTCAAAAACGAAAAGCCGCTTCTCCTCCGAACACTCTGTCACGGTCAGCCCACCACGCCACTCACGCCTCTCTGGCCACCAGCTTAGGCAGCTCACCACGATCTGCTAGAACATTCAGGAATGAATTAAAAAGCAGAGTGGATTCATGGTGACCTCTTCGGAATGTCACTCACTGCTTTCTGGAAGAGGAGAGGTGGGTAGAGCCAGTGTCTGGGGACTGCAGTGACCCGGGGGTTCCCACAGGAGGTCCATTAACACGTGGGGTCACATATGGCCGCTTAACTTGTGCAGGACCCAGGGAAGGGTCCACACCTGTCATCAGCGCGTCACTGCCTCTTAAATGCTGACCCAAGACTAAAGAGCTATTAGAAGGGAGCACGCAGCTGCCCAAATGCACAGTTCCAGACTTTCTGCATCTGTAATGACAAGCTAACACTGAGTTCTTTGGTTCAGAATATTTCCCCTCCTTAACCGTTTTTTAATGCTGCAAAGCTCAGTGTGAAGGGAATGTCCAGGCTCCCTCAGGATCACACTGGTTTCTCCTCCCTTCTACCCTGTGCGCAGGAAAACTGGCCACAGGGGACTCCCTGGAGCCCCACCTGGCTCCACAGGGCCTGTGCAGCTGGGAAGGGAGGGCACAGACGCCCAGGGCTGTGGGTGCCAGCCTGTGCATTCTCCGAATGGAGAAGGCCATGCCTGGTGGTGGTGAGAGACACAGGCCTTGGCACGGAAGTCCTAGCTCTGCTGCTGGCTGCTATGGGACCAGGCATTCCCTACAGGTCCCAGCTTCCCCATCTGTAAAATGGGAATAACACTCATTGGCTCCCTCATGGGCTCCTGAAGGGATGGAATAAAACACAGAGCATATAACGTGGTGCCTGGTGCTTAACAAGCCTCAACGTGTCCAGGGACCCATCCTGATCACCAATGAGCCTGTTTATGGTCAACTGTGTCTCATTTAAAAAACAAAACAAAACTGTGCCTTCAAGTTCGGGCTCGGGGTGACCCTGTTCTGGGTCAACCCCCACCTAGAACCAGCCAGGCTTGTGCTGCTGGAGAGGACTGGCCAAGCCAACGCACTCGCCCTCGGGACCAGCGGCGAGCAGCCTGGTGAGCTGCAGAGGCCCCTGGGCCACCGAGGGGCAGAAAACCTCAGGGAAAAGGAGGCCTTTCCACCTGCCAAAGTGGAAGCTTCCCCGCTGAACACCAGATCTCCTGCCACTGTCTGGCCTTGAATCACAACTTCAACAATTCACGGAGGGACCTGTGTTCCTTGATGTTTCCACTGTTCTTCCATTGATTACCTTCAAAATCAAAGGCCAGAAGCTTCTGCACTAATTTCAATGTCAGGCTGAACCTGAGGAATGAATGAAACTATTTAAACTTTCCTCTAAGTCTTCATGGAGCTTAACATAAGCAAGATCCTCGTGAGGGCATTTCGGAATCATTCTGATCAGTCATTCTAAGAGCTACACCTTTCTGCCGTTCTTATCAGCGGCACAACTGTGCAGGGGACATTCCCCCCAAAAGCAAAGCCTTGATAGCACTTGATCTCACATGCGATGTTGGCTCCAGGCAGCGTCCTGCCCCACCTTCCTTCACTCACACCCACACTCCTGCCTCCCTCCTTGAATCCCACACTCCTCCCTCCTCCTTCCATCCCCACACTCCTCCCCCTTCACTCCCCACACTCCTCCCTCCTCCTTCAGGCCCCACACTCCTCCCTCCTCCTTCAGGCCCCACACTCCTCCCTCCTCCTTCAGGCCCCACACTCCTCCCTCCTCCTTCAGGCCCCACACTCCTCCCTCCCTTCTTTAATCCCCACACTCCTCCCTCCCTTCTTTAATCCCCACACTCTTCCCTCCTCCTCCTTCAGTCCCCACACTCCTCCCTCCTCCTCCTTCACTCCCCACACTCCTCCCTCCTCCTCCTTCAATCCCCACACTCCTCCCTCCTCCTCCTTCACTCCCCACACTCTTCCCTCCTCCTCCTTCAATCCCCACACTCTTCCCTCCTCCTCCTTCACTCCCCACACTCCTCCCTCCTCCTCCTTCAATCCCCACACTCTTCCCTCCTCCTCCTTCAGTCCCCACACTCTTCCCTCCTCCTCCTTCACTCCCCACACTCCTCCCTCCTCCTCCTTCAATCCCCACACTCTTCCCTCCTCCTCCTTCAATCCCCACACTCTTCCCTCCTCCTCCTTCACTCCCCACACTCCTCCCTCCTCCTCCTTCAATCCCCACACTCTTCCCTCCTCCTCCTTCAGTCCCCACACTCTTCCCTCCTCCTCCTTCACTCCCCACACTCCTCCCTCCTCCTCCTTCAATCCCCACACTCTTCCCTCCTCCTCCTTCAGTCCCCACACTCTTCCCTCCTCCTCCTTCAGTCCCCACACTCCTCCCTCCTCCTCCTTCAGTCCCCACACTCCTCCCTCCTCCTCCTTCAGTCCCCACACTCCTCCCTCCTCCTCCTTCAATCCCCACACTCCTCCCTCCTCCTCCTTTACTCCCCACACTCTTCCCTCCTCCTCCTTCAGTCCCCACACTCCTCCCTCCTCCTCCTTCAATCCCCACACTCCTCCCTCCTCCTCCTTCACTCCCCACACTCCTCCCTCCTCCTCCTTCAGTCCCCACACTCCTCCCTCCTCCTCCTTCAGTCCCCATACTCCTCCCTCCTCCTCCAATCCCCACACTCCTTCCTCCTCCTCCAATCCTCACACTCCTCCCTCCTCCTCCTTCACTCCCCACACTCCTCCCTCCTCCTCCTTCAATTCCCGCACTCCTCCCTCCTCCTCCTTCAATTCCCGCACTCCTGCCTTCTTCCCTTCCTTCCTGACACCCTTCCCCAGGTAACCCCGCATCTACCCTCAGGATGGCTTACACCAGGGCCTGGCTCCCAGATTCAGGCCTGGACACAGGGCTTCAGAGGACGTGCTCTTAGCAGTAACTGGGTGACAGCTAGTACTGATGGTCAGAGGTCTTTTCTATATCTGCAGAAGTGACCGAGGGTCTGTCTTTCTGAGGGTTTATTTTCTTTTTCTCCGGTAAGCAGGCAGGAGGCCTTCTGCTACCTTTGCATCCAGGTCAGAAAGCACTGGGAGCAACTTACTTAATAAATGTTATTTCTTCTGTGATAGAAGAAAAAGGATGAAGGAACCAAAGGGGTGTCCCAGAGAGTGGGAAGGGTCTTTTAAAGCAGCTGCTGTCACCCCTGTCCCTGGGAAGGAGCAGAACTGCCAGGAAGTAGCGCTCCCTCAGCCCCCGGGGCCAGGACCCACCTCTGTATGGAAGCTTCTGGCAAATCCACCAGCTGGAGAGGACGAGCGGCACATAGGCTTGGTTCTGTAGGAGCACCCTTCCCTTTCCTCAGGACCCTAATTGGCAGTCTTTGCATATGACTATTTCCTAATTTATACAAAAGTGACGTTAAAATTTTTTTTAAGTATTTGCATGGAATGTACAAAACAAGCTTTCTGAGTGGTTGCATTATAACATTTTAATGAGCATTACCTTTTATTTGGTGTTTCCAGGTTCACAGTATGTGCCTAGATCTTTTCAGAGGACAACTCTGACCTTAAGGAAGAGATTCCAAGTGATATCTTGAAGCCGTGTCACCAGAACCATCGGCGCACTGGTGGCTCAGCACACCACTCTTCACTCGAAAGAGGGAAGAACAAGGGTCGTATTTATCTGTGCGTCTGACCGTGTGAGATGTTAGATGAACAGAAATGCAAACAAACAAGTCACTGGTAAAGAGAGAGAAAGTCAAACTCGCCACGCCGCTTTACTGGAAGCATCTCCAGGCTTCCGTGGCTGTGCTCAGAAGAACTTCATCCGTGTTTACAATCCGTCACTTTATCAGTGATGCGCAAACATGATTAGGGTGTGCATGTACTCACACACTAATTATGCATAAGAATATAGTGTCTAGGAATATGCCATTTGCAACTTTGTACCCTGCGGTATTTTCTAGTCGCATTCTATCAGTAATTCCATCAAAATCCTAGACACCAGCAGATACTAGTGTTTGAGACAATACGCCCGTCTGAACGAGACTGTCCCAGTCATGTGACTTTCTCATGCATTTGAAAAAGTGCTTCAGTCATGAACCGCTTTGAGAAATGTCAGCGGCTAAATCTCTCAAACTAAGTTTCTTTCTCTAGTTTTCATCTTCAAATTCAGACAGTTCACATGAAGCACCGCACAGGCTTGAATGTAAACGTGATAAAAGGCTCCGGCAGGTGTTTACGGTCGAAGCTCCTCCGTGGGAGGGGAGCCCTGCACCCCCCATGTGCCATCGTGAGCTGGCCTTTGCTCAGTCGCCACCTCTTAGTGACGCCGCCCTGGAGTCCTTGTGTCTTCAGGCTCTGTCCTCCTGCTCTGCTTGGCTTTTCTTCAGAGCATGTATCTCCATCCGACATGGCTGTAGAAAATGGGGCAGACGACGGGAAGGGGAATCGGTGGAGGCAAGGCTCCAGGCGTGTCTTTCCCTTGTCCTCTCCCCACTGCTTTTCTTTACACTCATTTTTATATTCTCAGATCTCAAATCAGCTCATTTCTTCTTTTCTCTCAGATAATTCCATTTTATTAGCCTAATTATTATTAATCCAAAGTGTAACTTTATATGAGCATATTTATAAACTTAGAATTATAAACTGTATCCACACACACACACGCACACACATATATATCCTATAAATGCATAATAAATTACTTTCAGATTATTTCTGGCTGGAAGGAGAAGGGATCAATGCCTACTTGTACATGTCTGGAGTTTAGAAGCTGTGTTGAGACTAAAATTGATGTTGTCCTTTATCACAGAGTGACAAAACAAAAATGACCTAGAGCCTTGCCTCTGCTTGTTCATTTCTCCTTGGCTGAGACGCCGTAGGCAGCAGCCGCTGCGACCACCGCGTCCATCCTCTTTAACCTGGGCGCAGCTCCGTGCAACCGGGGAAGACTGCCGATGCTTAGTTTCCTGCGTGAAACAAACCAAAGCATTTTGGAGAATTTTCTACATTATTCCCAAACATCAGCAATAGAAACTTTTAAGAGCAAATGCCTGTCTTAATTCAGCGGCTCTCACACTTGAAGAATAGGTAGGTGAGTAGTCTGGAGCCCATGTTCATGGGGCTGCTGGTTAGCAGCTCTCTGGTGCATAATTACTGCTCAAAGCTCACTGCAGACTTGTTCTTTCAGAATCATTCAGGGTATTTCATATCAATTTCCAGGAACCATCCAACTCCTTCCCTATTCAGTTCAAACTCCGTTGTTTTTTTTTTTGTTTGTTTTCGTTGTTTTTTTTTTTTTTAATTTAAGTGTAGGGTACACGTGCAGGTGTGTCATGGAGGTTTGTTGTACGGATTAATTGATCACCCAGGTATTAAGCCTGGTACCAATTAGTTATTTTTCCTGATCCCCTCCCTCCTCCCTCCCTCTACCCTCCAAAAGGCCCCAGTGTGTGTCGTTCCCCTCTGTGTCCATGTGTTCTCATAATTTAGCTCCCACTTATAAGCAGGAACATACGGCATTTGCTTTTCTGTTTCTGCATTAGCTTGCTAAGGATAATGACTTCCAGCTCCATCTATGTCTCTATAAAGGACATAATCTCATTCTTTTTTATGAGCTCAAAATTCTCAGTAGGAGAAACAGTGGATATTCAACCTAAACTAACACTAACATAGGGTATCCAAGACAACCTGTTATTTTATGGTAGCTTTACCTTGTTTGACTTCACAGGTTTGCAAATAAGATTCTTTGATTTATATATGTTGGTAAAAAACAAAATATTTTTTAAAATAGAACCAGTTCCAGTGATCTTGACTCTTCTAGACCTTTTTTTTTTTTATTGAGACGGAGTTTCGCTCTTGTTACCCAGGCTGGAGTGCAATGGCGCAATCTCGCCTCACCGCAACCTCCGCCTCCTGGATTCAAGCAATTCTCCTGCCTCAGCCTCCCAAGTAGCTGGGATTACAGGCGTGTGCCACCATGCCCAGCTAATATTTTGTATTTTTAGTAGAGAAGGGGTTTCACCATGTTGACCAGGTCAAGGATCTCAATCTCTTGACCTCATGATCCACTCGCCTCGGCCTCCCAAAGTGCTGGGATTACAGGCTTGAGCCACCGTGCCCAGCCTCTTCTAAACATTTAAGTACCATTTTAGAGATTACATAGACACTTGGCCCTGTCATTGATTTTAAAGATGAACTTTCTCATTGCACTGATTTTTACACCTATGTTAAAATTAGTGTTTTAGTTATATATTAAATTATATAGAGAGATTAGTAAATAATTATTAAATCAAGGATGGTGCTAATTAGGTAAAACTTAGGACAATGTTTTTTATAATAATCTAATAAATGAGTCTTACTTTAGAATTAATCTATTAAAAACTGAAAAATAATTGAACTACTTCTGAGATTGATTTTTAAATTCAGATTACTGACTTATATTAATTAAAATGTTTGTTAGTTTATCCAAAACCAAAAAAGGAAGGAATTTTAAAATAATCTAAAAAAAAGTAAAATACCATAGAAAACTGCTAGATTTTGTGAATTTAATGTATAAGGAAGTATCCATATTGGTTGTATTCTGAGCTAGATTGGAATTTCTATACAATTGAGAAGTACATTTTTATATTATACATCATTTGGGTTTTTAAAATTTTCTTATAACTTCAGATCATGGTGCAGGATTTTCAATTCCTTTAATTTCTAATAAAATATAAAAGTCTTAAAAGAGTTTAGAAAATGTGTTACATTTATAAAAGTATTTTAGATTCTCAATTTTTGTATAATTTGTGTAAATACCTCTCTAGTCTGCGGTTTCTAACACACAGGTATTTATTATTTCTAACTACATAGCAGACTCCCCAGTGAATTCAAATATATGTCCATATATATTTGCAAAGGCTTTACGTAACGTAGGCATACTCCACTGTAACGTTTGTTTTAGGAGATTACGCCCCTGCGTGGTGATCGTCGTGGGTTTGATTTCATCAGACATTTATTGAGCACTTTCTTGGTGTAAGATTTTGTTCTAAGTATTGTATGGAGCAAGACAGTCTTTGCCCTAAAAGAGCTTAGAGTCTCACGGAGGAGACAGACTATAAAAAACTGAATAAAAAGATACTACTGGTCAGTTAGCAGTAAGTGCTATGAAGAAACAAAGCAAGGGAAGGTGACGGAGTGGAAGGGGCCACAAGCACCCGTGGAGCAGCGGGGGACGGCTGTGTTGCAGGGGTGATATTCGAGCAAAGCCCAAAGATGAGAAAGAAGCTGTGGAACTGTCTTGGGGGAAAGAATTGTAGACAGAGCGAAAAACATGTGCCTAAACCAAGAGCACACCTGGAACAGCTGAAGAGCAGCAGAGAGGTCAGTTTATGGGATGGAATCAGCAAGGGAGTGAATGATGGGAGCTCAGTGAGGTCACAAGCTGAGGGATTGAGATCCTTTTGGACTATGGGAAATTTTAAGGAGTCTGAAATAAGCCACTGGAGCAGTTGAGTTTTGGGGATAAAATGATATCATTGACAAGAGATGATTGTTTCACTCAGATGATAGCGGTAAGGCTGATGAGAATCCCAGGGCTTTGGATGTGTTTGAAATTTGAGCCAAAAGATTTGCTGTTGGATGACAGGTGCAGTGTGCCTATAAAAAGAATCAAGAATGCCTCCAAGGCTTTTGGCTTCCCACTTGGAAGGACAGTGTTGACATTCATTGAAATTGGAAAGACTGCAAGGGGAACGTGTTTGGCAGCGTGAGAGGCATGTTATGTGAGATGCCAATTAGATGCCTAAGTGGAGATGTTGAGATATTTGGATATCCACACTTGGGTGTGGAGGGGAGATAGAGACTGGAGGTGTAAATTTGGGGGTTGCCAGCATGTAGATTGTATTTAAGAACTGAAATGGACGAGGTAACCAAGAAAATGAGTGTAGAGAAATGGAGGGAAAGGGGGTTCTGAGCCTCGTGCCTTTTAACATCTAAAGGCCTGGGAGGTGAAGGAAAAGCAGTACAGCAGACTGAGAAAGAATGGCTGGTGAAAGGAAACGAGAGTCAGGAGAACATGGCACCTTCAAAGTAAAGTGTGGGGGCGGGAGCGGGGGGCGGGGGGAGTGTTTCAAGGAAGTGATAGGGACTCAAGTATGTTGAATGTTGATTAGTCAATTAAGGTCTAAAAATCAGGGTAAAGGTATAGCCACATGGCAGTTACTGGTGGCCTTGTCAAGATCTGATAGGTGAATGGACAAGGCGAAAGTCCGCTTGCAGTGGGTTCAGCAGAAAAGAAGAAGGGAGAAATGGAACACAGCAGTCATGCACGGGTAGGTCTTCTTGGGAATTTTTCTGTACAGGGGAGTAGAGTAGTGGGGGGGGTGTGTTTGTGTGCACATGTGCATTCGTTTCCTGGAAAGGTCCATCGTGCTGAATGTCTTCATTATCCAGTATAAAAACATTGAACCAAAAAGAAAGATGGCTATAGTGTTCTCTGGAGGACAAGTGGAGTGTATTCCCACTGGAAAATTTAAGAAAATGTTGACAGAGCTGAATGAATAGTAGGTTATGATTCAGAAGCAACATTGAGAGAAGGCTAGCTTTGTGAAGTATGTCTTCAGAGTAAAGAAAAAGAACATTGTGGGGGTGGAAGTTTTAGCTTAGAAGGCAAAAGATTTCAAAATACACAGAATCAAAACGATGGCATCAAATAAACCTGGAGCCATTCTACTACTGTTTACGAAGAATAGTTCATGCCAAACTGACCTGAGAACAATGTGAATAGACAAGAAGCAGCTCGACACCCACCCACCCACCCCCCAACACAAAGCAGCATAATTTCAGGAAGCAAAATTGGGAGACAACAGGAATAATACATTGAGGTGAACCCCGTGTTTGCTGTTGTTTCTTGTATATATTTTAGACTAATAATGGGGCATAGAGGCCAAGAAAAAGTGATACCCTCACGATCTGTGACAAGCTCACTAGGCTGCCAAAAGGAATGACCTCGGGAAATGTCTCAGACTTTGAATTGACCACTCTAGGAGAAAGGGCAAACTCAATATAGACAAATCCTCAAAACACTAGAAGCGGAACCTAGAATCAATGAGACCTGTTTAGATCTGGGTTATGTGCCTGTACTTTATATGACTGCCAGAAAAAGTAATGTTCTTTAAAGAAAGATTACATTACCTAAAGTTTACATACAATGTACAGCATTCAATCTAAAATTAAGAGACAGCCCAGGATATAGGGTCAAGTGACTGAAAGCCAAGAGAGAAAACAAAATTATAGCAGACCCACAGGTGACTAAGATAGTAGCACCATCAGGTGTGAGCCAAGAAACAATTTGAATTGCACATTCAAAAATATATTCAAAAAACATAATTTCTTTTTTTTTTTTTCTGAGATGGAGTTTCACTCTTGTTACCCAGGCTGGAGTGCAATGGCGCGATCTTGGCTCACCGCAGCCTCCACCACCTGGGTTCAGGCAATTCTCCTGCCTCAGTCTCCCGAGTAGCTGGGATTACAGGTGCATGCCACCATGCCCAGCTAATTTTTGTATTTTTAGTAGAGACGGAGTTTTGCCTTGTTGACCAGGATGGTCTTGATTTCTTGCCCTCGTGATCCACCCACCTCAGCCTCCCAAAGTGCTGGGATTATAGGCATGAGCCACTGCGCCTGGCCCAAAAAGCATAATTTCAAGAGAAAACTGTAATCTGAAAAATAAACTGATATCCTAGAAATGAATGCTATATCCTAGAAATGAATGCTACAATGACTCAAGAATTCACTAGCTATGTTTAACTGCAGATTAAACATAGCAGATGAGGATTAGCAAACTGGAAGAGAGGTCAATAGACAGTCTTCACTTCGAACAAGCATAAAAAATAGATATTCCAGAAAAAATTGTGAGGAGATGTGAAAAAATCTAATATCCATGTAATTATAGTCATAGAGCAAAAAGAAAATGGAACAATGCAGTATTGAAAAGATACCATGAAAGAATCTTCCAAAATAGATAGAAGACACCAATGCACTAATTCAAGAAGCTATGAGAGACACAAGATAGATACAAAGCAAAACATACTTAGGTCCATCAGAAACTGCGAGAAACTCGAAATCAGAACAAAACAACAGTCAGAGGCGGGGAGAGACATTATCTTCAGATAGGCAACGATAAGACTGATGCCTGATGTTTAAACACAGGTGATGGAAGCTGAAAGACAATAGAAAAAGCATCTTTACAGTGCTGAAAAAGATAATTGCCAACCCAGAATTTTATATATAGTGAACAGATACCTCAAAAATGAGGGCAGAAGAACAGTGTTTTTAGATAAACCAAAACTGGGAATTAATCACCAGCAAATCTGTACCAAAGGAAATGCTAATCAGAGTTCTTCACAGAATAGGAGAGTTAGCCCAGAAGGAAGTATAATGATAAAAGAAGACATAATGAACATCAGAACGGACAAACATGTGGGAACATAGAAAATAATGTATTGTATAAAATAATGAGTAATATGTTACCCAGGCTGGAGTGCAATGGCGCGATCTTGGCTCACCGCAACCTCTGCCTCCTGGGTTCAGGCAATTCTCCTGCCTCAGCCTCCTGAGTAGCTGGGATTACAGGCACGCGCCACCATGCCCAGCTAATTTTTTGTATTTTTAGTAGAGACGGGGTTTCATCATGTTGGCCAGGATGATCTCGAACTCCTGACCTTGTGATCTACCTTCAAAAGTGCTGGGATTACAGGCGTGAGCCACCACGCCCAGCCGAATTTATTTTTATAATGTAAATTAAGTATCTTTTTGTATTGGGAATCATTCCGAGTGACAAAAAAATTGGCAAATAAAAATATTAACATTCACAAAACCATTCTGTAGTTTATAATATATTCTGGCCCATGACTTTCAAAAGCACTGATTTCTAGGGCGAGGGAATATCAAAGACCTTGACCAAAGAAGACTCTTTCAAGTGGGAAGGGCTTCATGGAGGATGAATCTTGAGGGAAAGTCAGGACATGCCTTCCTGCTCTGCTGCTTAGCTCAGGAAGCTGACAGCCCCGGGATTATGAATGTTGTGTGTAGACTGCCTTCACATTGGTCTTGCAATCTCTGCTACGCTGAGCTCCATGACATTTCGTGGTGAACATTCTAAGGTGTGACACCGTGTACTCTGGTGTTACGAGGCTGTTGGAGGAGGGGTGTTCTGCCAGGTATTTCTTGCACTCCCAGCCACCTGACTGGTTTCGTCTGAAATCTCAGCATTCCAAGGCCGTGTGAGAAAGGCCCTATCTGGTAACAAAGCATCAGAAAGATGACTAAGGGAACAAAGGGACAGGGCTTTTATTTTGTTCTTCAGCACAGATTGCCTTCAAAATAAAGGCAGAGCGTCTAAGCCTGGCAGTCCAGGTCTCTTTGAGCTGGCTCCGCCCTACCCGCCCACCTCATCCCGCAGGTGTCACTGCATGGGACCCTGTGCTTCCAGCAGGGGCCCCTCACTGCCCCTTGAGCTCATTTTACCCCTCCTGGCTCTGCAGCATTTCTGACCATTTCTGCCCAGGCCCAGACTCGCAGCTGCCTAGAGCAATCTTCCTTCTCTGCTTCTGGAGGGGAAGGGTTGTCTGTTACCCGCCTTGTTTTGTCCACCGAGGTTAGCAGAGACGGATACAGGCAAACCTTTTTCAGGCACATGCACAGGTTTGTTAAATGGCTATACGGCCTGAGGCTGAGGTTGATCCCCTCACCCAAACAGTGAACGCAGTACCCAATACACAGTTTTTCAACCCTTCCTCCCCTTCCTGCTTCCTCCCACTTCGGAATCCCCAATGTGATGTAGACAAATGGTTTACTTTGATAGCTGTAATTGACCTTATTATACTGTTCAGCCTCAGCACTTTAGAGGGGACGAAACTAAAGCCCATGAGACATGCTTAAAGGTATTAAGTGAAGATACTTATTTTTTCAGTGTTGAAGTGATTAAACAGCGTAGACGTGAGTGAAATAGAAAGCTAAGTTCTCCGTCTTCATTCCCACTCCATGGAGCTGACTAGTATGTGTGTTTCCGGACATTAGAGCTTGTCCCAGAGAAGGCATCATTTTACACGCTCCGCTCTGCAGCTTGTTTTGTTTTGTTCACTTGCTATTTTGTGAACCGCTTTCCACATCGGCACATGCAGATGACTGAAAACAGATTCATTCACCCGGAGGAAAGCCGTAGGCGTGTTTTTCTCTCCACTGAAGAGCCCTGCAGGTGGCTGTGGGCAACCTGTACAGTGGCTTCCAGTAAAGGAACGTAGTAACTAAGCAAAGCGGGCATTCAGGCCATTCTTCTATTTCATCTTCCTGGCACTTTAGGGCTCGGGAAGGGCCTGGCCACCCCTGGCCCAGCCACTTTGTAGGAAGCACCGAGCGTGGAAAAGGGGCTGGGGTCAGCACCCGGGCCCTCGGCCAGGAAGAGAGACCGGCGGTCAGGACACGCGTCTCCCCGGGCAGAAATCTCGGGGTCCTTCCCTCCCTTCCCGGGCTCGCTGGCTGGTCTCGGCTCTTCTGCGAGTCCCCCGCGGGCGGCTGCCGTCTCCCGGGACTCCCCAGCAGCCTCGCCCGCCTTCCTCTCCCACCCGCCCCTCCGTGTTCTCCGGGGCTCGGGCTTCCCAGGCCTGGCGCATATTTTGGGAAATATCTGGCTCACAACCACTCATTTCGCTCCCGGAGCCCCAGCGGCCCCGAGGACACACACGGGGTGACTTCCCTGAGGCCGTGTTCCCAAGGCCGCCCTGGATCGCAGCGGCCGCTGCTCCGAGTGACCCCGGGGCTGAGGGTCGCGCAGGGAGCGAGCGCCGCGCGGCAGAGCTGGGCCCCGAGCCGGAGGCGCCGTCCTTTCCCCTTCGCAGCAGGCTGCCCGCCCGCACCCCGAATCCCGCACCCCGGATCCCGCACCCCGGATCCCGCACCCCGAATCCCGCACCCCGAATCCCGAACCCCGAATCCCGCACCCCGAATCCCGCACCCCGAATCCCGCACCCCGAATCCCGCACCCCGGATCCCGCACCCCGAATCCCGCACCCCGGATCCCGCACCCCGGATCCCGCACCCCGAATCCCGCACCCCGGATCCCGCACCCCGAATCCCGCACCCCGGATCCCGCACCCCGAATCCCGCACCCCGAATCCCGCACCCCGAATCCCGCACCCCGAATCCCGCACCCCGGAGCGGCCTCGCAGGACCCGCAGAGCAGCCCCGCCGCGGTGACGGTTCCGACGCCCCCGCCCCATCCGGAGGCGGCCCGAAGTGTCGCCGGCCTCCTCCCGGCCCGGCCTCCGGGGCTCCCGCGCGATCACGACGCCCTGGGGCTCAGGAGCCGTTTTCCGGTGTTTCGCTTTCTGCTGGCGCGGAGGAGGCGGAGGAGGCGGAGGCCGCGGCGCCGCGAGGACCAGGCCGGGCGCAGCTGCAGCCCCGGGGCTGCCTCCCTGGCCTCCGCGCAGGCGGGAAACGGCGTTCCGGGGGCCGGGGGGGGGCCTCGCAGCGGGCGGCGCGTCCCGCACTGGCGATGGCGGGGCTCTGGCTGGGGCTGGAGGGGCAGAAGCTGCTGCTGTGGGGCGCGGCGAGCGTCGTGTCCCTGGCCGGCGCCAGCCTGGTCCTGAGCCTGCTGCACTGGGCGGCGAGCTACGCGCGGAAGTGGCGGCAGATGCGGCACATTCCCACTGTGGCCCGCGCCTACCCGCTGCTGGGCCACGCGCTGCTGATGAAGCGGGACGGGCGAGGTAAGGGCCGGCGTCCCTCCGGGGTCCTCACCGCGGTCCGCAGCCCTCCCCGCCCTCCGATCGGCGGGGAACCCGCTGCTTCGGGTGTGGCCACAGGAGGGGGAGCCTGTCACCCTGCGGGAAATGCACCCCCAGTTCTACCCAGTGCACCCCATTTCTACCCAGTGACCCCAGTTCTACCCAGTACACCCCAGTTCTACCCAGTACAGACCCCATTTCTACCCAGTGCCCCCCAGTTCTATTCAGTGTACCCCAGTTCTACCCAGTGCCCCCCAGTTCTACTCAGTGTACCCCAGTTCTACCCAGTGCCCCCCAGTTCTACTCAGTGCACCCCAGTTCTACCCAGTGCCCCCAGTTCTACCCAGTGCCCCCTCAGTTCTACCCAGTGCCCCCAGTTCTACCCAGTGCCCCCAGTTCTACCCAGTGCAGCCCCCAGTTCTACCCAGTGCCCCCAGTTCTACCCAGTGCAGCCCCCAGTTCTACCCAGTGCCCCCCCAGTTCTACCCACCGCCCCTGGGTGCCCGCCGACACTGCGAGCGCCCCATCCCAGAGCCGGCGTTTTCTCTGCGTGTAGCACAGGACGCGGCGTTTCCAAACCCCGCCCTGGGTCTCCTCCTGGGTCACCGCCGCTCAGCTCCCGAAGCCCTGCGGCTCCTCCTGCCTGGGCTGGGGAGGCCTAAGAACAGAAGCTCCCAGGAAGCACACAGCGCTTTAAAGCTGGCAAACACCTTCACGCTTGCAGCCGCCCCTAAGACTGGGGTTCACCAGGGCGTCCTCCCAGCATCGCGGGACTCGATCTGCTCCAGCTCCCGCTTGGCCTCCAGGCGTTAGCCCTTTAGAGGACGTGGTGTAACAACAGCTGGGAAACTGACGGCAGGGTCCTCAGGCAAACTTCTAAGGAGGGTTTCAAACGCCTTATTTATTAAACAGTGAATTGCTTTTTTAAAAAATTAAAGTCATATTTTATTATAAAAAGAGATCGACATTGTGTTGGTGGAGAAAAATCACTTTAAGTTAGAAAGTTCTCAAAAGTGCCTGGTATGCACAGCCTCACATCCGGGAGGGTGAACTGGATCTCAGCCCTTCACCTTGGGGGCAACTTGAGATACCCAGAACTGAAAAGCTTTGCCCAAAATGAAGTATTTTAAAATAGGCCCGGACCAGAACCCAGTTTCCTCTGGGGTTGTTAGTAATAATTGTACAGGCTGAGCATTAACTCCAAAGCTTGAAAGACTTTTTCTCATTTTCACTTCTGTTTTCTCTAATAAAAATAATACCATCATTTCAACTTCACAAGAATAAGATGAGGCCACATGGAAGATGTTTACTAAAATATTAAAAATATTTTGACAAAAAAATCAAGCAAACTCTTTGCCAACCAAATATCATGATGACTGATGTAACAAGGAATCCACCAACACAGATAGGAAAATCGCACTGGTAAAAACCATCTCAGTTAATTCCAAAAGCACAACTAACCACCCCTTTTGTCCTAAGGCTTTACGGTATTAAAAGAAATAATCATACAAAAAATAGATTTTGCCCCATCCCTTAACCCTGGAAAGTCATATACTTAAGTCTCGTCATATTCTTTGGTGGGTTTCAACAATTAAAATCACTAGTGAATAAGACCTACTTCAGAGCAATCTGTGAGCTGATTGGACGATTTGAAGTAATTTTCCTTGCAGTCACTTTCAGAGTGAAGACAATGACAAATACTGTCTTTTACAAAGGGACTTTTTATTCCACCAACAAATTCTGGATTTTGGTATCAGGAAAACCACTGTTCAATTTCCACCCTATAACCAAGTTGTTTGAGAAATGACGTAAAACTCTTTAACTTACAGGGTTTTCTCCCCCTCTATTTGTAAAAGTGACTACATTACAGAGTTACTTTGAGGATTAAGTTTATTGCATGCCGAGTTTCTAGATCCCTGTCTAGAACTCAGTTAAAATAAGCTCTTTCGTTGTCAATCCAGCATCTACTGAGGCCCTGCTTGGTGCCCAGTGTTGGCCTCAGCAAAGTTGGGGATATCAGAATATTCTAAGATATACTCCTTGTTCCCAAGAATCCTGTCTTTCACACACAAGAGGTGTTGCCTTTCATTTTGCAGCTGATGTCCAAATGCTGCCCTCGGCCATCTCACCTTGAAGACTGCAGTTGTCTCCCGAACGGCCTCAAAACGCCAATCTCGCCTTTTCCAGTCCATTGTGACAATGTCTGCCTTCCCCAGCTGCTCCTAGCTGTTGGCCCTGCTGCCTTCAAACCACAGATTGAGACCTCCCTGTCCCCTCTGTCAGACCAGACCAGGGCAGGCAGTTTGTTAGCATGACACAGGATGATTGACGCTGGGGATCTGACCCAGCTCCTTTCCGAGCAATTTTGAGAACTGCTTCATCCGAGAGACATTTGGAAGCAGCATGGTGTGAAGGTGAAGTGATGTGTTCTGGAGTCTCGGTACATGCCAGGCTCCACTGTTTACTAGCTCTGTGATATTGGGCAGTCGTTAGGAAGAGTGCCCATTCTGGGACATCAAAACCTTATAATAATAATTATTCTATAATTGCTAACATGCATTATGTATGTTTATGTACTGTGGCAAATACTATTTTAAAAACAACTTTAGACTTACAGGAAAGTTGCAATAATATTACAGAGAGTTCACACATACTCTCCACCTGGCTTCCTCTAACAGTGACGCATTACAGAATTAGTATATTCATCAAAATGAGAAAGCAGACGTTTGTTCAATACTAGTCACAAAATTATCATCTTGATTGAATTTAAAATCTGATATTTTTCTCCCAGAATTTTTTCAGCAGATAATTCAGTACACAGAAGAATACCGCCACATGCCACTGCTGAAGCTCTGGGTTGGGCCAGTACCAATGGTGGCCCTTTACAGGGCAGAGAATGTGGAGGTGGGTATGTGCCAATATGATCAGTATTGCACCGCGTATCCGACAGCGTGACAATCTCTTCAGAATCAATATAATGCATCCTTATATTTCAGCCATTTCAGTGCAAAAGACATTCCATTAAGTATTTTAGGCTATGCAGGTGCAATTTTATGCTTTCCAAATGCAGTCTGAATCCTGGGAGATTAACACCCTCCAGGTAAAAGTGCACATTTGTTACCAGGTTCCAATATTTGAAAGTCTGCAGAAGGATATAGTTTTTCAGAAACATAAATAAATTATTCCTCAAGGTGAGCACTTGTTATCCATTCGACACTATTTTAAGACTTCAAAAATACTTGACTAGTAAAGTGTGTTTCCCTCAAGTTCCTGAGGGTCTCATATTATATCAAAGATAACCTTATTCCAAATTTAAAAGAGAGTGCAAATTCGATATTTATGGGATAAATATTACAAACCCATGCTGTTGAAATTAGTCCTCGGAAAAACTGCAGTCCTTTTACTTATTGGAGAGTCTGGGGAAATCGTCTCATGGTATGGTGAGAAGAGGATTTGGGGCAGGCAACAAAAATGGGATAAACAGAGCTTCTCTTTGTTTACCAAAATTAAAAACAGAATTTCCTAGGAAGTAGTGCCAGCAGGATATGTCTTTCTAATTATGGTGAAAATGTTGGAGTTTCTCATGCTTCTCCAGAATCCTGGTTCAGAGAAGAGAGTGAGAAAGGCAGGCACAGGGTTCCAGCCGCTGTTGGCCTGGTGTTAACAGAAGTTGGTGTGGTGGATGCAGCGGGTGGTCTGTCCAGGATAGGGGACTTGAGCAAGAAGCCCGGTGAGCACCCTGTGCTCAGCCCCAGCTCCCAGCCCTTTTCCCACTTCACACAGGCCCTGGGTGATCTGATCACACTCACACCATCCATTGCTGCCTCTATGCTGAGACACTCAAATAGGCATCTCCAACTCAGGTCTTATCTGGGCGTCCCGCCTGCTTTCAGACCACAGCAACCTCAATGCTTCAAAGTCAACATCACTTGAAAATGCACCCGTGATTTCCATCTCCCCAGACTCACCCTCCAGATTCGCCTCCTCCACCTCGCTCCCTCCCTCTACCCATTAAGTAACTCCACTGGGCTCCTGGTTTATGGCAGGAACCAGAGAATCATCTCGGACATCTTGCTCTCCCTCAACTCCATTGAATCCCCAAGACTGAATGCGAGTTTTATGTTCAAAACTCGAATTGAATGTCTTTGAGTCACACAACTGAAAATGAACCACAGAAAAAGTCTATGTTGCGGAGTGTCCTAAAAACTAGCTGTACTCCAGGCAGGTATTACTATCGTTCTAGGAAGATCTTTTGATGTCTGGGTGTCCCTAAAATATGTTTTTCTCTTCCAAGGTAATTTTGACTAGTTCAAAGCAAATTGACAAATCCTCTATGTACAAGTTTCTAGAACCATGGCTTGGCCTAGGACTTCTTACAAGGTATGTCAGCGTACCTTTGTGAAACTGTCTACGGAAATGGTGACTTCAGTGTGCAAGTTGTTATTTCAGAATTGACACAGGGTAGCTTTTTCTGTAGCAGGACTGTGCTCTCAGAAAGGAGGAGAAGAGGCCAAGGGTCCAGGTGAACAGTTATCTCCAGCCGTGATGTTCAACAGTGACTGTCACCAGTGTTCAGGAAGACTTAGGAGGTGGCAGGATGGAGGCCACAGTAAAGCAATGGAGTGTGTGGAGCAGGGAGATCCTAAAGATGCATCAAAAAGTTAGTTCCCAAGAAGTCTGGTGAGCTGGTATCCAGAACCAGGACTCCATCCTCTGAAAAAGGGCCCCCCCAGGGCCAGGCAGGAGCCTCAAAGGGCCTTTGGAGAACTGGAGCAGGGGAGAGACCAAGGTAGAACCATGGGGTATGAGGATCATCTAAGGACTGAGGTATTGACTGAAGGAGAAAAATCATTGTTAGAAACTTGGAACATAGAAACTGAGAAAAGTTCTTACATTTTCCACTTTTATGAATGCTGTTTTAAACAATGTTATAGAACAATGTCCATAATATTCATATTTTGTAACTATAGATGAATATTTTACAGACATAAATATGTCTTTGTCATTCTACCAAAAGCATTTGAGGACCTGTAGATTAAGCTGTTTCAGGAGAATTTTGTTGACTTGCTATATTTATGCTTTAATTGTTTTGTATGTAACTTTTCTCTTTCTCTCTTTCTATTTTTTTTTTTGTAACCACATATTTTATTTCTAGTACTGGGAACAAATGGCGCTCCAGGAGAAAGATGTTAACACCCGCTTTCCATTTTACCATTCTGGAAGATTTCTTAGATATCATGAATGAACAAGCAAATATATTGGTTAAGAAACTTGAAAAACATGTGAACCAAGAAGCATTTAACTGCTTTTTCTACGTCACTCTTTGTGCCTTAGATGTCATCTGTGGTGAGTCTCATTGATTGCTTTCTAAATTTATGGCATAAAGAGGAAATGGCCCAAATAGGAACTCACACTCCATCGGGAAGGCAGACAGAGGAACTGGGAGGGCAGTGGGCCCTTCAGCACGGTTCTGCTGCTGTGTTAGCCTTCTGAGGAGCAGCAGCCCCCCTCAGGGATGTGAGGGGGACAGGCATGGGGCAACTGCCCAGGATGGCAAAGGGAAGGGAGAACGGGAACAGGGAGTAGAAGTGGAAGGTGCCAGAGAAGACGGTAAAGGGAGGAAGAATCCTGGAATCTGTAAGGACACAGCGGGATGCACGTCTTTCGTGTCTGCCACACCAGAACAAACACAAGATAACTAACGTGCGTGAATTGAATGCTTGCTTCTCGCTGTGTTTTATAGAAACAGCTATGGGGAAGAATATCGGTGCTCAAAGTAATGATGATTCCAAGTACGTCCGTGCGGTTTATAGGTAAATGGAGTCCTTCCAGTTATTTCAAAAATTATTATTGATTTGGGCTTTAGAAAATATTGCTGACAATTTCTGTCTGTGTTATCTGTATCTTTTTGTGGTTTCAGTATTAAACATTAAACTAGAAGTTAAGCTCATCATGTAAGCACGTGTTTAAGCGGTAGAGGAAACGTTATGTAAATGATGGCACATTAGATTATGCAGTAATTTAGAAGGCTTATTCTCTGACACTGAGATTACGGTATATTGTACATAATGAGGCTTACATTAGGATGCTGAGAAAAGAAGGATTAAGAAGTGTTCTGTACTATGATCATTGTTATATTTTAAAATTATTTGTAAAGAAAAACCCAGCAGATATTATGACAGAGTGTTCGCGTGTTTACCATTGTCTGGCGTATCTGTTTCTCATTCCTGCGCTTTCCTTTCATTGTTATTCTTCTTTTCCATGTTTTCTGCACTGGGTAGGTATTGTTTTAACCATCAAAACAGTCCATTTTACTCTAAAATTGCTTACAGTTCTTCACCTGTTAAGAGGCAGGGCAAGGACTTGGTTTGATGGAGAGCAGAGGAGTGCATTGAGCCGAGTCCGTTTAAATCCACTGTTCATTTCGCTTCATTTTAACCAATGTTTATTAAGCATCTGTGATCTTCCAGTCACTGCATAGGGTACTGACTGGTTTTGTAGTCGTACACAACACAACACAGGGGGCAGGCATCAGCCAAAGAAATCTGTGAATTGTAATAACTGCTCACGAACTGAGCAACTGCTCAAGTTGATATCAGAGCAGAAAACAAGAATGTGTCCTACAGAGTGAGAGGCCAGAAAAGGTCTTTCTGAAGAACCGGCATCTAAGTGGGTCCTGCAGGAGATCACATGGGGTCTTTCTGCTCTACGGCTGGATGTGAGAGGGAGATGCTGGGACCGTCAAGTGACAGATGGCTACTTAGAGAGCCCTTGCTTATAGAGGAGGGCAGCCAGCTGTCATCTGTCACTCCAGAGGAGTGGCCAGACCAATGATAGACTTTAAAAAGAGGCAGATTTCGACTGGGCGCGGTGGCTCACGCCTGTAATCCCAGCACTTTGGGAGGCCGAGGCGGGTGGATCACGAGGTCAAGAGATCGAGACCATCCTGGTCAACATGGTGAAACCCCGTCTCTACTAAAAATACAAAAAATTAGCTGGGCATGGTGGCGTGTGCCAGTAATCCCAGCTACTCAGGAGGCTGAGGCAGGAGAATTGCCTGAACCCAGGAGGCGGAGGTTGTGGTGAGCCGAGATCGCGCCATTGCACTCCAGCCTGGGTAACAAGAGCAAAACTCCGTCTCAAAAAAAAAAAAAAAAAAAAAGAGGCAGATTTCATCTCAACCCCTGGTACAGAGGCCCTAGGCAGAGTGGGGAGCTCGCCCTTGAGAAACAAAAGCAGAGCCCAGATGGCTACCTAGTAAGGAGGTTTTCTAATGGATTCTTCATTCCTCTAAAGAACCCGTTATTTTCTGAGGCTCCATGGGATGTGTAATAGCCTACACCTTCACTGTTGAGAATAAAGCATGGAGCGCTTAGCAGCCTCTAAGGCAATCATCGTCATTCCTCACGAGGAGGCCAGATACCTAAAGAAGTGCTCAAGAGACACGCATTTCTGATACAACGGCTGATGTATTTTTATTCCATTTATAGGATGAGTGAGATGATATTTCGAAGAATCAAGATGCCCTGGCTTTGGCTTGACCTCTGGTACCTTATGTTTAAAGAAGGATGGGAACACAGAAAGAGCCTTAAGATCCTACATACCTTTACCAATGATGTAAGTCCCTGACTTTTAAAATTGTGGTAAAATATACATAAGATTTTCTTTTATAACCATTGTGACTGTACAGTTTGGTGGTACTAGGTGCATTCACAGTGCTGTGCGACTATCCCCACTATGCATTTCCAGAACTTTCCGTGAGTCCATAATTTTTTTTTTTTTTTTGAGACGGAGTTTCGCCCTTGTTACCCAGGCTGGAGTGCAATGGCGCGATCTCGGCTCACCGCAACCTCCGCCTCCTGGGTTCAGGCAATTCTCCTGCCTCAGCCTCCCGAGTAGCTGGGATTACAGGCGTGCGCCACCATGCCCAGCTATTTTTTTGTGTTTTGAGTAGAGACGGGGTTTCACCATGTTGACCAGGATGGTCTCAATCTCTTGACCTCGTGATCCACCCGCCTCGGCCTCCCAAAGTGCTGGGATTACAGGCTTGAGCCACCGCGCCCGGTCGAGTCCATAATTTTTATGTCTTTTTAACAGATCCGGTGTAGAACTCTGGAGCCGATGTCTCAGGAAATAAAAGTTGAATAATAATATTAATTAAGTACTCACTAAGTCCCAAACACCACACCAAATGTTGCAAATGTCGTAATGAGTAAGACAGTGTGAATATGGTCCCTACCAGAAAGAAAATTATTCTAGTTTGAGAGGTGATCTGTGATCCATCCGCACGTAATTACAAAATGTGATGTGAGCTCTGAACACTTACAAACAAACGGTGCTGGGTAAAAGAATAAAGAAGCATGGATCTGTGTAAGAGTTTTCTGGAAAATGTTTGGATTCGGCAGTCATTTTCAGAGGCAGAGGGCACTGATAGCAGGACCTTAACTCAGAAAACGTTAACATTAACTAGATATTAGTATTTTAGTTCCAATTCTAAAATGACCGGGAGATAGTGCTGTTGTTTTGACTGTAGGATGTCAGTCTTTGTGGTATTGATGTGTTTTGGAAAGGCAAGATTTAATTGAAAATAAACATCAAATTATAATTTCAGTGTATTGAAAAAATTGCCTATTTAAATATGTTCTTTCCTTGCTGTAAATTTTGGTTAACATCTATTGGAATTGCTTCCTTAAGAGATCAAATGGTGACTACATCAGATGTCCCATAAATGCGATGTTGGCTGAGTGGGCCACAGTGGAGCGTGATCACCTGGTTGTAGAATAGCTGGCAGGTTATATTTTGTAAACTTTTCCTTAAATTTTGTGCATTGATATTTGATAGCAACAGTTAAATGAATTCTAGACTGAATGGAATTCAAATAAATATCATTGTAAAATTAAATGAATTCCAGATTGAATGGAATTCCAATAAATATCATTCATTTAATAAACACTGAGAATTCCCTACTGAGGCCTGGGCACTAGGAATTCCACAGAAATAAAGGAAAACATAGTGTTTTGCCCTCAAAGGGCTTAGAATCTGCTGGAGGCACTGAGTAGTAGGTTTGCTCAATTACCTGGAAGTAAAAGGAAGTTGAAATGTACAACCAAATGAAGTGTATGGGCCTCAATTCTTTTATCCATCCAAGAAATATCTAGTGAGTATTCTTAAAATGCCAAGCAGTGCTCTAGAGGTTGGAAATATGTCAGTGAACAGAGACACGCACATGGCAGAGTTTGAACTGGAAGAGAAAGACACTAAATCATAAGTATGACATTATGTAATGAGCATAATATCACATAATATTATAATAAGTATAACTTCATATAAGTATATCACACAATATAACATCATATAATAAGCATAATACCACATAATATAATAATAAGTATAACATCATGTAATAAGCATAATATCACATAAGTATAACCTCATATAAGTATAATATCACACAATATAAGTATAACATCATATAATAAGCATATCACATCATATAATAAATAATAAGTATAACTGTGTAATAATCATATCGCACAAAGTATAACATCATATAATAAGCATAATATCACATAATATAATATCGCACAATATAACATCCTATAAGCATAATATCACATAATATAAGTATAACATAATATAGTATTGCACAATATAAGTATAACATCATATAAGTATAATATTGCACAATATAATAAGTATAATATATAAGCATAATATAATAAGTATAACATCATATAAGTATAATATTGCACAATATAATAAGTATAATATATAAGCATAATATCATAAGTATAACATCATATAAGTATAATATTGCACAATATAAGTATAACATATAATGAGCATAATATCACATAAGTATAACATCATATAATATTGCACAATATAAGTATAACATATAATAAGCATAATATCATATAATATAAGTATAACATCATATAAGTATAATATTGCACAATATAACATCATATAAGTATAATATCACACAATATAATAAGAATAACATCATATAATAAGTATAATATCGTAATAAGTCTAATGGAAGAATCACATAATATCAGGTGGCAAGGAAAATGGAAAAAAGAAGGCAGCCTTAGGAAGCATTGCAGTGCTAGGGACGAAGGTGGCAGGGATGAGGGAGGTGTCTGATCGTGTGGCAGTGAGCAGAGATCGCGAAGAAGGGAGGGTGTCTGCCGTGCAGGCCTCTGAGGAAAGCATTCAGGCAGCAGAAATCACAGGCGTAGAGGTCGAGGTGGGAAATCTACTTGCTGCTTCTATTCTCCCATAACGTGTAATTCGTAGTCTATATAATGACTGCATTCTCTCTACCACTTAAACGTTTTCTCATTAGCCGAATGAAATCTCTAGAGTACTGTCTCGTAGACTGTGATTCTATTCTTGTGTTGGAAAGACTGCAAAAATAGCACTGGAAAATTAGGAATTTGCCTGAAATTAAATTTATTTTTAAAAGTTTCACCAAATAATGCCTGAAATGTTAATAAGAGCCTTTACTGTATTTTCACAAGAGCCTATGTTGTCAAAATGTTGAACTAGAAAGGTTTAGAAAAAACAAATGAAATAAACTAGATTTTTTTTTTTTTTTTTTTTTGAGACGGAGTTTCGCTCTTGTTACCCAGACTGCAGTGCAATGGCGCGATCTCGGCTCACCGCAACCTCCGCCTCCTGGGTTCAGGCAATTCTCCTGCCTCAGCCTCCTGAGTAGCTGGGATTACAGGCACGCGCCACCATGCCCAGCTAATTTTTTGTATTTTTAGTAGAGAGGGGGTTTCACCATGTTGACCAGGATGGTTTCGATCTCTTGACCTCGTGATCCACCCGCCTCGGCCTCCCAAAGTGCTGGGATTACAGGCGTGAGCCACCGCGCCCGGCCTAAACTAGCATATTTGATAAGAAAAAGCATTACTAGGCTGCATCCGAGTCCAAACTGACACACGCGATTATCGTTCAAATGGTCCAGGTCATCGCTGAACGGGCCAATGAAATGACGGCAGATGGCGAGTGTGGAGGTGATGGCACGGGCTCTGTCCACCCCAAAAACAAACGCAGGGCTTTTCTCGACTTGCTTTTAAGTGTGACTGATGATGAAGGGAACAGGCTGAGTCATGAAGATATTCGAGAAGAAGTTGACACCTTCATGTTTGAGGTATGTATATTGTTATGTTCAGATATCCATTATTAAACACATCTCAGTTATTTCTAGAATCTTTAGAATTGTTTGTTAAAATTTAATCAACTTTTAAAGTAGTTTAATATAACCAAATAACCGTTATATTTTTATTAGAAATTAGAAAATTTAAGAAACTGGTTAAGTACCAGCTCGACTTCCTTCTTCAGAAAACGATTTTGCTGAGTGCTGGGCACAGCAGTAGACATATTTTTTTTTTCTCAAGAAACCCTAAGATTCGTCAGAGTTTTCCCAAGCAGAAGAGCAGCCCGACATTGCTCTCAGTTCTCCACATGGCTTCAGCTTCCTTCTAACCTCCCAGACCTGCAGTCCACTTCCTCAACACCTCCCTTTTGAGGTTCTAGCAGACAAGCACTTAGCTACTGCCACCAGCTGCTCTACCTAAAGAGCAGAAGCCCTGCAACAGGAATTCCAGCCGGCTCGTGATTCTCAGGAGATCTCCGGTCTCAAATTCAAACATATATATGTGAAGTACTTTTTACAAAGATAGCCTAAATATTAAACACTACAAAGAGGGACTCTATGTGAATGGCAAAATAGATAAAGCATGGTTTTTAGAAGCCATGTGGTAGTATCCTCGGCATGGAGCAGAGTGAAAGGCACCTGCGTTCTTAATGGCTCTGCCACCGACGTGCTAGCTGCTCTGCGGGAGCCGCTGGCGGCAGTGCCAGTGCTGGTGCACTCCTGTGTGAGGCTCCACAACGCAGTGAAGAAAGCCGTGAGATGAGGCTTAGGATCCTAGTTCCAGTTCAAGCCCTGTGCTCATTGCCAAACAAGATAGTTCTGATCATTCCAGAGCTCTGTCACAACTTTCCTATGTGCAAAGAGGAGAGGCGGATTGCATTGGTGGTTTTAGACTTTGTACAGCAGAACACTTCACTGAAAATAAGTCTTAAGCAGAAAACGGACATCTAAATTAGCTGAAAAGTAGAGAGGTTAAGAGTGTGGGCGTTAAGACCAAATCCCAGCTCCAAGGCGCTGGAAGCATGACCTCAAGCGCCTCACCCGGCCCTTCTGGGCCTGGATATTCTCATTTTAATGGCACAAGCCTCCTGGAACCGTTATGGTGATTAGGTTTGTAAAGGTGCTCTGAGAATGGTGATGGCCCATAAGGAATATGCAGCAGATACCAGGTGTTATTATTTGATGTTGAAGTGGAGAGACCTTCTCACATCTTCACCTTGCCCGTGCACACACACATACTCCTGTACACACATACACAAACACAAACATGCACACACCCACATACGCATACGTACACACATATGCTCATGCACATACACATGCATGCACAGACACATGTATATACCCATACACGTTCATGAACATACACACGTATATATCCATATACACACATGCACATGTACACACATACACACACACATCTCACACACATCTACATACACTCATGCATATATACACATACATGCACACACATACACACACATGTATATCCACATTCACACACATGGGCATGCATACACACACAAACATACACACACATAGACTCATGTACATACACATGCACACGTGCATGCAGATACGTACATGCACACACTACCCCCCCCCATGCACACATTGGTGTACATTTATGCAGGTAATCACACATACAAAAACACGTACACATCTATATACACACATGCACATATACACATATATGCACATATATATACACGTGCACACACAAATGCACACAGCCGTATACACATGTATACATAAGCACAAATGCACATGCAAACACATGTACATATCCACATACAGCATGCATCTATGCACACCCCCCCATACCTACATGTACACACATGTACATGTGTACACATTCCATCCATCTCCTACCAGGAACCTCTCACTCTCATGAAAACAACCAGAACCAGACTAATGATTTTTCTTTCAGTTCCGACACTCTGTGAAATTCTAAGTCTTTTCTTCTTTGCATTGAGTGGAGGTATACCACGTGTGAGTCTACAGGCCGGTGCCGGCTCTAACTGCCCAGCTTCCAGCTGTGAGCTGAAAGTCGGTGTCCCCCTGCTCTGCCAGTGCGCCTTGGTGCTTCACGTTTGCCTCATCACGCCTTCTGCGGAGGGCAGAGAAAATGAAGTCGGAAGCTCAGCGGACTCCTCTTACACCTTTGGATTAGGCTTCTGCTCACAAATTCAAGGAACGCCATCAGAAGTGTTTAGCCAGCGTACTTCCGTATGTACTTAGCAGACAAGCGAGCACGATGGGCCAGAGCGCAAAACTGGAGCTCCGAGTAGTTTCTGTAACTGCCAGTGCTGGGAAAATGCAATGAGGCGCCGGCCTCAGGGACCTGTAGGCTGTGTATTGTAATAATTGCAGAATAAGTCCCAAGCAGTTCAATTCACAAGGAGTTTTATAAAACAAGTCCTTTGGAGATTTCTCCACAGAGAATGAGATAATAATCCCTTGTGCCACTTAGGGAAAATGGAAAAGTGAGATCTTTTATAGAGGTGATCATTTTTTTCTCTTTTTGTCCTCAACGTTTCACTCAGAGAGGTAGATGACTGTGATGGATTTTCCAGATACGGTTTTTTTTTCCTGAAGAACTCACCACTTTTGCATATGGGAATGCTAGGGAGCTGAAGAGGAGACAAGAGGCCAAGGCCTGAACTATCAAGTGGGTGGGGAAGGAGGTAGCCCAGGCGCTGCACTAGTGTAAGAGGTGAGGTGGAGCCTCCTGAATGTACACGGTGTGGGTGGATGCCATCAGCACAGCTGGCTTTGTCCTCAGACGTGCTGGAGGCTGGGCTCCTGCCTCTGCCTCCCACTAACCTGTTTAGCACAGGAGACATTATTTCGCCACATCTGTGTCCTGAGTTTTAATCTCTGAAATGTAAATAACAGTAATGAGTCTTCCATGGAGTTTTTGTGCAGATTAATTGAGTCAGTTTCTGCAAAATACCTAGTATTTTGCCTACAACTCAGCACGTATTAAATGAGGTTGTTGTCGACTTTTGAATGCAGAGGATGTGACTTAGAACCACACCTATGCCCCCTGGTACCTGCCATCCACAGGTAAGGCCCACCTTACAGATGGGGAAGGCCGAGAAGTACAGACTTGCCAAGCAGGCTCTGGGGCATCAGGCTTCGTTCCCTTCACTAGGCGCAGCTCACCTTGTGCCCGTGGAACGCCCCTTTATTAACACAGCACAGGCGCATCCCACGAGTGTGCAACACTGAGCGGCGTGCAGCGGTCATCTCTAGGCACGAACCTCCACTTTTCAGGAATTGTTTGCTTGTTTATCACCGGGGTAAGGTGCTGCACAGAGTTCACTTCCTTTGTTCCTCAGTCACAGTGCAGCTGCCAAATCCAGAGACAATTCAAAAGCGGTTTCTGGTCACTCCTCATCATCACAGGCTACCTCTGCTTTTTAAGCTCTTGTTTTCTCCATTTGTAGGGCCACGATACAACTGCGGCTGCAATAAACTGGTCCTTATACCTTTTGGGTTCTAACCCAGAAGTCCAGAAAAAAGTGGACCATGAGTTGGATGACGTCTTTGGTATGTTTGGCCCCTTCCGTGGTATATTGTGGTACCAAGTCCACTGCAGAGATGCCACTGTGTTTACAACAATGAGCAGGAACACTTCCTTGTGGGATCCTTTCCAGTACCATCCTCTTTGCAAGGCCTCGTCCATTCACTCACAGGCCTCTGCCAGTCACCTGGCAAGTGACTGCACTGGGCTGGATGCTGGGGTGCACAGATGCGTGCTGCCGTTCTCAAGGTTAGATGCTGGGGTACACAGATGCGTGCTGCTATCCTCGAGGTTAAAAGTTGGAGTGCACAGATGCGTGCTGCCGTTCTCAAGGTTAGATGCTGGGGTGCACAGATGCGTGCTGCTATCCTTGAGGTTAAAAGTTGGGGTGCACAGATGCGTGCTGCCATCCTCGAGGTTAGATGCTGGGGTGCACAGATGCGTGCTGCCATTCTCGAGGTTAGATGCTGAGGTGCACAGATGCATGCTGCTGTCCTCTAGGTTAGAGGCTGGGGTGCACAGATGTGTGCTGCCATTCTTGAGGTTAGATGCTGGGGTGCACAGATGCGTGCTGCTATCCTCGAGGTTAGAAGTTGGGGTGCACAGATGTGTGCTGCCATCCTCGAGGTTAGATGCTGGGGTACACAGAAGCATGCTGCTATTCTCGAGGTTAGATGCTGGGGTGCACAGATGCGTGCTGCCATCCTTGAGGTTAGAGGCTGGGGTGCACAGATGCGTGCTGCTGTCCTCAAGGTTAGATATTGGGGTGCACAGATGCATGCTGCCATCCTCGAGGTTAGATGCTGGGGTGCACAGATGCGTGCTGCCATTCTCGAGGTTAGATGCTGGGGTGCACAGATGCGTGCTGCCATTCTCGAGGTTAGATGCTGGGGAGCACAGATGCGTGCTGCCATTCTCGAGGTTAGATGCTGGGGTGCACAGATGCGTGCTGCCATCCTCAAGGGCCTCACTGCTTCCAAGGAGAAACAGAAACATACATGAAGCGTCATGGGCTGTGCATTTGAGTGAAGAAGGTGCTATTTGGGAGAATGGAGTAGCTGGTCAAACTATTCAGAAAGGTACAGGAAAGCCGATTTAGAGAGGATTGCATCTGACCTGTATAAATAAAGGAGAGAAAAGATGGATAAAGCTACCAGGAGTGAAACTTCTGTTCTAAGTCAAGCAGGAGGAGAAGCGTCCTGCTGGATGCCAGTAGGGAGGTCCAGGGCCCCGGGCTTGCTCCTCTGCTCCCTGCCAGTCCTGCTCTCTTGGCTTTTGTCTTCTTGATTGGTGTTCCAACTATCACGTTCATTTTCAAGGCAGGAAGGCAGGGAGGTGGGGGTGCTGGGTGTGTTGGTGTCCTGTGGCTCCTGTGACAAATTCACAGATGGGGAGGTTCCCAGCAGCAGATGCCTGTTCCCTCACAGTTCTGGACCCCCAAGTCAAAGATCAGTGTCGCTGAGCCTACATCACCGTGTGGGCAGGACTGTGCTCCTTCCGGAGAAGAAAATCCACCCTTTGTCACTTCAGCCTCTCCTGGCTGACAGCCGCATCACGGACATCTCTGCCAGTTTCTGCATCACCTTCTCTTCTTCTGGGTGTGTGTGTGCACGCATGTGCATGCATGTGTGGTGTGGTGTGTGTGTGTGTGCTTGTGTCTTTCTCTCACAAGCATACTTGTGATGGCATTCAGAGCCCACCTGAATAATCGCCCCACTGTAAGATCTTTAATTTAAATCTGCCAAGAGTTCCTTACTTCCAAATGGGGTAACGTTTACAGACTGCAGGGTTTAGGACCTAATATTTGGGGGCCCATTATCAGTCTGCCCCAAAGAGACTTCCGTCAATTTTATCCTTTTTAAAAATCACATGTTCCCCAATAACTGCAAGGTGAAAAGGAATAAAGTTGTGTTAGCCAAGCGACGAGGAGAATCTGATGCGGTTTCACAGCGAGAGGCGGGAAGGAAAACTGAAGGAATGCGGCTGGAGAGAGAAGGCCTTCCAGAAAGAGAAGTGGATGAGCAGGGGCACTGAAGTGGAAGGGTTTCTGGTTCGGAGGGCAACAGTGGAGGGTGAGAGACAGTGAAAACTCGTCTCATTACGGAGATGAGGACGGACAAGCAGCTTTGTATGCAGACTGTACAGGGACCGGAATTTCACATTAAGAGGCAAGCTTTTATTTTGCAGAATGGACGCCATCGAAACCTGTTGGCGACATTTTTGTCATTTTATTTTTTTCACATGGATTTTAATTTTGCTTAGATTTCCTCGAGTGGGTAAATGTGGTCTTCGAAGAGCTCACAGGTTCTTTAGGAATAGGTTCCAATCTTGTGTATCCCCTACAACGTTTAGCTGATTGCCAGCTTCGCAAATGCTCCGTGGTCCTGCAGAATTAGTGGCACACTCATCGTTTCTAGAGTCTGTGTTCTGTGCATCTCGTATTTTCTGCTTACTGTGCCGCCCTTTTCCTTCTACTCCCAATCCTGGTAGAATTTTTGAGCAACTAATCTTTGTGTACTGAGTTGCAAGTATTAATTCCTTATGTTATTTTCTTTTTACTGAGGTAAATGTCACATAACATAAAATCCATCATTTTAAAGTGTACATTTCAGTGACATTTGGTACCTTCGCCATATTGTACGATAGTCACGTCTACATAATTCCAGAACATTTTCAGTTAAAAGGAAACTCAGTATCATCAACCAGTCACTCTTCATTCGTCCTTCCCCTGGCCCTGGCAGCCTCTAATGTACTTTTTGTCTCTATGGATTTACCTATTCCAAGTACTTCCTATTCATGGATTTGCATAATATGTGAACTTTTGTGTCTGTTTATTTTTATTTATTTATTTTTTTTTTTTTTGAGACGGAGTTTCGCTCTTGTTACCCAGGCTGGAGTGCAATGGCGCGATCTCAGCTCACCGAAAACTCCGCCTCCTGGGTTCAGGCAATTCTCCTGCCTCAGCCTCCTGAGTAGCTGGGATTACAGGCACGCGCCACCGTGCCCAGCTAATTTTTTGTATTTTTAGTAGAGACGGGGTTTCACCATGTTGACCAGGATGCTCTCGATCTCTTGACCTCATGATCCACCCGCCTCGGCCTCCCAAAGTGCTGGGATTACAGGCGTGAGCCACTGCGCCCGGCCCGTGTCTGTTTATTTTACTTGGCACATTGTCTCATTTTATTTTCATTTTACATAATATTAGAAATTCTGCTTTAGCTGTGGGTATTTCCCATGCCATGATCCACGTGTTCTTCTTTGGTGGGTATTTGATGGGTATTTAGCATCCTGTGTGTTGGTCCACGTGTTATTCTTTGATGTCTGCACCCCAGGCCCACACCACAATTTCAGGTCATCTTATCCACTTGCTTTCATCAGGGAATTCTCTCCGTCCTGCTACCATAGAAGACCTGAAGAAACTTCGGTATCTGGAATGTGTTATTAAGGAGACCCTTCGCCTTTTTCCTTCTGTTCCCTTATTTGCCCGTAGTCTTAGTGAAGATTGTGAAGTGGGTAAGTATGCTATAGCTAAGTAGAAGGGAGAGGGAAATTTTTAAATGTCTGTCCTGCTCCCATCTCATGACGTATTGACTACTTCTTGACAGCGGGTTACCGAGTTCTGAAAGGCACGGAGGCCGTCATCATTCCATATGCGTTGCACCGAGATCCAAGATACTTCCCCAATCCCGAGGAGTTCCAGCCCGAGCGGTTCTTCCCTGAGAATGCCAAAGGGCGCCATCCATACGCCTATGTGCCCTTCTCTGCTGGACCCAGGAACTGTATAGGTTTGTATGCATCTGCATTGTTTGACTTTCAGACCCACGTGATAGTAGGTTTCTTACAGAGATTCCTTTGAGATGTGATGTGACATTGCCCGTATGCAACAGTCTTAACAAAATAGCTGGTTTCTTTTTTTCCTCACTTACTGGCTCTGTAATTTTAAAATATCATTGTCAAAAGGTATATTAGTACATTAGCTTGCATGGGCTTCCATAGCAAAATAACATAGACCGGGTGTGAGAAATTTATTTCTCACAGTTCTGGGGCGGGAAGTATGAGATCGAGGTGCTTCTGAGGCCCATCTCTGTGGCTGGGAGATGCCATCTTCTCCCCATGTCTTCACTCGGTCTTTTCTCTGTGTGGGACTGTGTCCTGATATCTCCTGTCAGACTGCACTAGGGCCCACCCCAGTGACCTTATTCATACTTAATGACTTTTTAAAATGACCTGCCTCCAAATACAGTCATATTCTAAGGTATGGGTGGTTAAGACTTCAACATATGAATTTGGAGAGAGACACAATTACCCGTAACATAAAACATAATCAGTTTCATGGTGGAGTTCTGAAATGCTGTTGATTTTTAATTACAGCAGGATATAATTTACTGTGGTAAAAACTTCATGTGATTACTTGTGGCTAACCTAATCTTTGTGTGTACTGCTTTTAAGAATTTCATTTTGCAGATCAAAACAGAAAATGCTTGCCTATGGCCGGCTGAAGTGTTTAAGCAAAGCGAATGCGCGGCGTCGCCCTGCATTTTAAACCATTTTGGTTTTAGCATCTTTAGCATCTTATTTATGTAAATGCAGACATTAGTAAAGTGAGGTCAGATTGAAATGGGTGAATCTGAAGCTTTTTGGTGAATCCATAGTGGATTAAAGACACTAAGACACAATCTAGAGTAGTGAGTCTCAAGCCTGAATGAGCTCAGGATTTATCTGGAGCACAAACTCCCCGGCCTTCCCAGCTACTGAGACAGGCACGGTGGGAGTAGGAGGGACACTCGCGACTCTTCATTTGTAACAAGTGTCCCAAGTCATTCTGATTCTCCTTCTGCCTGTGTGAACATATAAAAAGGGTTGCTTCCTGTGGCAGAAGCCCTTGTTTCTCACATTTGGGATCAGTCTATAACCAAAGTGATGATATTTACATTAATTTGAAGGTCAAAAGTTTGCTATGATGGAGGAAAAGACCATTCTTTCATGCATCCTGAGGCGCTTTTGGGTAGAATCCAACCAGAAAAGAGAAGAACTTGGTCTAGAAGGACAGTTGATTCTTCGTCCAAGTAACGGCATCTGGATAAAGCTGAAGAAGAGGAACACAGACGGACCCTAACTATGTCATTGGGTTGTGCCTTTATCATGACAAAGGTCTTTCTTTTAAGAGGTCTTTGGCATTTACAATTTATAGATCGTGAGTTCAATATGCTTGAATCCCCTAGACCTAATTTTTCCTTGTTCCAGGGATCTTGACATCAAGCCTAACCAAGAATTTTGAGTTTGGTATTTTCCTTTTTTTGAGACTGAGGCTTGCTCTGTCACCCAGGCTGGAGTGCAATGGCGCAATCTTGGCTCACTACAACCTCTGTCTCCCTGGTTCAAGCAATTCTCCTGCCTCAGCCTCCAAAGTAGCTGGGACTACAGGTGCCCACCAGCACACCCAGCTAACTTTTTTTGTATTTTTTAATAGAAACAGGGTTTCACCATGTTGGCCAGACTGGTCTCGAACTCCTGACTTCAGGTGATCCACCCGCCTCAGCCTCCCAAAGTTCTGGGATTACAGGCCTGAGGCACCATGCCCAGAATACCTTTAGAATTTATTAAAGGTATTCAGGTTGACTCGGGAACACACACACATGCACGTACACACACAATATAATTTGAAAAGAGTGAGTAATTAAGTATTCTGACTTAGGCTTTTAGGTTTTAAAATTATGTTAGTGGCATCAGTGATGACAAGAATAATTGTAGTACTTTCCAGATTTTATCACACAGAGCAGATTGTTTACAAGTTGATTTATAGGTTCTCTACAGTTTCTCGTTTGTGCACGTGTAGTCTTTAATTCCTCATAGAATCACAATCACCTTTATCTTTCATATTATTGGAAGAGATTCATCTTCAGAATCTCCAATTTTTCACAGTGCCTCACAGGGTTAATCATGCCTTTTGGAGTTATAAGGGCCTTAGAACTTACCCAGTTATGCTCCTTTATATGATAGTAAGGGGATGGAATTAAGACAGTAAGTTTCTGCCCAGAGTCATGCTGCCAGCTGGTGACACAGCTGGAAATACGTAGAGATCTATACTCTGAATCTCCCCGTCGCATACCCATATGCCTTCTACAACGTGCCGTAGCTCTGTGGAACTCAGGGGATGATCAGATGTGTCACTAGAACATGGGTCTTCCGCTTCCGATGTAGGCATTGCTCTGGGATTCTTCCTTAAAGGAAAAAGGAAGCCATTCATCTCCATTTACTAACCAGTAATATCTCACTTAGTGTGGGGCTAGACCCTTAGTTAATTCAGCCCGGCACACCACACTTATCAAGCTGATAACTGACACAGATTCCCTGAATTCTAATTTGATAGACAATACATCTGCCTACTCCATGATTTCTTAAAACTTCATTTAATAATTTAAACAAGATTGGTTTGGTTTTGTTTTCAATTTTTATTCATTCTTCGTAGAATCACAGTTACCTTTATATATTATATATTATTGGCAGAGATTCCTCCGTAATCTCCGGCGTCTCAGTGTCTCACAGGTTTGATCAATGGCTTTGGAACTGGAAGGACCTTAGAACTTCCGTGATTATGCTCCCAATAGGCAATAGCAGATAGAACTGTGCGATCCAGAAGGGAGGATATGTATTTTTCACTGGGTAGCAAAAGAAGTTACAGAACCGAAGCCATTTGGCAAGCCCTCAGCCTGGGCCATTCAGGGCAGGGGAAGCCTCAGCCACTGCACCCCTTAACTAACCCAGAGAGCCACAGTGCGTACCACCCAGGTCCTAAACTGATGAGAAAAGTCAAGGAAGGAGGGGATACAATTGGAAATATTCTCATCAAATGGTTGATCTCATTATCTAAAAATGGGTGTATTAGAAAATTTCCTTCCAAGACGATTTTGGATAATAAAAGTTGTATTCATGTAACTTGGTATCATCTCTCAATGTTCTGCACTTACCTTTATCTCTTACATGTGTTTAGTGACCCTCCGTAACACAGGACATTATATTTAAAGTGAAACCTTGCTTAATGTTACCTTTTGGCCTGAGAGCCTCATTCAGCTCTAGAATTATTGTTACTCTTATTTTAATCAGTAAGTCATTTAAGCTATGACAGTAGGAACTGACAAATTCTTTCATGTGCTGCAATATTGAAATGTGGATGCTGCCTTGTTTTATAAGATGATCAAGTTCCCATGACCTGTCTGTCTTCTGTTTGAAAGACATGTCTCAAGAAAAATACATTGTATTTTAGATGCAGGTGCTGCATTTTATTCTAAGAAATGGTATCAATTCTAAACATAGAAAACTGTTAAAAGATAAATCAGTGGGTGGCTGATTCCTAATGGGTAATGAAAGAAATGGCACTGTTGCCGGGCATGGTGGCTCACGCCTGTAATCCCAGCACTTTGGGAGGCTGAGGTGGGTGGATCACGAGGTCAAGAGATCGAGACCATCCTGGTCAACATGTGAAACCCCATCTCTACTAAAAATACAAAAAATTAGCTGGGCATGATGGCGCGTGCCTGTAATCCCAGCTACTCAGGAGGCGGAGGCAGGAGAATTACGTGAACCCAGGAGGCGGAGGTTGTGGTGAGCCGAGATCGCGCCATTGCACTCCAGCCTGGGTAACAAGAGCGAAACTCCATCTCAAAAAAAAAAAAAAAAAAGAAATAGCACTGTTGAGTTGATGTCATCAGTGACTCTTAGATTTTCTAACCAAAGGTTTCTGTGCTGTTGTCACACACTGATTGTGAATTTCTCTGACTGAAAAATCAACTAGAAGAAGTAGAATCACCAGAACATTTTGCTCGGCTGAAGGCACAAAGTAATGTCAGTTACTGGGAATCGGCAAAAAACCACAGGCATCGCTGGCCCCAGGGATTTAGAGTCCAGAAACCTCTCCAGGTGATGGCCTGTTGACTGGGGCCCTGTGCATTGTCACAGACAGCTGGGGAATGTCAGTTTCTGGACCAAATGACCCAATAAGAGATGGCGGTCAAAAAGATCATTTTTATCTGGAATGTGTCTGGAAGATCGAAATGTTTTTCCTTCCAGCATCTAATCCCCGACATTAAAAAATTTTAGTCTGCCCAGGCACCCTGGTTTTCTAGGAGCAGCACTCTTATTTTTGAAATCGTCCTACAATAAATTTACCCTCTTCTGCTCTCCGCATCTTTTTCCTTCCCCAGTACACACACTGTAAATATGCGGCTTCGATTGGAGCTGCCGTGTTCTCAGACGATCCCACTTTCTCAACCTCAAGAGGGGGTTACATTTGAGTTCTCCCCATGAGTTTTTGCAGCTGCAATTGAAGAAGAGATACAGTTCATCTCTTGTGGTGCAAACTCCAATCAGCAGTAGATCAATCAGCAGTAGAACCTCTGGAGCAGCTGCTGGGTGATGGACAGAGAAGAAGCAGACAGAAGAAATGGACAGAATCCTGGAGGAGTCGGAGTCCCACGTGCCAGGTGATGCTGAGGCTCACTGCACGTCTTCCCTGCCCACTGTTCCGTGGGTCCACCCTCCTTGGGACCCAAGAACCAGCATATTGCCCTTTGCTCACATGGATTGTCTTTCATTTATGACCAAAAGTGACTTAGTGTGTGTCAGGCCGGCTGCAGGCTGAAGAAAGGGCTCTCATTCTCTGGATATGATCTTAGGTCTCCACCCTGTTTTCTTTGTGCTGCTCAGTAATTCTCTAGATTGGATTAACAGCACAGATGCAATACCATTTGAGAAAATGCAGTTCTGTCTTTTCTAGATAGTAGGAAAGCTAAAGTTACACGCATCATTTTAGAATGCAGCTAGGCTTAACCTAACACAGCAGTCTGGTTTTTCGGTTCTGGCTTGATGACTCTCTGGGCTAATTAGTCATTTTTCTCCTTCTCTACTTAAACCAGATTCATTTTCCTGCTGGCTAGCTGTATGCCAGATTTCAGGGATACATCTCTCATCTCTAATTACTAAAATGAACTGGCTGGATTCTTTCCTCAGTTTCTTGTCTGGAAATTCACCAAATGGTTATTTCCTCAGGCCGAAATTCAGTTTCAGAATCAACTCCAGCCTTTAGCTGTTTATCTTGTTCTCTTTATCCCAGTAGAGAAATTTTTGGCACGTTCCTTCTCCTTCCATGATTCTCTCTCCTCTTTACGCATCATGTTCTTTCTGTTGGGGTTTGCATTTATTGATCTCTGCCTTTCCTGATACTATTCAATCTTTTTCACAGAAATAAAGCCTATACTAAAACGCAGATTCCTATATAAGAAGTTGTAATAACGTTTTTCCTTCAATAAGGGACATATGAACGGTGTAGATCTTATCGGGAAGAAAAATTATCACACGATTTAGACATGCCTGTCTTATTTTTTAGATGTTTTCAGTTTACTTTTAGTAAACAAACTGCCATATATAGTTTTAAAATATGTGTTTTAGCTGAATAGCAAAAAAAAACCCAACAATATATATGTGTGTATATATATATATATATATATATATATATATATATGGACACAGAAGTGTCTATTGGGCATTCCCAGGAAGGGGAGTAACCTTTTTTTCCTTTTTTCTTTCTTTCCTTCTTTTCTTTCCATATTCTACCTTTAAGCTTTGCCTCCTTGCTTGCTCCAATGAAGCCCACGTTTTAAGTTTTATGCTATGGAAATACAGTAAATTAAGACATTTATTTTTTGAGCCAGGGTCTCACTCTGTCACCCAGCCTGGAGTGCAGCCTGCTGTCACGGCTCATAGCAACCTCCACCTCTTGGGCTCAAGGGATGCTCCCACCTCCGTCGCCTGAGTCGCTAGAACTACAGGTGCAGGCCACCACACCTGGCTAATTTTTGTGTTTTTTTTTTTTTTTTTTTTTCTGTAGAGATGGGGTTTTGCCATGTTTCCCAGACTAAATTAAGACATTTAAATCACTCAGGCACAACTCATTTTATCATGTTGCCACATCTTCCTAGGAGGGGTTGTGCTTCGGTCTTTTCAGCTGTCTGCACCTTAACTGTGACAATTGTCAGTAACGCTGGGTGTTGTTGCCAGTGCCGGCTGGTTGTTTCCAAAAGCAATGCTGTTTTGGAAAGGCAAGGACTGCAGTGTGTCATATGATACAGTTGGACAGAACCTCAAGAGGACATCTGCTCCCACCAAAGGGCATTCAGCAGAACGAGGACCGATCAGAATTCCTCCAACAATCATTTTCAGTGTCATCTAAAACTAGCAGTTAATAGTTTCCATGTGTGACTGTGACTCTCCTGCGAGAATGAGATGGTCTGCAACTGTGGGTAAAGGAAACTTCCTGTTCTCAGTCTCTTGTTTTTAAAAAATATTTCATTCCTTGTTCGTGTGCTTATTTATCATTTCGTTCTTTCATTCATAAAAGTCTGCCAGGTACTACTCAGGGAACTGAGGAAAGACAGCAAACAAGCCCAGTCCTCCCAGCAAGGTGTTACAGACAGAGGACATCAGAAAAACAACAGAAATGGTCAAGGAGGTAACAGAACGGCAGGGGGTGAGAAGCACTGAGCAGAAAGACAAAGAATAGTAAGGAGACGGGAGGTGGAAGAGATGGAAGGTCCTTTTCAGATGAGCTGCTTGCGGGAGGATGGCATCCGGAAAAGATGATGTTTGCAGGAGGTGGAAGAGATGGAAGGTCCTTTTCAGATGAGATGCTTGCGAGAGGATGGCATCCGGAAAAGATGATGTTTGCAGGAGGTGGAAGAGATGGAAGGTCCTTTTCAGATGAGCTGCTTGCGGGAGGATGGCATCCTGAAAAGATGATGTTTGCAGGAGGTGGAAGAGATGGAAGGTCCTTTTCGGATGAGATGCTTGCGAGAGGATGGCATCCGGAAAAGATGATGTTTGCAGGAGGTGGAAGAGATGGAAGGTCCTTTTCAGATGATGTTTGCAGGAGGTGGAAGAGATGGAAGGTCCTTTTCAGATGAGCTGCTTGCGAGAGGATGGCATCCAGAAAAGATGATGTTTGAGCACTGGTGTGACTGAAGCGAGTCACGTGGGAATCTAGGACAAGGGGAGGTGGAGAGTCATCCTGGAAAGTGTCTCAGGGGAGGCTCTGGAGAAAAGCCCTCTTTGAAGCACATGCAATTTTTTGGAATAGTCAGTGCTTTGGGATTGTAGAAGTGAAGTCGCCATGTTCTTTTTGGCTTTTGTCCCCATGGCCCACCTGAAAGCCGGCACTGGAGCACTTCCCTGCTGCCAGTCCCTCTCACACTCTGAACCTCTCTGACTTCTCATGCTGACAGCAAAGGAGAACTCTGCCTCTAATGGGCTCGTAGGATGGGAGTCAGCCCACCCTGATCGTCTCCATTTTGATTAGCACAAAGTCAGCTGCTTAGTAATCTCAACCCCATCAGCAGAATTGCTTTTCTCATGTAACGTAATCGTGGGAAGATGTGATATCTCATTTTGTTCACTGTCCCCAGGATTTGAGTGGAAGATTTGGGAGAACATTTTAGAATTCTACCTACCATGCCTCTTTTCAGCTTAATTCTGATTTGGTTCACCTGGATCTACAGAGGTTTTTAAGGTTTTTTTTAAATTTTTTTAGACAGAGTTTTGCTCTTGTCACCCAGGCTGGAGTGCAATGGCCTGATCCTGGCTCACCACAACCTCCACTTCCCAAGTTTAAATGCTTCTTCTGTCTCAGCCTCCTGAGTAGCTGGGATTTCAGGTGCATGCCATCATGCCCAGCTAATTTTGTATTTTTAGTAAACAAGGGGTTTCTCCATGTTGGCCAAGCTGGTCATGAACTCCCAACCTCAGGTTATCCACCTGCCTCAGCCTCCCAAAGTGCTGGGATTACAGGCGTGAGCCACCACGCCCAGCTGGTTTTTTAGTTTTACGTATTACTAGAATGTAACATGTTTCACTGTGAGAAAACTTCAAACTAAACACAGAAGCACATTTAAATAGGTTAAAAGTCTGTAATCTCACCTTTTAGGGAAATAAATCCCCAAGGGTTTCCACTGTGATTTGAAGGCAGGGCACTTTTGTCCCACTTGTCCTTTTTTCTGCTGAGCCTGGTAGCAGATGAAATCTCAAATTTGAATTGTTTCATATTGCACACAGTAGACAGTGCTGTTGCCTGCTGCTGTACCATTCGATATCCTAAATCTACAAGACAGCACAACATGCATATTTAAAATACGCATTTTACTTCATTCTCGCCAGAAAATATTTTATTGGCAACATTGTCCTACATTTCTAATAAATACAGTTTTGCATTCCAGTAATATACATAAAATATTTACTCAAGAATAAACTCCCCAAAGGTCTAACTTACTGATCAAGATGATATACTGTAATTTCAAGGAACAGAAAACAAAGATTTAGTGGGCAAGTCATTATGGTCCTTAAATATTTTAAAAGCAGAAAAAAGAGAAAAAATTATTTTGTGTGGGTCTAGTACGTAAATCTAGGACTGAAGGGTAGACATTGTAAGGAGGCATATTTCAGTATACAGGGAGTTTTTTCTTAAAAATAAAATTAAAATAGAGCTCCCTGAGTTGGAGCAGGCTGCTTGGAAAACCGGTTTCTCTTCAGTCGAAGTATTTTAGCAGGAAAGTTTAAAGTCTATGTCAGAAGTGCTGTCCGGAAGGTTTCAGCCAACCTTATCTGTAGAGTCAGTAAATCTTCTTGCCTTTGGAGGCCATGCTGCTTCTGTAGCAACTTAGCTCCACCATTGTAAGGTGAAAGCAGCCATAGATAGTAAGTGAATGAATGGCCATGGCTGTGTGTCAATAAAACTTTATTCACAAAACAAGTAGAAAGCCAAATGTGGTTGGTCTGTGAACTGTGGTTTGTCAAGCCTGATATATTGCATTTCCTGAACTGAATGGGAATAGGACCTAAACATCAACCCAGTCCTTCCAAATCTAAGATTTCGGTGTGACATGATATCCCTCTAGGAGGAGCTAGCCATACCCATTCGTTACTCACTGTGCCTCCAAGCAAGTCTAATCAAGTTCAGTTAGACGAGGTTTCAACTGCGTGCCACCAAATAACTGGGAATGTTATGAGCACTTTTAAAAATGGAAACCTGTGCATAAACTGTGTGACCCTAAAATGAAATCAGGCTCTTTTTGAGTACAGCATTTTTCTAACTTTTTTGATATATCATTTACAAATAAAAATTATGCATATGTCTACTCTGTACCACGCAGTGTTTTGATATACGTGTAGACTGTGAAATGATTACCACAGTCAGGCTAATTAACATGTCCATTGTTTTTCATAGTTGTCATTTGTGCCTGTGTGCACATAAAATCTATTCTCTAGCGAAGGTCATTTATATGATACAGTGTTATGACCTATAGTCACCGTGTTTGTATTAGGCTTCTCTAGAAAGACAGAACTAATAGGGCAGGTGTACATAGAAAGGGAGTTTAATTAAGCAGTATTGACTCACAGGATCACAAGGTGAAACCCCACAATAGTTTGTCTGCTGGCTGAGGAGCAAGGAAGCCAGTCCAAGTCTCAAAACCTCACAAGAAGGAAAGTGGACAGTGCAGCCTTGGGTCTGTGGTCGAAGGTCCAAGAGCCCCTGGCAAAGCACTGGTGTAAATCCAAGAGTCCAAAAGCTGAGGAACCTGGAGTCCGATGTTCCAGGGCAGGAAGCATCCAGCACAGGAGAAAGATGGAGGCCAGAAGACTGCCAGTCTAGTCCTTCCACGTTCTTCTTCCTGCTCTTATCCTAGCCCTGCTGGCAGCTAGATGTTGCCCAACCAGACCGGGGGGGGGGTCTGCCTTTCCCAGTCAACTGACTCCAGTGTTAATCTCCTTTGGCAACCCCCACAGACACATCCCGGAACAAGACTTTGCATCCTTCAATCCAGTCAGGTTGACACTCAGAATTAACCAACATGAGTCCACTCCTTGTCTATTTGAACCCATACACATCTCCTGAAATCATATATGATCTTCAAATAAAGACAATAATAAGGTATAATTAAAGATAATTTCACCTAACGTAATACAGCTATCCTCTGTACAACCAGAAATGCACCAATCCCCAATTCAAATGCTATTGCATAAAGTTAACATTTAAATGCTGATATAAAGCAAATACATCTTACGTTACATGATAAAGGAAAAAGGCAATAAAATGAAGATATTTTCTTAGTACAAGTGTATACATGCACAAACATATTCTTAACAAAATAAGGAGGAGATATATCGATTACAGTCCTCCTTTCTGCAACTGGTCTCATGGGCGCAGCTGGGGCTGATGACTACCTTCCACTATCCATTCTTCATTCCTTTTGCCTTCAGCAAGCAGCTCAGCAGGCTGTGGCTTTTTACCTGGTGGAGTGACCCAAACCTTCATTCCTAAGGGATCTGGGCTGTATGGAGTGCCGCCTGGATTGGGCTGTTAGAGTTTCCCATTGACCTTAATCACAGGGCATGGTAATACTAAGAAGGGATCTCCTGTATTTCTCACATCCTCTTCCTTACCTTCATTGTGGAGTGATAGAATAACTTCATCTTGATAGTCCAGGTCAATCGCTCCAGCCAACACTCTAACTCCCTTCTTAGCCTGTTGATTTAGAGGTACAAGGAGCCCAAAGTGGCCAGGTGACAATCTTAACTTCCAGTCTAGTGGAATCCTTGTGTCTTCCAGTGGCAGCATTTTTTCCTCTGGAACTAAGACCTTTAGGCAAGCAGAAAGTAATGTCTTGGGAACAGGAAGCAGAAATTTTGCTAGTGGGTCACTATGGGTGATGGTGGATGGTGCCACTTTCACTTCCACCCCTTGATTTCTGGACCTGTGAATCCTGGCTATGGGTGAAACAGTACCATACACTGGATGCTGATTCGGAGCATACACAGCCTTCTGGAGAATTTTGCCCCAGCCCTGCAAAGTATTGTCACCTAGTTGGCATTGTAATTGTGACTTCAAAATGCCATTCCACCATTCTAGCAGTATAGCTGCTTCAGGACGATGGGAAGCAATGTTGTACATTAGATCCTCCAACTTATTCACACTGCATAATCGAAACTTTGGACCCTTTGACCAAAATCACCCCGTAGACTGCACTCCCGATACTCTGGCTACCACTATTCTACTCTCTGTTACTATGACTCCGACTTTTTTAGATTCCATATGTAGGTACAAGTGCACCTCTTCTGATGACCACACAATCTTTATCCTTCGTTTTGTTAATGTGGTATAACACCTGTATTGAGTTGCAGATGTTGAGCCATCCTTGCATCCCAGGCTCAGTTGATCACGATTCTTTTAACGTGTTGTTGAATTTAGCCTGGGTAATATTTCCTTTGGGATTTTTGGACCTGTGTTCCTCAGGAATATTGATCTATAATTTTAATTTTGTTTTCTTGTGATGTTCTTCTTTGGCTCTGCTATCAAAGTAATGCTGGCCTCATTCAATGAGATTAGAAACGTTTCCTCGTTTTCTTTTCTTTTTTTTTTTTTTTTGAGACGGAGTTTCACTCTCGTTACCCAGGCCGGAGTGCAATGGCGTGATCTCGCTCACTGCAACCTCTGCCTCCTGGATTCAGGCAATTCTCCTGCCTCAGCCTCCTGAGTAGCTGGGATTACAGGCACGCGCCACCACGCCCAGCTAATTTTTTGTATTTTTAGTAGAGACGGGGTTTCATCATGTTGACCAGGATGGTCTTGATCTCTTGACCTCGTGATCCACCTGCCTCGGCCTCCCAAAGTGCTGGGATTACAGGCGTGAGCCACCGCGCCCGGCTCCTTGTTTTCAATTATTTAAAAGTTTGAGAAAGATTGGTGTTAGTTCTTCTTCAAATGTTTGTAGACTTCACCAGTGGAGACACTGGGTCCTAAGCTTTTCTTAGCTGAGAGTTTTTATTCTGATTTAATCTCCTTACTCATCATTGGCCTGCTCAGATTTTCTGTTTCTCCCTGATTCAGTCCAGTAGGTTGTATGTTCCTAGGAATTTTTCCTTTCTTCTATGTTATCTAATTTGTTGATATCTTGTTTTTCATAGTAGTCTCATGATATTCTGTATTTCTGTGGTATCCATTGTTATGTTTCCTTCTTCATTTATAATTGTATTTCTTTGAGCTTTTTTTTCTTTTTCTCCTAGTCTAAAGATTTCTTGATTTATCTTTTTAAAAACAACAACAGTGTCATTGACCTTTTCTGTTGTTTTTCTACTCTCTATTTCATTTATCTCTGCTGTGACCTTTATTATTTTCTTTCTTCCTCTGGCTTAGGGCTTAGTATTTTTTCTTTCTTATTGCTTCAGGTATAAAGTTAGGATATTTGAGATCTTTCTGTTTTCTTAAGGTAGGCGTTTATCACTATCAGCTTCAGGTATAAAGTTAGGATATTTGAGATCTTTCTGTTTTCTTAAGGTAGGCGTTTATCACTATCAGCTCCCTTCTTAGAACCGCTTTTGCTGCATTCCATGAATTTTCAGTCCCATAAATTTTGTTTCTATTTTTATTTTTCTCAAGATAGTTTTTGATTTTCCTTTTGATTTTTCTTCTTTGACTCATTGGTTGATCAGGAGTGTGTTGATTTTCATGTATTTGTGAATTTTCCGGTTTTCCTTCTGTTATTGAGTTTTACTTTTATGCCATTATGTTTGGAAAAGATACTTATTTCAGTCTTCTTAAATTTATTAAGATGTGTTTCATGGCCTAATATATGACCTATCCTGGAGAATGTTCTGTGTGCGCTTACAAAGAATGTGTATTTTGCTGCTTTTGGAAGGATGTTCTGCATGTGTCTGTTAGGTCTATTGACTTTCAGTGTTTTGAAATCCACAGTTTCCTTGTTGATTTTCTGACATTGCTATTTATTTCTCCATTAGTTATGTTAATATTTGCTTTATAGGTTTTGATGCATTGACATTGGGTATATATGTATTTACAGTTTTTATAGCCTCTGGATGAATTGACCCTTTTATCATTATCTAATGACCTTCTCTGTCTCACATGACAGCATTTGACTTAAACTCTGTCTCATCTGTTATAAGGACAGCCAACTCTGCTTTCTTTTGGTTATCATTTGAGTGGAATCTCCTTTTCCATCCCTTCACTTCCCGCTTATGTCTGTCCTTAAGGCTAAAGTGAGTCTCTTACAGACAGCATACAGTTAGATCTTGTTTTTAATGTACTTATCCACTGTCTTTTGATTGGATAATTTAATACATTTACATCTAAAGTAATTCTTGGTAGGTAAAGGTTTTCCACTATCACGTTGTTAATTGTTTTCTGATTGTGTGTAGCTCCTTTGTTGCTTCTTTTTATCTCACTGTCTTCCTTTGTGATTCAATGGCTTTTTTGGAGCAATTTGCATTGCTTCCTTTCTCTTTATGTTTAGTGTATCTGCCACAACTTCTTCTTTGTGGTCATCATGAGGTTTACATAGAATATTTCAAAGCTATAGCGTCTATTTTAAGCTGATAACTTCAGCTGCATTTAAAAACACTGTATTTTAACTTTTCCTCCTTCCACATTTGATTATTCCTGGCATAGTTTACATCTTGTAAATGTTGTGTATTCATTAACAAATTATTGTGGTTATGGTATTTTCTAATACTTTTGTTTTTTAACTTTTAGACCAGAGTTAAAAGTGATTGCTTTACAATTATAGTATTAGAGTATGCTGAACTTGACTAAGAGCACCTTTAACAGAGTTTTATTCTTTCATACACTTTTTGTTAGTTCGTGCCCTTTTGTTTAAACTTGAGAGTTCCCTTTAGCATTTTTTTGTGGCAGATTTAATGGTGATGAAGTCCCACAGCTTTTATTTGTCTGGTGATATAATTTGGCTCTGTGCCCCCACCCAAATCTCATCTCAAATTGCAATCCCCATGTGCCAAAGGAGGGTAGATGACTGGATCACGGGGATGTCTTCCCCATTATGTTCTTATGATAGTGAGGATGTTCTCATGAGATTTGATGGTTTAAAAGTGGCAGTTAACCCTGTGCACAGGGTCTCTCTCTCTCTCTCTCTCTCTCTCTCTCTCTGTTCTACAGCCTTGTGAAGAAGGTAACTGCTTTCCTTTCACCTTCCACCATAATTGGAAGTTTTCTGAGGTCTCCCCAGCTGTGAGGAACTGTGAGTCAATTAGACCTCTTTTGTTTATAAATTACCCAGTCTCAGGTAATATCTTTTAGCAGTGTAATAATGAACAATACATATAATTGGTACTGGCAGAGTGAGGTACTGCTATAAAGATAACCTGAAAATGTTAAGGAAACCTTGAAACTGGGTAACAGGCAGAGGTTGGAATGGTTTGGAGGGCTCAGAAGAAGATAAGAAAATGTGGGAAAGTTTGAAACTTCCTAGAGACTTGTTGAATGGTTTTGACCAAAATGCTGATAGTCATATTGACAATGAAGTCCAGGCTGAGGTGGCCTCAAATGGTGATGAGAAACAATTGGGAACTGGAGCAAAGGTCTTTCTTGCTATGCTTTAGCAGAGACTGGCAGCATTTTTCTCTGCCCCAAAGATCTATAGAACTTTGAACTTGAGAGAGGTGATTTAGGGCATCTGGCAGAAGAAATTTCTAAGCAGAAAAGCATTCAAGCTATAACCTGGCTTTTTCTGAAAGCATACAGTCATATGCATTCACAAAGAGATGATATGAAATGGGAACTTATAGTTAAAAGGGAAGCAGTGCATAAAAGTTTGGAAAATGTGTAGCCTAATCATGTGGTAGAAAAGAAAAACCCATTTTCTGGGGAGAAATTCAAGCCGGATACAGAAATTTACTTAAGTAACCAGGAGCAAAACGTTAATTGCCAAACAATGGGGAAAATGTCTCCAGGGCATTTAAGAGATCTTCAAGGCAGCCCCTCCCATTACAAGCCCAGAGGCCTAGGAGAAAAAAATGGTTTCCTAGGCTGAGCCCAGGGTCCCACTGCTCTGTGCAGCCCTGGGACTTGGTGCCCTGTTCCCCAGCCACTCCAGCTCCAGCTGTGGCTAACAGGGGCCATAGCTCAGGCTGTTGCTTCAAGGGTGCAAGTACCAAGCCTTGGTGGCTTCCACGTGCTCTTGGGCCTGGAGTACACAGTAAGCAAGAGTTAAGCTTTGAGACCCTCCATGTCGATTTCACAGGAGGTATGGAAACACCTGGTTGTCCGGGCAGAAGTCTGCTGCAGGGGCTGCGTCCCTGTGAAATGTGGGGTTAAAGCCCACACACAGAGTCCCCACTGGGGTACTGCCCAGTGGAACTGTGAAAAAAGTGCCCCCATCTTTCAGACCCCAGAATGGCAGATTCACTGACCACTTTCATCAAATGCCTGGAAAAGGTGCAGGCACTCAGTGCCAGTCCACGAAAGCAGCCGTAGGGGCTGTACTCTGCAGAGCCACAAGGACAAAGCTGCCCAAGGCCTTGACAGCTCACCCCTTGCATTGGCACGCCCTGGATGTGAGACAGAGACTCAAAGGAGATTATTTTGGAGATTTAAAATCTAATGACCTCCCTGCTAGGTCTTGCACTTGCATGAGGTCTGTGATCCCTTTATTTTGGCCAATTTCTTCCCATTGGATTGGGAACTTTTATCCAATTTCTGTAACCCCATTGTATTTTGGAAGTAACTTTTTTTTTTATTTTAAAGGCTCATAGAGGGAAGGGACTTGCCTTGTCTCAGATGAAACTTTGGACTTGGACTTTTGGGTTAATGTGAAATGAGTTAAGACTTTGAAGGACTGTTGGAAAGGCATGAATGGTTTTGAAATGTGAAAAGGACATGAGATTTGGCAGAGGCCAGGGGCAGGCAGAATGATAGGTTAGGCTCTGTACTCCCACCCAAATCTCGTCTTGAATTGTAATCCTCACATGTTGAAGGCGGGGCATGGTGGGAGGTGATGGGATCATGGAGGTGGTTTCCCCTGTGCTGTGATGTCATGATAGTGAGAGATTTGAAAGTGGCAGTTTTCCCTGGACATACAAACACACACTCTCTCTCCTACCACCTTGTGAAGAAGGTGTCTTCTTCCCCTTTGCCTTCCTTCATGATTGTAAGTTTCCTGAGGCCTCCCCAGTCATGGTAACTGTGAGTCAGCTAAATCTGTTTTGTTTATAAATTACCCAGTCTCAGGTAATATCTTTAGAGCAGTGTGAAAATGGACTAATAATCTGGGAAATTCTTTTTCTCTCCTTCCTTTCTGAAGGACAGCTTTGCCTGGTATTATATTCTTGGTTGTCAGGTTTTGTACTTTCAGTACGTTGAATATAACATCCCACTCCCTCCTGGCCTATGTGACTTCTGCTGAGAAATCCACTGATAAACTTAGGAAGCTTCCCTTGTATGTGAAGAATTGTTTTACTTTTGCTGCTTTGAAAACTCTCTCCTTGTGATGGTGAGGATCTTTGTATATTTAATCTATTTGGAGTTCTTTTGGGCTTCATAAATCTGGATGTTTATTTCTTTTATGTCTCCAAGTTTGGGGAGCTTTATGTTCTTATTTTTTAAATAAGTTTTCTGCAACTTTCTTTTCCTCTGCTTCTTCTGGGCCTTTTATAATGCATGTTGGTTTTCCTGATGGTGTCCTGTAAGTTTTGTCAGCTTTCTGCAATCTTTTTCATTCCTTTTATTACTCTGACTGGGTAATTTCAAATGACCTGTATCTGGGCTTGCTGATTCTTTCTCCTACTTGATCAAGTCTGCTGCTGAAGCTGTTTGTAAAATTTTTCAGTTCTGTCATTGTGTTCTTCAGCTCCAGAATTTCTGTTTGGTTCTTTTTTATGGTTCCTGTTTTTTTTTGTTGAACTTCTGATTTTGCCCATGTATTGTTTTCCTAATTTCATTTCCTGTCTATCTACATTGTTTTGTAGTTTATTGAGGTTTCCTAAGACAATTAGTTTTAAACTCTTTGTCATGCAGTATAGATCTCCATTTCTTTAGGGTCACCTCCTGCTGCTTTACTTTCTTCCTTTGATGGTTTCTTGTTTCCTGATTATTTGTGATCAGTGTTGCCTTGCATTGAAGTAGGCACCTATTTCAGTCTCTACATACCAGCTTAAGCAGAGAAAGCCATTCACTGGTCATACTGACCAGAGATTGTGGGTGGCTGTCTGTTGGGGTCTACGCACAAGATTTCTGCTGGAGTTCTAAGCTGGGCAGGGCTGGATTCTGGCTTCAGTGTGGTGGTCTGTAGTCTGTGCGCCAGGACTGGCTTAAAGCATGGATCCTCAGGGGCTGATTTGGCCCTGAAATGAGCATTAAGCCTGAGTCTGCAGAGGCCGGCCTAACATGGGGATCACCTGGCACCTGAATTCATGAGGATAGGCCTGTTTCTGAGTTTATTTAGGCTGTCCTGGCACCAAAGTCCACTAGGGTGAGCCCAGCATCTGAGTCCACATGGCCCAGCATGCAACTGAGATCTCTGGAGACTGACCTCATGCTGGATTTGCAGGGAATGGCCTGGATTCTAAGCCCATGGGTACCAACTTGAATCCTTGGGCTGCTGGGGTTGATATGGAGGTTAGAGTCTTGGGGGCCAGGCTAGAGTTGGAGCAGGCCTGAAGTCTAGATCTTCTGTTCTAGCCCCAAGCTCCAGGAGCTGAGCTGGTCAGGGCTGAACATGGGGCTGAGGCCACAGAAGCTGGTCTGGCCTGTGGCAGGCCTGAATCCTGGTGCTGGGGCTTACTGGAATGGGCGTGGTGCTTGGGATCTGCGGTGAAGTTGGGTGCTATCTTAACTGTCCTTCCTCCATGCAAGAGGGTATCACTCACCATACTGTGCTGCGCAGGCTTGAAGATGGGGTGACACTGATGATGTGAAATTGTCCTTCTTAAACTCGTCAGTGTGTCTTTTCTTATTTCTGTGCTGCCACCAGGTGCTGTAACCTCTCACTTGATTCATTAGCTCTAGTGAAGTAATTTTTGTGTGTGGATGCTTATTCAAATCGATGCTTCTGCAAGGAATGAGCGCTAGAAACTCCTGTTCTGACAACCTCCTGTTCCTATGCTTGCGGACATCACTCCCTGAAATAGTTAATATACTTAGCAGCTGAACACAGATAGGATGTTCATCGAATATGTTGACAGGACAAAAAGTTGAAACTGTTGACGGAAACCCAAAGTCAATATTGAAGCCCAGCAAAATAGTGCCCGCAGCGCCACATGAGAACAGCTTGAAGACTGTTCATTTTTAAGTGACAAGAGACTCCCTCACCTCCACAGAAGCAATTGTGTTTTCAGGTAGCAAATTTCTATTATTCTGATTATTTCCAAATAAACTATAAATTTTAAGGTATAGTTTTTTACTTTATGAGAAAAGTATTCATTTATATTCTAATTTCCTGAGTATTTAGAGAGTATAGAAGTAACTAATACTCTTTTATGTAGAAATATTTAAATGTAAGATGACTTTAAATCTAAGTGAATATTTGACTGATTTAAAGTTTTTTAATGGGCTTTACTATTTTCAGAGGTTTTCTTAGGGATTTTTGGACTGACATCATCGTCATTATTTATTCGTTTTCTTTTTGCCCAGATCAAGAGGTTTCATAACTGTTTACTCTTTCTCTACCAATCGGCTTTCCAACATTACTAGCCACAGAGGTGGCCTAACAGCAATAAACACAGCTAGTCTGGAGGTCTCAATTTGTATCTTGGGAAGCATTATACATTTTCCAACTCCCTAGACACAAATGTACAAAAAAAACCCCTTGTTTTCTATACTGGTGATTGTGTGCTTTGTCTTGCAATTCAGACATTTACAAGAAAATCTATATCACCTTAAATTAAGATTTATGTTAAATGTAGCCTGAAACCAGCAGAGTTATGTATTGTTTTCTTTTTTAGAATGATTTTATTCAAGCAATCAACTTACCTCATTTCCTTGTTTGCTACAGTTTCCTGTGGTAAGTGAATTATCTATAAAACATGAAATTCAGGCTAAGACAGGAGCAGCTAAGCAAATCACATCACCCCTGGAGAAAGCTATTGAACGTACAGCTTCAGGGGGAAAGTTAGTCCCTGATGATTCAGGACATGTGTCTGCTTAATGTTCCGGAGCAAGTACTACTTGTCAGATATATTGCTCTATACATACATTTCAGACCAGGGGGAGGAGCTTGGAAGTGGGAATGTCTTGGGACTTGTGTGGCAAAAACTTCTCCTTAACAAAAAAGTTAGTCTCCTTAACAACAAACATAGTCCTCTATTATTATTATCAACATTAAAAATTAAACTTTATCTGAAAATTCAAAAGAGTGCTAGGCATTTTACAGAGTCTGGGTCCAATCCAAGTTTCTGTTAGGTACGTGATACACAGTTTCATTCTGGATCACTAGGGAGCCATTTCAAAAATGAAAGTATCTGGTTTCAATTTAACTTAGTCAACCATCCATTTGGGTAGTTCTAGGTGAATAGCTTTTGACACCAGATTTCAATCTTATTTCTTTATTCATTTCATGAACTTTTGGAGAAGAAAAATGATTCTGACACCGTTTTTCATTAATCATTTTAGAGGGAATTTTCTCTGTGTCCCCACAAGGCACGATTCTGAGTCTATGGTGACTTAAGGTCCACAAAACAATGAGTTCTTAACTTTCCTCTCAGATGTATGGCTACAGTGAACATCTATGGGTAAGGTTTACGTTCATAGAGAGGGTTTTTCCAAGAACAAAGCTTTTTTTCCCTAAATCATACCTCCCCTGCATCTGTCCCTCAATCCTGATTGCTCTTCTAAACCATAACTTACAAACCCATGTGCAAACCCATTGGAAGCTGAGAAGGAGCATAGCCGGAGATGCTGTGGACCATGGCCAAATCCAGGTGTTTTTTGTTTTTTGTTTTTTTTTTTTTCAAAATAAATTATGGTTATGGCTAGGAAAATTAGGGGTGTAAATAAGCAAAAAATTAGAAACTACATATTGCATGTAGTCCCAAATTCAGAAACAGTCATTGTTAAACATCTCTTTATAGTCTTTCAGATACTTTTCTACCTTTACCTATTTGCACACTTTACAAGAAAGAGTAATTGACTATGGATACTTTTTGACTTGCATTTCCCAGTTACAGCTATCTTTTGATGCAAATAAATATAATATTTTTAGAGCTTGCTTTTCTCTTTTATGGTATTTTTGTGTGCATATTCTTATGTACTTACTCAGTTGTTTCTGTAGAATATATTTTTTGAAATAAAAGTACTGGATTCAAAGGTATGAATATTTTTGAAGGTTTTATGGTTCAGCATCATGAAATTATCATTCAGAAAGGTTACTCCCTAATTGACTTTTTCTACCAGCCAAATGAGCACCCTTATTAGCTGGTAGAAAACGTCAATTAGGGAGTGACCTTTCTGAAAGATAATTTCATGAAATGATCTTTTGTGGCCCACGTAGGCCGTCTCTAACAGGCTTGCTGCTTTGCATCCTGACGTATTTATCTGTCTGGAAAGAGTGTCCTAATCTACTTCTGCAGAGCTCCTGCCTCTCAGTTTTTGTCCATATGGTTCTGGTGACCCCATTTCTGCTGCTGACCCCAGAGCTGGAGCTTGTGACCCACCCAGGCCTGAACCAGGAAATGCACACCTCCTGCTGGCTGCAGTGACCCAATCAGAGCCAACGTCTTGCAACAAATCTTTTGTTTAGATGTCTAGAAATAGAACTCTTACTCTTTTTTTTTCCCCAATTTGACTTAAAACGTAAGAGAATGCAGAGGTCTGAGCTGCTGGTACTATTTTGCTACTATGTGGTGCTTGGGAGTAATGGTAACAGCACGGACTGGAGCAAACAGAAGGAGACATATTGTCTGATGCTATCGGTTGAGGGCAATGTCCAGTTACTCTTTTTTTTTTGAGACGGAGTTTCACTCTTGTTACCCAGGCTGGAGTGCAATGGCGTGATCTCGGCTCACCGCAACCTCCACCTCCTGGGTTCAGGCAATTCTCCTGCCTCAGCCTCCTGAGTAGCTGGGATTACAGGCACACGCCACCATGCCCAGCTAATTTTTTGTATTTTTAGTAGAGACGGGGTTTCATCATGTTGACCAGGATGGTCTCGATCTCTTGACCTTGTGATCCACCCACCTCGGCCTCCCAAAGTGCTGGGATTACAGGCGTGAGCCACCACGCCCGGCCCTGTTACTCTTTAAGCCTGATTCACCATGGGCTTTTTGGATTCTGAACTCAACAGATTTCATTTGTATTCAAGCCACTTTGAACTAGGTTTTCCAACATTTGCGATCAAAATCAGTATATGAATACCAGTTATTTAATTTTTCGCTTTTGCTAATCTCATGGATGAAATGGCTTCAGGTTGTTTTAACTTGCGACTGTTCCCATTTTTATATGCTTCCTAATCACTTCTATTTCTTGTGTAAGTTATCTTTTTATGTTTGTCACCTAATTCTTCACAGTACTTTACTGCTCCTTATTGTTTATGTAATTGTTAAACAAGACTGAATAACCACCCAAAGTCCATGGACATGGGGGCCCATGTAAAAGCTTTGAAAGCCACCATCGTTATGAGATACATTATATAACAGTACTTGACAAACTCTCCAAAATACAGTACAGGCATGGCTCTCATTGTCACGGCCATCATTTCCATCACAGTCACCAACTTCTGAGGATAAGCAAGAACAAGAACACCTACTAGAAGTTTCTTTCCATTCAACAATGAAGTTGGTATCTTTCTAGTCACCCGTTTCCCTGACTGAGTCACAGGGCTGTTCACAGAGAATCAGTTGCAGCATGGGAGGCTCTGGGTCAGCACCAGCCATTGTGTGTATCCTTGCATGTGAACTGGGGGCTGGAAGAGGAGTGACTGCTTCATAACTATGAGTGAGTCAAAACCGCCAACTGTTTTATATAGCTTTATAACTAGTATTATAACTAAAGCAACTCCTCCAGGTTTTGTGCATACATGACATCTAGGCAACACACTTGCATTCCAAAAGCTTCCGCTTGAAGAGATCTGTGTTCTTTCCAAATATAAACTTTACCCAAGAGGTAGTCATCTTGGCCACACCTCTGAGAGTGAGAGAAGAAATCTTGCTGTCTTGGGTAGTCATAATGGGGCTCAGGGCCAGAATTCCCAGGGGCATAGGATAGTGCAGAGAAGATGGCCCTCTTCAGTGCCTAATAAAACGGATGTTGCCTAAGCTGCCCATCCCCCAAAGGCAATACAAAATACGTGCTATTTAAATTGAAAAGCAGCTACTGCCCCAGGGAATGGACCAGGTTGTCATTGGCATAGCCGTGGTTAATGGTCAGTTGGCTGATGGAGATGAATGTGCTACTGGAATGGGAAAGCTTGTTAAGCAGACTTCCAAGAGGGTCTTTCCAGGTAAATCCAAATGTACAAATTAAAGCCAGTAAAGACACCTAATTCTCTAATAATATGCGGGGTGCATTATATTCTGGGAATGATTCCAAACATTGAATAGTTCATAATGTATTTTCAATTTAGCATGTGCATGCATTTGCTTAAACTCTCTTAAAAATGAGTAAGAAATGAACAGGCAGTAATTGTCAGTTTGCTTGAATCACACTGAGGTGAGGAACAGCACTTAGAATTGCGTGCTACAAAAGGACACGGGGCTGGGAGTCAGGGCTGGGTGGCTGTCCAGCCACCCCCATGAACTCTGTGGATCTTGGGCAAGTCCGTGTGCACCGAAACTCAGTTTTTTAACTTCTTTCTTTTAAAAAGTACAAGGCAGATACAGATAACAAAACCTGCCTCTGTCTTCCCTTACAGAATTGTGAGAAGCTGGTGAAGATGTTTATTACAAAAGTGTTTTGAAAATAGACCAAATATTGTCCTTTTTATGGCATGAGATTTTCATAGCATGTCAGGCAACAGGGAAAAACTAAGTTAGGATTTTATTTTGCTGTGGGTAATTTATGTGTAAATTACTGTGCAATTTAATAAAAATGAGCCACATTTTTATACAGAAGTATCCAGAAAATTAAATAACAAGATAGATTGTTCAAATAGTTGGTTGAACATATTTTATTTTCTCAGCGTAATTAGGGTTCTATTATACAGACCTTTGAGTAGTCAGTGAGAGAAGAAAGCAGATATCTGTTTATTAAAAGTGTTATCTGAATCTATCACAGGATGTCTGACTCAACTATATGAAAACACCTTCTTCAGAGGTGGGGATGTAGCTTCCATGTACACCCCAAATGCCCAGCACTGCCAGCTGATGTGTACATTCCACCCAAGGTGTTTGCTATTCAGTTTCCTTCCAGCAAGTTCTGTCAATGATGTGCATAAAAGGTAAAAGTTGATAGTTCATTATTAGAGAAGCCATTTTTCAAAATGGAATTAGTTGTGTCCAAAAAGGTGTAGCATAACTGAGAGTTCTTTCTCAAATGTGGTCCAAGGACCAGCTTCAGCAAAATCCTTCACATAGTTCTTACAAATGCAGATTCCCAGGCCACAACCCAGACTTGCTGAATCAAAGTTTCTTGGAACTAGAAATATGCATTTTAAACAATGATCACATTTATTTAAAGTAAATGAGGCTGGTAATTTTCTATTCAATGCCTCAAAATGCTTGAACACCGTTGGGCTAAGAGATTGACTCAAGAAGGAATCTAACAGGTGAACATTTCATCTGAATAAAGAAATGTACTGAACCGTGTGACCCATGATCACGTTAGATGCTTGTTAATCACGAGCCACAGTTTCGTCTTAATGTTTTTTCATTTTGATTGATATCCGGAATAAGCTTTTCTTTGCCGTTCCCATGTTCATATCCATAACCCTTTTCTCATCTTCACTCTATGTGAGTTTACGAGCTAGAAATCAGATAGTCATTCTCCGATCCTACATGTTAAACTTGTAGAGAAAACCCAGATTGTATGTGAGGGTCATCGTATTAAAAGTTGAGGTAGGTTCAGGAATTCTTATAAATAATGACATTAACATGGAGGTTGACAATTAAGACACAGGGAAGTCTGCCATTGTGTGCAGACTGCAAGGAGTTAATAAGCGAGATGAACACTATATACAGCTCTTATCACTAATTTAATTTTTTCAGTAAACGAAAGTATTTGCAAAAATAGTCACCAGTTGGGGACATAGTTGCCTGGAAGTGTAAGAACACAGGAAAAATCATTAACTCTTTAATTCGGTTGCCTTTCTGTACTGAAAAAGTGTGAGTGTGAGAAAATGCCATGCTGAAGTTAGATATTAAGGGGATGTTATAAAATTGCCTCTAAGCGTGTTCTTGCCAGCAGGTATCAGGGAAGCTGTATGACTTTCCTTATTCCTGGTTTTACTTCTTAGTATATGGAAAATGCTAGACATTTCCTCAATGTCTGTTTATTATCCGACTTCCTAAGTAAAGCTACTTTTCAAGCAGGTTTGGTTGCTTCTTGAAAGACAGTGTTACAGGAACCCTGCCAAGAGTACATCAGACAAGTGCCATTTCTGGACACTCCTTAAAGCACTGCGGTCACCAAATAAGCGGTAAGACGCGAATTCTCAGCTACATTTGAGTTAATGTTGCATCTACCTTAGAACGGCTTTTGCTCCTAGTCTGTACTGCTACAGCCTTTTGGGAAATAATAAAGATAGGAGATGGGGCCGTATTCTGGTCACAAAAGAGGGACCCATATTCATCTGGATACTTCTATTGTCTCTATTAATCAACACATACTTAATGAGCCTCTATTTTGTATGAGGTTAGCACTAAAGTATAAGATTTGCAGAACATAAATCCAAATAATCGCGTCTCCTCGTTTCCAGATAAGAATTTTTAAGAAAACACAAGGGAACATCTCTCACAGGTTCACTTGAGGGTAACTTGTACATCAGTGATTCTCAACCAGCAGCGATTTTGCCTCTTCCCTTAGGGGACACTTGAAAATGTCTAGAGACACTTTTGGTTGTCACAACTAGGGAGGATACAATTAGCATTTACTAAATAGAGGCCAGAATGTTTGAATGCTGCCCAGCATTCTACAAGGCACAGGGCAGTCCTCCACAACAAATAATTCTCTGGCCCAAAATGTCAACCCCAGTGCTGACATCAAGAAACTCTGTGATATACCATTAAGCCCAAATTGAGGAACCGAGTTCTGCAAATCGTGCTAAGAATAATACTTCTTTTTTTTTTTGAGACTGAGTTTCACTCTTCTTGCCCAGGCTGGAGAGCAATGGCGCGATCTCGGCTCACCGCAACCTCCGCCTCCTGGGTTCACGTAATTCTCCTGCCTCCGCCTCCTGAGTAGCTGGGATTACAGGCACGCGCCACCATGCCCAGCTAATTTTTTATATTTTTAGTAGCAACGGGGTTTCACCATGTTGACCAGGATGGTCTCAATCTGTTGACCTCGGGATCCACCCGCCTCGGCCTCCCAAAGTGCTGGGATTACAAGAATAATACTTCTGAAAGGCAACATGAGGACGACAATGGTAGAGAACTTTGATTCTGACGTCTGAAGCTACTGATGCTGTGGGAAACCGTTTCCAGTGCTATCCTCATACATTTAAGGTGAACGAACTATTCCTCAAACCTGACTGGGACTGATCAGAAAGTGCAAAGTGCTGAAGAGATTCACCTGATGCGCTGTCAGAATCTTAAAATAACTGTGCTGTTGTTCTGTGTATGACTATACATCATTACTATTTTGTTTTTATTTTTCTTATGCACAGTTAATTTTGTAGGTTCAAATTTCAGATTTTTAAAATATGTCATCCTTTCCTCCTCACTGATATCACACACTCTGAGCCTGCTGTTTGCATTTTAACCGGCTATCAAAGGATGGGAATGTCTTAGTTACAGATACAGCCTGACTTAGCCAGGTGTAGTTGGTCAGGCGCAGTGGCTCACGCCTGTAATCCTAGCACTTTGGGAGGCCAACGTGGGTGAATCACTTGAGACTGGGAGTTCAAGACCAGCCTGACCAGCAAAGTGAAACCCCATCTCTACTGAAAATACAAAGTTAGCATGGTGGTGCATGCCTGTAATCCCAGCTGCTGGGGAGGCTGAGGTAGGAGAATCACTTGAACCTGGGAGGCGGAGGTTGTGGTGAACCGAGATCATGCCATTACTCTCCAGTCTGGGCAACAAGAGTGAAACTCTACCAAAAAAAATAGAAAGAAAGAAAAAAAGGCATAGTGTACCTGAGGTGGCGTACATTTCCTATTTTATAAGATCAAATTTGTATGTTAATATAATTTAGTATAAATTATTCAATGTGTTGTTTCCGATTGTTGTATGCTATAGCAGAATTTAAAGAGGAAGTCGTGTTGTGCCTTTCTCAATATTCCTGTTGTTTGTTAATGTATTCTAAAACTTAGTGTTACTCATTCAGCTTGCTCTCAATGTTTGTTTTTCCTAACTTGCAAACATCCTAAAGTGAAACATTGTTCCTGAGTACATGAAATCTCTATACTCAGAACAATGCTAGTCAAAAGCATTTAGAGCTTTCATATGAACACTTAAAAAGTTTTTTTGTAAGAGTCCCATCCCGATTCTTAGCCTACTCTTTTCTTACATGCAGAAAAATTGGAAAGTGGTTTTATTTCTACAATCTACACACTTCTGTTTAAGAACCACTGTGAATAATCCACCTCCCTGCCCAACCCAGCGTGTCGTTTTCCTGACAGTGTGTGTATTTTCTGTCTTTCCCACCCTTACATTTAGTTTTACTTTAACCAAACTTCTTAGGAGTGGAAAGTGACCTACAATAGATTATGGCTTATTTCACATTATCTTCAGGAATAAAACTTTAAAAAAGTTTTTACTTCTGGTTACATTACTTCCTTAACCAAAAGTATAACTAAGAAAATTGAATCTTTAAAAAAAAGAGCTGAATTTTGTTTCACTGTCCGTGAAAAGAATTATCTATATCTTTTGCATGTAAGACAAATCTCCACGAAAAGGGTGAGTAAGGCTGAGTATGGTGGCTCACGCCTGTAATTCCAGTACATTGGGAAGATCATGAGGTCAGAAGATCGAGACCATCCTGGCTAGTGTAGTGAAACCCCATCTCTACTAAAAATACAAAATATTAGCTGGGTGCGGTGGCACACACCTGTAGTCCCAGCTACTCAGGAGGCTGAGGCAGGAGAGTAACTTGAACCTGGGAGGTGGAGGTCGCAGTGAGCCGAGATCATGCCATTGCACTCCAGCCTGGGAAACAGAGTGAGACTCCATCTCAGAAAAAAAAAAGGTGTGTGGGGGCCTGTTTAAATAGACATTAACAAAGTTTTAAAAGAAGAATGGAAGTGGTTTCATCATGCATATACAACAGCTCTCCACATTTTGAAATAATTGACGCAGATGCAATTTGTAATCAGACAGGAGAAGTTGAAAGCAGAAAAATAACACTGGAGATAAGGAATCTCCTTTACTCAATGCAGGTCAAAGGCACATCAGTTTCTTTAGTAATGCAAACCTCAGCACATATGATCAGTGTCCTCATTATTACTGCCTTATTTCCCACTGCTCATTGATAATTTCAATGTGAAATTTACCTGTATTGCTGCATGCATCTTGCAGTTTAAGAAGTGAAGTAACCCTTTTTCAATGCTATAGTTTTAGGGAAAATATTGGATTGTGTTGACGTCAAGCAGAGTTCGATAATTTATGGACATAATAAAAATTTTAAATCCCTTAATACAGCAGTTGCCAAAAACGGGCTATTATCCTTGTAAACTACCGGCTCAGATAGTAGTGGGTATCTCATCTACCTCTGGAAAGAAAATTGACTGTATTTGCTCTTTGCATTTTTCCTGTACAGCTTGCCACCGAGACATTTTTAAAGGGATTGATATGAGAGGAGTCAATTTTAATGTGTCTAAGGTTAGCAGTGCTGAAGAATGCCAGAAACGGTGCACCAATAGCATTCGCTGCCAGTTCTTTTCATATGCCACGGAAACATTTCACAATGCAGAGTACCGGTGAGCACAGTTCACGGTGTTTGTTTTTTATGTTGGAGCCTCAGGGATTTCACTGTCTTCTTCATAAACTCTTTTTGTTTCCCCAACTGAAAACCAAACAGGGCTTTTACTCCTAACCACTTTCCTTATTTACTTACTCTAGTTTATTCTTTATCTTCCTTTTTTTTGTTTTTTCTTTTTTTTTGAGATGGAGTTTTGCTCTTGTTACCCAGGCTGGAGCGCAATGGCGCGATCTCGGCTCACCGCAACCTCCGCCTCCTGGGTTCAGGCAATTCTCCTGCCTCAGCCTCCTGAGTAGCTGGGATTACAGGCACGGCCACCATGCCCAGCTAATTTTTTGTATTTTGAGTAGAGACGGAGTTTCACCATGTTGACCAGGATGGTCTCCATCTCTCGTCCTTGTGATCCACCCGCCTCTGCCTCCCAAAGTGCTGGGATTATAGGCGTGAGCCACCGTGCCTGGCCTCTCTTCATTTTTTAATTAAATACTTCATTTTAATTTCATGTGTTTCTCTACTCTTTTCCCTGAGCATGTAATTGTACCTCTGGCATCCTCTTCCCCTACTTCTCCAAGGCTGATTCTTCTGATTCTTAACAAATCAGGTCTTTCCTCAAATATCAGCCCTTCTAAAAGGCCACTTCTGAGCATTCTCTTTTAAGTCACACTCAGCTCTGTTTATTTCATTCATAGAGCTAATCATGATTTGATATTAACTCATGAATTTTTTTTCTTATTTTTAAACCTCATTGCTATTTGCATAAATTTATGGGTACAAGTGTAATTTTGTTACCTTCGTGTATTGCATAGTGGTAAAGTCTGGGTTTTTAGTATGTCCATCACTGGAGTAATATACCTTGGACCCACTAAACAGGTTTTCATCACCCACCCCCTTCCCACCTCTCTGTCACCTTCCCAGTCTCTACTGTCTATCATCACTCCACACTCTACTCAATTTTGGTGTGATTTTTCCTGAAGTGAGTAAGTTCCATTTGCCCCACACATAGGCCTTGCTTATAGAATGAGGGTTTAGTATCATAGTATCTCCGGCCTCATTCTCACCCTACCTTATTTTGTGAGGGGAAGGATGTCCATTTAATTAATAATGCAAACCCCTAACTCACTCATTATCAGGGTCATTGCTTTTCCCAATGTCCATCTGAATACTAAATGTTACCTGGACTGCTGCCTGCACCTCAAAGTGCAGGAAGCAAAGTCACCTCTTTTCTTCACATCCAGGAACAATTGCCTATTAAAACACAGTCCCGGAGGAACACCTACCAGTATAAAGGTGCTGGATGACGTGGAATCTGGATTCTCACTGAAGCCTTGTGCACTTTCAGAAATTGGTAATTAATTGTAGGACGACTTCACTTTGTGATTGTAGCAGGCAGAATAAGAGCCCCCAGAGAAGCCCCTGCTCTAAGCCTTGGAACCTGCACCTGTGTCCCTACAGTTAGCAAAAGGGCTTCTGTCGATGTGATTCAGTTAAGGACTTTGAGATGGGGCGATAACTCTGGATTTCTGGACGGGCCCCATGTACTCACAATGGTTATAAGAAAAAGAGAAAGGCAGAAGGCTCAGAGCTAGAGAGAGAGGTTTGAAGGTGTTACACTGCTGGCTTTGAAGATTGTTATATGTAAATTTTTGGTGCCACAAAAGAAGTAGAACTCAAATATTAATTTTCTCAGCAAGGCAATTTACTTCGCTAGAAGGGAGCATCTCACAGACAGAGCAATGGTGAGCACACATCTGAACAGGGGAGGGGAAGAGGTTCTTATCCTTGATGCAGCCCCTACTGCTGTGTCACTCCCTTATTGGCTAGAGTTAGACTGCACAGTCAAAGCTAATTCCGATTGGCTATTTTAAAGAGAGCAGGGGGATGAGCCAGATTGGCGAGGCGAGTGGTTTGGTGGGAAAAATGGTTATGGCAGAGCAGGTGGCCGGGGGTGATTCAGGTCATAGCAGGTGACTGGAGCAGGTGACCAGAATGAGTCAGGACGGAGCAGGGAACTGGGGGAACAGATGTGAACTGTCGATCAGAACTGGTGGGCAAGTCGTTTACCAAAACTAGAGGCAAGGGGGCACAGAGACCCACGAAGTGAAACTTTAAACTAGAGGCAAGGGGGCGCAGAGACCCAGGCAGTGAAACTTTAAACTAGAGGCAAGGGGGCGCAGAGACCCAGGAAGTGAAACTTTAAACTAGAGGCAAGTGGGCGCAGAGACCCAGGAAGTGAAACTTTAAACTAGAGGCAAGGGGGCGCAGAGACCCAGGAAGTGAAACTTTAAAATGGAGAATTAGAGAAAAAGAGCTGAACATGCTGACACACTGATTCTTCGAAGAGAAACTTGGAGTTCACTCTAACAAGACGAAGGTCCACGAGCCAAGGAACGCAGGTGGCCTCCAGGATCTGCAAAGGGCGAGGGAACAGTTTCCTTATGGAGCATCCTGGAGGAACAAAGCCACGCTGGTTTCTTGGTTTTAGCCCATTTCATACCTGTAATCTCTACAGTGGTAAGGTGATAAATCTGTGTTGTTTGTAACCACTGAGTCTGCGGTTATGCCCCTGTGACAGCAGTGATAGGAAACCAGTACAGTGATATTGTAGCGGAACTGTAAGGTCATTCCTTGGTTGTGTCCATATCTAGTGAAATGACTCTACCGTGGGGAGGGAATAAACCTGTCGTTTCACACATAAAGGTAATTTCAATGGAATTACCCAGAAAACTGCCATGACATTCCACCTGATTTAGCATATCAGGATGGTAATGACATGTTACTGAAACCGAATCCCTTCTAGTCAGTTCTCTGCAGTACTGGGTGCTGGCTCTGCGCCTGGCGCTGCATTGGGTGCTGCGCTAGGATTTCCCTGTGTAAGATTGGGAAGGTTGGTTACAAGGCACCTATTTGCCTGTCTTCTCTTTGCCACAGCACACCTTCTCCATTGTGCCAGGTTGATGGTTCACATGAATTGGTGATTTAACTTTAACATTCATTTTATTTTTTTTCTGGGAGTTTTTGAAGGATGCCAGGAGGTAGGACTCTGTGCCCAGCTAAGTTTTGAATTTTTAGTAGAGATGGGGTTTCACCATGCTGGTTAGTCTGGTTTTGAACTCCTGACCTTGTGATCTGGCCGCCTGGGCTTCCCAAAGTGCTGGGATTACAGGCATGAGCCACTGTGCCTGGCTACAGCCAGGATTTTTATCATTCTGTAAAGGCCATTTGAACAGATTAAATCATATGGGAACTCACTGCAGTTTAACAAGAAAGCAACTACAGAGATTAGACATCCACGGTGCTCTCCCAGGTGTGGACAGCAGAAATGACAGCCCAGAGCCATGGTCTGAGCTTGTCTGTTCCACTGAGGGCTTCAATCTCTCTGCAACTTGAACAAAACCTGTTATTGCCTTTTTTGTTATTGCCTTTCTAGGGAGTGTGAAGTGGTTTCTCATGGTGGTTTTGATATGCATTTCCCTAATGACTAATAATGTGGAGTATTTTCTCATGTGCTTATTAGCAATTTGAATGAATTCTTTGGGGAAATCTCTGTTTAAATCCTTTAGCCCTTAAAAATAATTGGGTTATTTTGTTTTCATTGTTGAGTTGTGTGAGCTCTTTATATACTCTGCATTTTACACTCTTAGACCATATATTATTTGCAAAAGCTTTCTGTGCACCTGCAGGTCATCTTTTCACTTTATTTATGGAGTTATTTGAAGCACAGAAGTTTTTAAACTTGATAAAATCCAGTCTGGCTTTATTCTTGCATGTGCTTTACCCAGAATGCCAAAACCTAAATCATGGTTATGAAGACGTTTGTTTATAATTTGTTATTAGAGGTTTATAGTTTTAGCTCTTACATTCAGGCGTTTGATGCATTTTGAAATAAATTTTGCATATGGTGTAAAGTAGGAATCTAACTTAGTTCTTGCATGTGGATATTCAGCTATTCCAGCACCATTTCTTGAAAAGACAGTTCTATCTCCATTGAGTTGTCTTGAAATCCTTTTCAAAAATGTGAGTTTATTTTTGGACCATCAGTTCTAACCCATTGACCAAAAGTCTGCCCTAACGCCAGTTACACACAGTCTTGATTACCATGACTCTGTAGTAAGTTTTGAACTCAGACAGTCTGAGTGCTTTAATTTTGTTCTTTTTCAAGATTAATTTGGTTATTCTGGATCTTTTGCATTTCCATATGAATTTTATGAAGTTTGTCAGTTTCTGCAACAAAAGGGAGCAGGATTTTGGTAGAGTGCATTGAATCTGTAAACCCATGAGTATCAGCAGAATGATCTGTTATCAGATTTAGTCAACTGCATAAATGACGTGAACACAAATAGAACAAAACAGGACATAAGGTCATGTGAATGTAATGATGATAAAAGTGGATTGTCTGTTGTTCTAACTTTAATAGGCACAAGGCATTTTGTTAATCTCTTCTTATTAAATAACATTCCTAAGGCCTCAGAGTCAGAGTCATATAAAGGAAACATAAATACATACTGAGTAACGTAAACACTTGGCATTGGTGGATGATGGAGCTACGAGCACCGCTTTTATTTCTCTGACACAGGAATTTGCCCCTTAGAATTAGACCAACTTTGCCTTCCTCTAAATGGCAAACAAGTTTGAAGATACTTTAACAGACATTTTTTTACTTAAGATGTTTAGTACTGTGAATAATAGATAGTCACAATTTCCTTAATTAAGACGAGAAAACATAAGAAAATTTAGCATCGTGTCATTTCCCAAGGAGCATGTTCTCTCTGGGTTCGCAGGTTGCCACATGGACGTCTTCCAGCGTCTTGCGTTCTCAGATGTGGATGTTGCCAGGGTGCTCGCTCCAGATGCTTTCGTGTGTCGGACCATCTGCACCTACCATCCCAACTGCTTCTTCTTTACATTCTACACGAACGCGTGGAAAACAGAGTCACAAAGGCGAGTGTGCACGGGGAGCACTAAAATCAAAACCATCACTTTTATTTTACCGTCTGAGTTTCATTCATTTCCCTGCAGACCCTTGAACCTGCAGTTTAAGTGGGTACTTTTCTTCCAGGTGCAGATCAGTTAAGAGATTAGCAGCCTGCTCTGCCTACCTTCTCTCACTTTAAAACAAATGTTACCGTCGAACCGGGGAAGCATCGCCATGAGAAAAAAGAAGGATCTGATGCCTTCGAGTGAAGATTCAAAACATGATCTTGGTGTTTTGTATTAGCTTGGAGTAAAAGCCGCTCACTGGCAGTATATCCCTCAGGCTTGTTGGCTCTCCTCTGTGTTTCAGAAACTAGAGCTCTGCTTATTCTGCTCAAGGCTCTGGCCCACTCTCCTTGTCTCAGATAACGCACCCGCTTCTACACACAGCCTGGACCTAAGAACCCGGCATCTGGTCATGTGATATTCTCGGCAGCGTAGACTCCCCGGATTCATTCTTTCATGCTTTTGGTTGTTGTTTTTCCACTGAGAAGGTGGAACGTCATTACTGCCCTCTTCTCACATTGTCTGTGCCTGTTCGTTTTCTCCAGAGGGAGATGAGGCTTGATTTACATTTAATCTCTGCAATTTATTAGAGTCCTGTAGTCTGATCTACTTTGAAGAGAGTTTCCCAGAAGAATAACATTTGCTGAGTTGCTTTTTGAGTGTGAGCTGCTTTTGTATTTGTCTAATGCCTCTAATGCAAATTTCTTTCTTTGTCTCTTGCTTTTTTTTTAAAAAAAAATAGAAATGTTTGTTTTCTTAAAACATCTGAAAACGGCACACCAAGTTCCTCTACGCCTCAAGAAAACACCATATCTGGATACAGCCTTTTAACCTGCAAAAGAACTTTACCTGGTAATGTGATTAGATAATAATATAACATAAAATGTAACATATTTCATGACTGTTAACAGCAACAATGATGAAAGAATCCTCAAGGTAACAGAAATTGCTGTAAATGTTCACTGCTTTTCTCATTTGATATGTTTTTATGTTTATAATTGACCGCAGAGCCCTGCCATTCTAAAATTTACCCAGGAGTTGACTTTGGAGGAGAAGAATTGAACGTGACTTTCGTTAAAGGAGTGAATGTTTGCCAAGAGACTTGTACAAAGATGATTCGCTGCCAGTTCTTCACTTACTCTTTACTCCCAGAAGACTGTAAGGAAGAGAAGTGAGGGAAATTTCATTTTTCAAAGACAGTTGACATGATGACTTCATATTCTTTCTCCCTCTGTGAAGGCTTACTCTTTGTACTGTTCATTTCATCTAGGTGTAAGTGTTTCTTAAGATTATCTTTGGATGGTTCTCCAACTAGGATTACGTATGGGACACAAAGGAGCTCTGGTTACTCTTTGAGATTGTGTACAACTGGGGACAGCTCTGGTGAGTAACCTTGCTTTTTCGTGGAATTGTAAGGATGTCTGTCGTGTTGATAGCTTGCTTAGTCTTATGGAATTATGTGTCTTGTTCTTTTTTGTTGGAAGGGACTTTGATTCACTTTTAATTCCAACCATTATCATCAACACTCTCTTTTCAGTCTGCACAGCAAGAACAAATGCACGCATTGTTGGAGGAACCAACTCTTCTCTGGGAGAGTGGCCCTGGCAGGTGAGCCTGCAGGTGAAGCTGGCAGCTCAGAGGCACCTGTGTGGAGGATCACTCATAGGGCACCAGTGGGTCCTCACCGCTGCCCACTGCTTTGATGGGTAAGTGTTGGATGCACCTCAGCTGGAGTCTTATCTTGACTTTTCATTTTCAAGGATCTATGATCAGCTGCTCCGCCGTCCTGTGACTTTGCAGATGGAGACGTGTGAAAGCAGGGATGGTATTCATGCCATTTAATTGGTAGGGTCCAAGCACTGACCATCTGACCCATCAGAAAAGCATGTGGTCTCTGTACAGGACTGATGCCCCTGGGTGGGTATTCTCCCCCAGAAAGAGAAGCAAAGTCAATACCCAGCTTCTCCATCCCATCACCCACCACCAATCCCTGATGTGTTCTTCAAAGACTTGTCAGGCCCATAGAAATTTTACTTTTTGTTCTTTGATTCATAAATTCACTAAGTAACAATTTGTAAAAGTGAGAGTTTTGTACTCTGTATATTTCAATGTATATAATTTGATATATTTCTATTTTATTGGTCAAAGAGATATGTTAGGGTTTTATGTCTTAAAACACCAAGGCTTTGGAGTTAGACAGAGCTTGGCTTGAGTGACAGCTTTGCTGCTTATTAGAGATGCGACCCTAGGAGATTTGCAAATCTCTCTGAGCTTTATTTTATCTTAAATATGATAATAATAGTACCTCATTTGTAAGGCTGTTGGAAGGATTAAGGGACACATTTAAAATGCTTAGGACTGTATGTAGAGCATGAACACTTCTCAAAAATGTAAACTATGATTACTATATTCAATAAGAATTGTAGAAATGAACAAAACACATGAAAAAGCAAAAGAAACACTAGAAGACACTTGATCTTTCTCAAATCAACACAAAGTATCTTTGTTTCAGTGAAATCCATGCTTAGGTGCAGTGTACTAGGATTGAATATATTGCCGCCCAAATCTAGCAGTCAGTGGTACACGTGGTGGAGACAGATCCCGCCACCTTGTCATCGCAGGAGGGGGCCATGCTGCACGGGAGCCCACATGTGTTTTTTTTTTTTTTTTTTTTTGAGACAGAGTTTCGCTCTTGTTACCCAGGCTGGAGTGCAATGGCGCGATCTCGGCTCACCGCAACCTCTGCCTCCTGGGTTCAGGCAATTCTGCCTCAGCCTCCTGAGTAGCTGGGATTACAGGCACGCGCCGCCATGCTCAGCTAATTTTTTGTATTTTTAGTAGAGACGGGGTTTCACCATGTTGACCAGGATGGTCTCGATCTCTTGATCTCGTGATCCACCCGCCTCGGCCTCCCAAAGTGCTGGGATTACAGGCTTGAGCCACCGCGCCCGACCGCATGTGGTTTTATGGTGGTTGACGTGGAAGAAAAGGCCCAAGATGGGAAATTGTAGGTCTCTTTTTTACTAAGTGCACTACAATTTGGGACCAATAATTTTCATTCGTGAAGGCTCAGCATTGTGAGTTTATTAGAGATTTCACTGAAAGCAAAAAGGCCCCTTCGCACCTGATATCACTGTTATTTGTTCCTAAATTCTGTGCCCCCCTGTCTTGCATCACCGGGTGATGGTAAAGATGTCCGATCTTTGTACAGAGGGAGGCTTTGCTTTATTTAGGTCATAATGTTGGATATACTTAGTATACATTCATCTTTTAAACAATCTATTTAAATTTTCACACTTTCCAAAATATAGATTTATTTTATTTATTTAGAGCTGGAGTCTCACTCAGTCGCCCAGGCTGGCGTGCAGTGGCATGATCTTGGCTCACTGCAGCCTCCGCCTCCCAGGTTCAAGCAATTCTCCTGCCTCAGCCTCCTGAGTAGCTGGGATTATAGATATGCACTACCACAGCCGGCTAATTTTTGTATTTTTAGTAGAGATGGGATTTCACCACCATGTTGGTCAGGCTGGTCTCGAACTCCTGACCTCAGGTGATCCCCCGACCTCAGCCTCCCAAAGTACTGGGATTACAGGTGTAAGCTACTGCACCCAGCCATATAGAAACATTTTAAACACTAAAGTCCTTCTACTCTACCCAATTAGAAGAGCATTAGAAGATCAATCTGACTTTTTTGATAGTTCTGAATTTTTTTCTTTTTCTTTTCTTTTCTTTCTTTTTTTTTTTTTTTTTTTTTTTTGAGGCAGAGTCTCGCTCTGTCAGCAGGCACCAGGCTGGAGTGCAGTGGTGCCATCTCAGCTCACCGCAAACTCCGCCTCCCAGGTTCAAGCAATTTTCCTGCCTCAGCCTCCCAAGTAGCTGTGACTTCAGGCACGCACCACCACACCTGGCTAATTGTAGCATGTTTTAGGAGAGAGGGGTTTTTGCCATGGATAGTTCTGAATTTTAATGAAGCCATTAGGTTCAGTTTTGTTGAACGGAGCTTAATTTTCCCGGGATAAATTGCTGGTCTCTTCCCACTCCATGTCTCTCAAAAAGGAGGCAGCAACCTTCTTGCGTTGTGACTTGCACTAAGCGTGATATAATTACATAAATGTACACTTTTCCGTTTTTTAAATAGAATCTTCAGAGATTCTCTACTACTGCTGTTGGTGATGACAAATTACTGGAAGGGGGAATTAGGTAGGAAAAAAATACGTCCTATGTAGTATTTCCTTCCCAGTTCTCTTTGAAAGAGAGTTATAGGAGAACAATACAGAAGGAAAGACTTCCCAGTGTCAAACAGGTATTTCTTCTTCTCTCCTAGGCTGCCCTCACCGGATGTTTGGCGCATTTATAGTGGCATTTTAAACCTCTCAGACATTACAAAAGAAACACCTTTTTCGCAAATAAAAGAGATTATCGTTCACCAAAACTATAAAATCTCAGAAGAGCATCATGATATTGCCTTAATAAAACTCCAGGCCCCTTTGAATTACACTGGTATGTAGCATGTGTAAGAAGAAGGTGATGGCGGAATTGTACGGGTTTACACTTTCATATCAGTTTGAACAAGAGGGCAGATCTATGGAGACTATCGTTATTTTCTGACTGGCGGAGTTGAGGGAAAGGTGAGGGCTGCATGGGAAGCAAAGACCCTGTGGCTGGCCATGAAATCTCTTCTATTGAAAGAGCAAGAAATGTGAATTTGTTCTTTCAGGGAGGAATACAACTGCATGCAGGTTATTGAAATATGGGTGTAGGAAATGTCTTTGCCTCCTGAGAGACACTGGGCTCCCTTTGCTAAGAGTAGCATAACCGTCACTGCTTTGGGCTTAGGGATATTAGACATGTGTGAGGGCAGGTGGGACCAGATATCAACTTCCAGGTGTAATTTGGGTAGGAAAGAGACTGAGGCAGAAAGAAGCCCAGGAAAGGCTAGAGCATCGTAATCAGAGGTGCTGCCTTTGGAGGTTCATTGCTCCCAGGAGCTGAATGCCCCCCACATCTAATAACATTAGTGGCCGGGCATGGCGGCCCACACCTGTAATCCCGACACTTTGGGATGCCCACATGGGAGGAATGCTTGAGGCCAGGAGTTTGAGACCAGCATGAGCAACACAGTGAGACCCCGTCTCTACATAAAATTAGAAAAAAAAACCAATTAACTGGGTATGGTCGTGTGCACCTGTAGTTCTAGCTAATCAAGAGGCTGAGGCAAGAGGATCACTTGAGTCCAGGAGGTCAAGACTGTAGTGAGCCAAGATCGGGCCACTACACACAAACAGTTACGTGACAACTTGGGCAAATTGCTCTACCTCTTCACTCCTCTAATTTCCTCGTCTATAAAATGAGGGTGATAACTTTTTGCTGGATTTGTTATAATAATTAATACATGAAAGCACTTAATGCCTGAAGCAGTGCAGACACTCTGCGGTGACTACTAAGGATGGCACACCGGACTGAGATGCAGGAACTTCTGCATGCTTTTCACTGTAGATTTAGGTTCTGAGTTTTAAAAATTGAATTCAGGAAGTTGTAACACCAAAACTGTCATGTGAAAAATGGTGGTGACAAATTTTCTTGAGTCATTAGCCTTAGAACGTCAGCAGAAAGCAAAAGAGCTCTTCTTAGTGCTACTCTGTAGAAAGGGAAGACAGAAAAAGAAAAAGGTGTGTTTTTTAAAGTCTGTATCCATAACTTTATTTGACCAAATTCTAATTTAAAAATTATGTTTCAGAATTCCAAAAACCAATATGCCTACCTTCCAAAGGTGACGCAAATACAGTGTATAGTAACTGCTGGATAACCGGATGGGGCTTCTCGAAGGAAAAAGGTACAGCATGATGCTTTCAATGTTGCTTCTAGAGCAGGTCTTACATGTTGAAATACATGGAGTGGGTCATTTTAATCGGCTTCTGTCTAAAATTATATCTAAACTCTTAATCTTTCCTACCTATTTATTCCCAAATATTTATTCTGGTTTTTTTTAAAAGTATTTTTGCTTTGGCTTGAAAAACATTTTTTAGGAAGACTTTTAAGCATCTTACTTCATTATAAAGATCATGTGCTTGACTTTGCATGAAGGGTTGGTCCATCTAGGGCTGACAAGCCTGGGCAAGCCCATTCGGTCCTCAGTGTTAATAGCGTTCCCATCTCCCAAAACCACGTTCTCCCTTGATGCTACTGGCCAGGAGCACAGGCAGCTGTGCCATATCTCTTTGTGGCCAGTTCTTCATCTTTTTTCCCCATGTACCCTTCCTGCCATCTGAGGAAGCCTGTGAACCACTTCCCTAGTAATGGTTTTTTGTTTTGTTTTGTTTTTTTGAGACGGAGTTTTGCTCTTGTTACCCAGGCTGGAGTGCAATGGTGCGATCTCGGCTCACCACAACCTCCGCCTCCTGAGATCAGGCAATTCTCCTGCCTCAGCCTCCTGAGTAGCTGGGACTACAGGCACGCACCACCACACCCAGCTAATTTTTTGTATTTTTAGTAGAGACAGGGTTTCACCATGTTGACCAGGATGGTCTCGATCTCTTGACCTCGTGATCCACCCACCTCGGCCTCCTAGTAATGGTTTTAAACGTTTAAATAAAATATGCAGGATCACAGAGGAAACCAAGTGAAGTGCAAGATAGTTATCAAAATGCTTTTAAAAAGTGAAGTAGTAATGTATATATATGCCTCTTCATCAATCTATTACATAGGAAGTTATTCTACTACCAGCCATATCTTTGAAATAGTGGTGAGCATAAATGGCATTTTCGCTTATCTGCCACAACTGAAATGTGACATGAAACGATCCGTAATTTGTTGATTTGTCATCTGTTGATGGCAGAGTCACAGGTATCACGAATAGTGCTCTGTTTGTTGTCTGCATCCTAACTGAAGGGAGAGGCAGGCTTCCTTTGGTACCTCGTGAAAGCAAATACGTTTTCTTTACTCAAATTTATAAACCATGTGAATTCTTTCTGTAAACCCTAGGTTTACAATTCCTGTTGATGGGTGTTTGGAGTGGTCCAATTGCCCTTGAACTTTCTAGGAAACAGACCAGTCTCCCTTTCCAAAATTATGTTCATAATAGACACTATGGAGAGTAATATTTGTAGAGAGAGTCATTCTTTACAAAATAAGGTAGCTTGTCAAACTGCTGCCCTCTTTCCTGATTCAGTCCTTTTTCAAGTAATTCACATTTTTAGATTTTTTATGGGTAATTTGAGACAAGAAGAAATTAAAAGTAATCTTAACTAAGCAATGAAACCTCCCAGCATATATCCAAGGGAAACCTGAACATGGGTAACATTTAAATGATCTGTAAATTAATGGTTCTCCAAGGGAAATGATTACGTGCATTTACTCAAAAAACAAAATACCCCTCAGTTGCCAAAGGCTTGAGGTTTTTTTTTTTTTTTGAGACGGAGTTTCGCTCTTGTTACCAGGCTGGAGTGCAATGGCGCGATCTCGGCTCACTGCAACCTCCGCCTCCTGGGTTCAGGCAATTCTCCTGCCTCAGCCTCCCTCATGAGTAGCTGCGATTACAGGCACGCGCCACCATGCCTGGCTAATTTTTTGTATTTTTAGTAGAGACGGGGTTTCACCATGTTGACCAAGGTGGTCTCTATCTCTTGACCTCATGATCCACCCGCCTCGGCCTCCCAAGTGCTGGGATTACAGGCTTGAGCCACCGCGCCCGGCCAGGCTTGAGGTTTTTTTCAGAAATGATATAGTCTTAAATTATAATTTTGAATATATAAAACAAAAAAAAAATGAAAAGTAAGAACTTCTAGACTTTCGGATTGTTGTAGTTGATAAATATAAAATGGGATTTCTAGGGGACTGCTACTGAGATGAGGGGGCTGCCAAAATCATGGAAGGAGGGTCTCTGGTAGCCCAGGGTGCTGGGCTTGTCCCAGTATCACATAGGCAATAAGAGAACAGCACAGGGTGCACTTTCTCCCTCTCTCTTCCTCTGTGTGTGTGTGTGTGTGTGTGTGTGGGCGCGTGCGCGCACGTGCGCATAAAACACTACCTTCCCAATTTTTACTAATTGTATTAAAAGATATAGCCCTTATGAAAAGTGCGCCGCTCTGATTCACTTTGAAACTTATTTCCATATTTACTGTTTATTGCGTTTCCTCCCTCTGAAGTTGTATATTGGTTACTTCACAGGTGAAATCCAAAATATTCTACAAAAGGTAAATATTCCTTTGGTGACAAATGAGGAATGTCAGAAAAGATATCAAGATTATAAAATAACCCAACAGATGGTCTGCGCTGGCTATAAAGAAGGGGGGAGAGATGCTTGTAAGGTAACGCATGAGACGATAAAACACAATAGGCTGCCTGAGAAAATTCATTTCAAAATACATTTTCCAATAGCATAATTTATTATAGTTTTAAAAAAATTCGGAGACAAATGATTGGATAAATTATAAGCAACTTTTAACAAATGGGATATATATAATACATTTCATATTTATTATATTATTTATCATAGGTGTCACAATCTATTCATAAGCTACTTTAAGAGGGACAAATATACATAGAATAATTGTACTAAAATATAAAAACGTTAGATTTCTTTGTTGGAGGATATACAAATTTCTTTGTTAGATTTTTTTCAGAATAGAAGAGGGGATACAAAAAGTGCAGGCACTGCATGAGATACTTTAAGAGAGTGTTGGGGGGCCTTGTGTGTGTGTGTGTGTGTGAAGGGGGTTTGTGTGCACGTGTGGAGGGGGTTTGTGTGCATGTGTGGGGGTGTGTGTGGGGGTGTTTGTGTGCGTGTGTGTGGGGTTGTGCATGTGTGTGTGGAGGGGTTTGTGTGTGTGTGTGGAGGGGGTTTGTGTGCATGTGGGGGGGTTTGTGTGCATGTGTGGGGATGTTTGTGTGCATATGGGGGGGTTGTGCATGTGTGTGTGTGGAGGGGGTTTGTGTGCGTGTGTGGAGGGGGTTTGTGTGCATGTGGGGGGGTTGTGCGTGTGTGTGTGGAAGGGGTTTGTGTGCGTGGGCGGGTTGTGGGGGGATTGTGTGTGGAGGGGGTTTGTGTGTGTGTGTATGGGGAGGGGTTTTGTGTGCGTGTGTGTGGAGGGGTTTGTGTCCGTGTGTTGGGGAGGTTTGTGTGCGTGTGGGGGGTTGTGTGGATGGGGGGAGGGTTGTGTGCGTGTGTGGGGATTTGTGTGCGTGTGGAGGGTTGTGTGCATGTGGGGGGGTTGTGTGTGTGGGGGGAGGGTTGTGTGCATGTGTGGGGTTTGTGTGCGTGTGGAGGTTTGTGTGCGTGTGGGGGGGTTGTGTGTGTGGGGGGAGGGTTGTGTGCGTGTGTGAGGGTTTGTGTGCGTGTGGAGGTTTGTGTGCGTGTGGGGGGTTGTGTGTGTGTGGGGAGGGTTGTGTGTGTGGGGGGAGGGTTGTGTGCATGTGTGGAGGTTTGTGTGCGTGTGGGGGGGTTGTGTGTGTGTGTGGGGATGGTTTGTGTTTATGTGTTGGGGAGGTTTGTGTGCATGTGGGGGGTTGTGTGTGTGTGGGGAGGGTTGTGTGCGTGTGGGGAGGTTTGTGTGCGTGTGGGGGGTTGTGTGTGTGTGTGGAGGGTTGTGTGCGTGTGGGGGGTTTGTGTGTGGGGGGGGTTGTGTGTGTGTGGGGAGGGTTGTGTGCGTGTGTGGGGGTTTGTGTGCGTGTGTGGAGGTTTGTGTGCGTGTGGGGGGTTTTGTGTGTGTGTAGGGAGGGTTTGTGTCCGTGTGTTGGGGAGGTTTGTGTGCGTGTGGGGGGTTGTGTGTGTGTGGGGAGGGTTGAGTGCGTGTGGGGGGGTTTGTGTGCGTATGGGGGGGTTTGTGTGCGTGTGGAGGGTTGTGTGTGTGGGGGAGGGTTGTGTGCGTGGGGGGGTTTGTGTGCGTGTGGGGGGGTTTGTGTGCGTGTGGAGGGTTGTGTGTGTGGGGGGAGGGTTGTGTGCGTGTGTGGGGGTTTGTGAGCGTGTGGGGGGTTGTGTGTGTGGGGAGGGTTATGTGCGTGTGTGGGGGTTTGTTTGCGTGTGGGGGGTTGTGTGTGTGTGGGGAGGGTTGTGTGCGTGTGGGGGGTTGTGTGTGTGGGGGGAGGGTTGTGTGCGTGTGTGAGGGTTTGTGTGCGTGTGGGGGGTTGTGTGTGTGGGGAGGGTTATGTGCGTGTGTGGGGGTTTGTGTGCGTGTGGGGGGTTGTGTGTGTGTGGGGAGGGTTGTGTGCATGTGTGTGGGTTTGTGTGCGTGTGGGGGGTTGTGTGTGTGGGGAGGGTTATGTGCGTGTGTGGGGGTTTGTTTGCGTGTGGGGGGTTGTGTGTGTGTGGGGAGGGTTGTGTGCGTGTGTGTGGGTTTGTGTGCGTGTGTGGGGGTTTGTGTGCGTGTGGGGGGTTGTGTGTGTGTGGGGAGGGTTGTGTGCGTGTGTGGGGGTTTGTGTGCGTGTGTGGGGGTTTGTGTGTGGGGGGGTTGTGTGTGTGTGGGGAGGGTTGTGTGCGTGTGTGGGGGTTTGTGTGCGTGTGTGGGGGGTTGTGTGTGTGTGGGGAGGGTTGTGTGCGTGTGTGGGGGTTTGTGTGCGTGTGTGGGGGTTTGTGTGTGGGGGGGGTTGTGTGTGTGTGGGGGGGGTTGTGTGTGTGTGGGGAGGGTTGTGTGCATGTGTGTGGGTTTGTGTGCGTGTGGGGGGTTGTGTAGTGGGCTGCAGAATTTTAGAGGTGGTCACTTATTTGAATCCATTCTGTCGTAACATTTTATTCTTCCACTGTGACTCAGGGAGATTCAGGTGGTCCATTAGTTTGCAAACACAACGGAATATGGCATTTGGTGGGCATCACCAGCTGGGGTGAAGGCTGTGGCCGCCGGGAGCAACCTGGTGTCTACACCAAAGTCGCTGAGTACGTGGACTGGATTTTGGAGAAAACGCGGGGCAGGGACGGAAAAGCTCGGATGCAGTCACCAGCATGAGGAACAGCCCAGAGCAGAGGTGATTTTTACAACCTGGGTTCAAATTCTGAGCCTGGGGGTCATCTGCAAGGCATGGAGAGTGGCATCTACTTTGCATCCTGTTGTAAGGACAAAGGGGAAAGTGCACTCAGCTGCCGAGGACAGTGTCTTGCTGAGGCCAGCTGTCGGCATTCAGTAACTGGGAGCTGGTGCTGCGAGGTTGCAACTGAACGTGTCCATGGTTGCGTGTTGGGAAATAAATGGTAAAAGATCACTAGGAGCAAGTGTTTTCTTCTGGTTGTGAAACAGAACTGAAAGTAAGTGGTTGCAGATTCTAGCACAGTGCCTGGGATCACTCTAACTGCACTGCTTCCTCTGGAGCTCAGTATATCTCAGAGATGTAATTTCCGTTCCATGCTGCACCTGCTCGGCCACAGAACCCCACTGGGGCAAAGAGCTAGCAAAGAGCTTGGGGCAAAGAGCTAGCAGGCTTGGGTTTTGTTCTGCTGAGTGGAAGGGAGGACACCCGTGTCACACCCACTTTTGTAAGAAAGAGACTGGTTACCTGAACATGGGAGAATCGGGCACCTTTGCATCTTGACCTCCTAACTTGGCTACTGGGGCATGCCGAGGAGCTCGAGGGGCTGCAGCATTGCCCAGCCTTTGCGGTAGGCAAGGAATCTGCTCTGCAAAGGGCATTAACCCTGGAGGCTCAGTGGATCTGGGCTATTCCAATGGTAATTGAAGGAGCATTTTAGGCCTGGCACAGTGGCTCACGCCTGTAATTCCAGCAGTTTGGGAGACTTGAGTCTAGGAGTCTGAGACCAGCCTGAGAAATGTGATGAAACCCATTTCTACAAAAATAAACAAAAATTGACTGGGCTTGGTGGTACGCAGCTGTAATCCCAGCTCCCCAAGAAGGATCACTTGAGCGCAGGGAGGTCAAGGCTGCAGTGAGCTGAGATGGCACCACTGCATTCCAGCCTGAGTGACAGAGTGAGACTCTGTCTCAAAAAAAAAAAAAGAAAGAAGCATCGTTAGGTATAAATTATTTCATAAAATATAAAATTCAGACTTGCAAATTTATAGCAGCCTTTGGAATGGATGATAGAAATCCTTATACAACACAAATACACAAATTCCTCATCGAAGGCTTACCATAGCTGATCCCAGCTGGCTTGATTCAGCTCAGTTAAACTGGATGACATGTACACAGAATTGGCCATTTACAAAATTTTAGGTAAGTTAAGTAGAAAAATGGGAAAGTGAGGTTTTCTGGAAGAGTTTGGGTTATTCCTCAAAAGCAGAGGTCCCCAGGCTTTTTGGCACCAGGACCGGTTTTGTGGAGACAATTTTCCACAGCCTGGGTATGATTCAAGCGCATGACATGTATTGTGCACTTCATTTCTATTATTACAGTATTGTAATATATAATGAAATAATTATGCAACTCACTATCATGTAGAATCAGTGGGAGTCCTGAGCTTGTTTTCCTGCACCTAGACAGTTCCACCTGAGGGTGACGGGAGACAGTGACAGGTCATCAGGCATTAGATTCTCATAAGGAGCCTGGATCCCGCACATGCACAGTTCACCGTAGGGTTCCAGCTCCTGTGAACGTCTCAGCCATTCATTGACTGACAGGAGGCGCAGCTCAGGTGGTAATGCTCGCTGGCCTGCTACTCACCTGCTGCTGTGCAGTCCAAAGACGGGTACTGGTCTGTGCCCCGGGCATTGGGAACCCCTGCTCAAAGACACACTGGGTGGTAGGAGGGGCTAAAGGTGGAGAGGCTGAAGGAAAGCATGAGGTCTGGGCTAGCCACAAACCAGGTCATAGGAAACTGAAGAGTTAGGAATTTACCTGAGAAGTGGATGGCTCTTGTAAAATCTGGCTGCATTCCATGAAATGATTATAAAAACGCACTTTTTCAACTTTTGCCTTTGCCTGCAGTGAACACATTAGTCTTTGTTTTTTATGTTTAGAAGGGAAAAAATGGTTTGCAGTGAAACTCTTTTATCTCAGTCTTGGAGCACTGCTCATTCCTGACGGTGTTGAAGGACTTTGGAATGCTTGCAGGGCGAACCTTTGGCCTGTGTTGATCAGGGAATGACCTCGTTTGGCAAAACAGAGGAGAGTTTTGAAATATGGAACTTTCCCCAGGCATAAATTATCATTTTAAAGTTGTCAGTCAAAGCCCAGTAGGACGGGGATGGTGTCTTGATGACCCACTATGTGTTGATACACGGAGTAACTGAGGAGCCCTTCTCACAGTTGTAGCCTCGTGGGACTAAAAGGTGTGAAATGGACTGAGAAGATGAGAGGCTGGGATGACTTCTCTACTGAGGGAGGGTGCGGGGAGGAGGCCTGGGTTACTGGCAGCTCCGCCCCACAAAGGCGGGTGGCAGTGCCAATCCTGAAAGCTGGCCCTGGCCTCCTGCAGTGGCAGTGTACACATGGAATGCAAACATGTTCACAAGCCACCTGGGTGCAAGGTCAGCCACGGGTTCCCACATCTGCCACAGTCCCTGCCACAGCATGGGAACCCCTCATGTCAACCTAGAACTTTTCCTTTCAATTATTCTTCACGTCTGTCTGCTTTACTTGACTGTGAGCCGCCCCTAGGAAGGCTCTCTCATGCATATTGCATATAACGGGCATTCAGTAAATGGCTGACAGTGATATGTCTTTATTATAAAAATAAGGGAATGGAGACCTGAGGAGGTGACACGATGAGCTCGAGGTTCACCGGCAAGGACAGAGCTGGGACGAACTCATCATTCCTATTCTGGACGGTGTCCTCTTGTCATCCCATTGCCTCTCAGTGGGAGAAGGATGAAAGACGACAGAGCATTTATTACTGTCATTTGTGACTTTCGTGATCATCTGACACTGGTGGTTCTTCACTGGGAGCGTGTGCCCTCCCTCCAGCTCTGGAAACATTTGGCAATGCCTAGAGACAATTTTGGTGGCCCTAACGGGAGAGAGGGTGCAACTGGCTGTAGTGGGCAGAGGCCAAGGGTGCTAAACATCCTACGACGTTATTCCAGGGAATGTCACAACAGTCCCTGCTCACATGAGACAAGTGCCTCCTTTGCTGTATTGTTTCACTGAGCCAGACTAAGTGACTATTCTTGAAAATTGCATATTTGGTGAAAGGCTAATCGGAAACCCAAAGGAATGCACCCCTTTGTCTCTCATCTACCTGTGACCTAGAAGTCCCCTTCCCTTCTTCAAGTTGTCCCACCTTTTCAGAACAAACCAACGCACATCTTGCATAGATTGACTGAAGTCTCATGTTTCCCTAGAACACATAAAATCAGGCTGGGCCCTGACCACCTTGGACACATGTCCTTAGGACCTCACGAGACTAGGTCACAGGCCCATCCTTATTCTTGGCAAGACGAAACTTCTAGATTGACTGAGACTTATTTCGCATACTTTTTGGTTTACATTCCCAACTTCTGACTTGTACTTGGGTCTCTGAAGACGGACTTCTAGATTCTTCCTAAGACGTTGTCTAGTTTTTCTTGATTTTCATCAGGCTTCAAATGTTCAAAAACATTTTATTTCACTAAAAAAAAAAATTAAGATAAATGTAGTCGATGCCGGAATTTTAAACTGCAATGCATTAATTGAAAATAATTTTTTAAGAATATCTATGTTTGAGCTGGGTGCAGTTGGTCCATGCCTATAATCCCAGCACTTCAGTAGGCTGAGGCAGGCAGATCACCTGAGGTCAGGAGTTCGAGACCAGCCTGACCAACATGGAGAAACCCAGTCTCTACTAAAAATACAAAAAATTAGCCAGGCGTGGTGGTGCGTGCCTATAATCTCAGCTACCCGGGAGACTGAGGCAGGAGAATCAGTTGAACCTGGGAGGCAGAGGTTGTAGTGAGCCAAGATCACGCCATTGCACTCCAGCCTGGGCAACAGGAGCGAAACTCCATCTCAAAAAAGAAAAGAAAAGGAATGAATATGTATCGTCAGTTTAAAAGAAAAGTCTGTTTAATCTCAAAGAGTTTCTATGTAGTTAAGACTTTTATTCTACACCTGGCACGGTGGCTTATGCTTGTAATCCCAGAACTTGGGAGGCTGAGGCAGGTGTATCGCTTGTTCCCAGGAGTTCCAGACCAGCTTGGGCAACATGGTGAAACCCTGTCTCTACAAAAAACACAAATCTAGCCATGCAGAGTGACGTGCAGCTGCAGTCCTAGCTCCTCAGGAGGCTGAGGTGGGAGGGTCGCCTGGTGGCTGCAGTGCGTTGAGATCACACCACTGCACTCCCTCCCATCTGGGCAACAAAAGTGAGACCTTGCCTCAAAAAAAAAAAAATCTTCTTTTATTTGAAAAGACAAAGTTTTTTTGAATCACAATGCTATTTCCAAAACTTTAAAGATTTCACTGACTAGCTAAATCAAATTTAGGAAAATATTCTTTGGTTTTCCATTGAAGCATTTCTCTTATTTAGAGCCTCTGTTTCTCTCAGTAAGGTTGGAGAGTTATTCTTATCTTCTTTTTACTGGGACTTAAGAAGAGAGATGGGGTTTCATGGGGTAAACGACGCGAGATACCAGGACCTCATTCGATCTCACGTATCCATTTTCCGTGAACGCCGTTCTTGGCAATAATTTACCATTCTATGTTTGAGCCTCAGAAAAGCCATGCGTCCGAAATATGCACTTTTTGGGTAGCCGGAGTGTACTTAACTTTAAATGGGAAACTCAAAAGAACAGCTAAGAACTCTTTATGCCAAGATAGGTCAGATGCACTGGCAAAAGATCAAATAAAAATATCTGAATAAATGCCTTCTGGATTGAAATCAGCATAGTTCTCCAGCACTTTAGAGACCTCTTCCCAGTTCACATTCCCTTATTTCCCTGTCATTTCTCCCCTGATCTTCCAATTTAAAAAAAAAAAATTATGATTCCATTTATAAACACAAGAGCTTATTTTGCTTTTCTATGGAAGACTGAGAGCCTTCTCTGTACCATAAAATTATCTTTCTCTAAAATGTATTCAAATCAGACGTACGTGGATCAATACGCCCTCCATATACTTTCAGACCTTCTTCAAGGCCAAAGGGAAGGCCTTCATGGAAATATAATTATGTGAAACCCCCAAAAATTATTTCACAAACTTTCCTGCCTATAAAGGGCAGGTCCCACCACCGGAAGGCTCCCTCCCGGACAAAACCACCCTTTCCTTCAGGGATGCGACCGGCTTTGCTCTGGTCATGCGGCCTCTAAATGTGTCACTTCCTAGCTCTCCATTCGGATGTGTGTCCCAGGATCTCCACTCAGATCTGTGCCAGAGACTGGAGTTTTATCTTTACTCAGCTCAGTCTCCCCCAACATCTGGGGAGCAGAGTTTTTACGGACAACTTGGTAGGTGGGGGAATTAAGTCATCCCAGCATTTTGGGAGGCCAAGGCTGGCAGATTATTTGAGGTCAGGAGTTCGAGACCAGTCTGATCAACATGGCGAAACCCTGTCTCTACTAAAAATACAAAAAAAAAAAAAAAAAAGCAGGCATGGTGGCACGTGCCTGTAGTCCCAGCTACACAGGAGGATGAGGCAGGAGAATTGCTTGAACTGGGAGGAGGAGGTTGCAGTGAGCTGAGATCGCACCACTGCACTCCAGTCTGCGCAACAAGAGAGAGGCTCGTTCTCAATAAGAAAGAAAGTTAAAAAGAGCTTCTTATTTTTCTGTTTTTTAAAAATAGACTTTTACTGTTCACAAGTGAAAATAAATTAAAAAAAAAAAAAAGCTCGGCCTTAGAAGAAATTCTGTCTGCATAACCTCTGAGAGTCAGTGTTACCTGGCAGGAAACTGACCTCACAAGAGCCAGGCACGCAGGGGCGGTCCGCACTTTGCTTCCCACCCACCTCCCCTCCCCCAGCAGCCAAAGTCTCCTCCCTCCACTGTATTGCAAATCCATGAGTGCATTAGACTTTCGGTGTTTTCTTTTTAGACTTTGGGATTCAAGGTAAGCTGGAATTAATGGTTAACAGCTGACAGGTGAAGGTCTGGTTAAGTGCAGTTTGGCTAGCTGGCATATTGCACAGGCAAAATCAGGTTCTACAGCTATCTAAGGCACACAAGCAAATTCAAGTTCTACAGCTCTCTCTCTCTATGTCGCTTGTTTAAATACTAAATAAAATTTTAAAAAATAAATTCAATGTATTGAGAAAGCAAGCAATTCTCTCAAGGTCGGTTTTCCGATGTACTAAGATTTAGGACTCTCACAAATATGCTGTACCGAGAAACATTGTTACATAACACTGAGAACCAGTACAAGTAAATATTACAGTTAAGTGGCCGTTTCCTACACAAGCTCATTCAGAGGAGGCTGAAGATCATTCTGGAAGAAGAAAAACACCCCTATTAAGAATTGCAGCACACAAGCAAACAAGGTCCTTCAGGTACAGTTTCAGAACTTACTATTTAACATTCCTCTCGAGCAAATACGCCTTGAAATGCCTTTTTTTTTAAATCACAGCAATTTAAAAACACTATAGAGAATGATTAATCTTTAAAACGTGTGTGATTTAGCGTCGTAGAGATGTTCCTCTACTATCCGTAACTAATTTGAGGACGTGTGGCCCAGAAGAAGAGTAGCAGTGTCTACGCAACAGCAAGTATTCTGCGAGTTAAAAAGACATCCAGATGCAATACTGAAAAGTCAGAGGTCTTGATTTGCCTCACCGATGACTCCGTTTTTCCTAGAGCAGTCTGTTTAATGCTTAGGCGGGATAAGTAGATTTCTAGGTGACCGAAGTAATCTATTAACATATTAGCCACAGATTTTTTAAAATAGAAAATTTTCTAAGTAGGAAATTATCCATAGCTCTTTGATAGCTATAGGGAGAGACCTCAAGGAAAGAAAGAAAGGAAATACATTGGGAAAGGAAACCGTGATGAAAAATTGGGGTGGGGAGAGTGGTCAGATGGTGCATGAGAAGGATCTGATTCAAGGTCAGCAGTGGGGCAGCGGGGAAGCGGGGAGGAGGGGAGAGGGCTGCCTCCCTGTGGGATCTAGCACCACAGAGCTGGAAGTGTGGAGCATTACACACACAGCCCCACTAAGGTATGCGCCAGGATTTGGAAAGATAAAATTCAACATTATAATGAGAACCCTGTGAACGCTATTGAATTAACTATGTCCCTCTCTCCCTATTACTTGTAAATCTTAGTGTCAGTAAACTAATTATAAATGTACAATTTCATGTTCTAAAAACATGTACCTTTTTCTCATTGTAGGATGATTTTCTTATATCAGATGGTACCTTTCATTTTATTTACGTCAGTTTCTGGTGGTAAGTAAAGCATTTTCTTAACCATGGACTGGGAGGGGGAAATCACACTACCGTCTGCACGCATGGGGGAGAATCCCACACCATCGATGCCAGGGAAGGAAATCAAATGGTTTTATTTATTTCTTGCTTGAGGTTCAGAGGTTTTCAAAGCAGGGTGGGAACTGAGGTGAAAAAGTTGTTCGTACTGGTAGGACTCTGTGTCTATATGTATACCATATCTACATCCATGCCTGACTACATAACTCATATAAATCATATTTAAAACCAATATTAAAAAGAAGAAACCTTGGTTTGCTTCACTGATCAGTTTTCCATAAAGCAGTCAGTTCAATGGAACATACACACACACATAAAATAAAAATTTTGGACTGAAAAATAATATGCAGATATTCATGCATAGTTTATACATTCCAATCATTTACCGCCCCCCCGTTAATCCTCCACCCTACTTCATGTCTGCTAAATTCGTTTATAGATTACTTAGCCAATATTAAGATATATCAGTATAAGTATTGGTTAGCTCCATAAACATTCTTTATTTAAAATTAAAGCTGAAGCATTCCTTTAGAAAAATAACTTATGTATACATATTATATTTAATTTCTGATAACTATTGCTAGCATTTTAAGCACAGTACATTCTTTTTTTCTGGTATATGTGAAAAAAGGCAAATCTAGGTGAAGATACTAAAAATAAATTCCACTTAATATATCAAATTAAATTCATAATTTCAGTTTTCCCTGTGACAAGATTACTGCTCAGGTTATAATATTCCTTTGTTATAATTATTTGGAAACTGTATTGTTATTTCATTGATAAATATGTCGGTGCTAAATAATTTGATGTATTTTGAACACTGGACCCAATAATGGCATAAACAACTGAGCCCCTGATTCGTGGCTTCTATGTCCATGGATTCAACCAAGCTTAAAGTGAAAATGTTTTTTTTTAATTTCATCTGTGCTGAACATGTGCAGACTTTTTTCTTGTCCTTATTCCCTAAACAACACAGCACAACTATTTACATAGCATTTATGTTGTGTTAGGTATTATGAGTAATCTCGAGATGTTTTGAAGCACACGGGAGGATGTGAATAGGTTATGTGTAAACACTACGCCTTTTTATATTGGGACTTGAGGATTCATGGATTTTGGTATCTGCAGGAGGTCTTGCAAACCCCACAGCTATCAAGGAATGACGATGGACATATACAGGTCCTTCAAACGTGCACACGGAACGTTCACAAAACTTCACCACACACAGGCCTCTGAAACAGGTCTCAACACATTTTAAAGGGTTAAAATTATGTTATTCAGTCATCGTGAATGGGAACTAAAGGAATAATAAAAAGGGAACTGAAAATCCCCAAATGTTTTAAAATTGAGTGTACCTTTTTAAATTAATATGAGTCAAAGATGAAATCACAATGGTAATTAGAAAATTAAATCTACAGTAATGAAAATACAGTATGTCAAAACTTTGAGAAGTAACTGAATCAGTGCTGAGATCAAATGTATAGATTTGCTTGTATAGAATACAGAAAACTGTATTCTATACAAGCAAACTAGAAGGCAGAAAAAATCAGTTGCAGAAATTAATTAAATGAAAGACAAACATATTTGGGAGGTCAAGATAATCATTTCCAACCCATTTTATAACGTCAGTGTAATCCTGACATCAAAATCTGTTAGGAAAATTCTTAGGAAAAAAAAAGTTACAGGTCTTTTATCTCATGAACATATGTACAAATATCCTAACAAAACATTACCCAACTGAATCCAATAGAATGTTAAAAGAAATTAAAGGATGATTACATTGTGATATTATGACAAAGTTGGGTTTATTCCAGGAATGAAAAGTTGATTTAACATTAAAGAATTAATAGATGCGTGACTTTGGGATACACACCAAAAAAAAGAAAAGAAAAGAGAAGGGAAAGCAGGAACTCAAACAGATAAACTCGTACACCCATCTTTATAGCAGCACGATTCACACTAGCCAAAAGGCAGAAGCAGCCCATGCGTTTATCAACAGGTGACTGGATAAACGAAGTGTGGTACATACATGCAATGGAATCTCACTCAGCCTTAAAAAGAAAGGAAATTCTGACCCATGCTAAACATGGATGAACCTTGAGGACATTGTGCTAAGTGAAATGAACCCGTCACAAAAGAACAAGTACTGTGGGATCCCACTTATATGAGGTACCTAGGGTAGCCAATTTCATAACGATGGTAATTAGAACAGAGGTTGCCAGCGGCTGAGGGGTGAGGGAAGGGGTGAGACTTGGTGTTTAAGGGGCACAGAGCATCAGCTGGGGAAATTTAAAGGTTCTGGAGCGGGTGGTGCTGATGGTTTCCCAGCAGTGTAAATGCACTTACCCACAGAACCGTCCACTCGGAGTGGCTAAATGGCACATGGTGTGTTACCTATCACAAAAAAAAAATACTTTTTAAAATTAATATGTGCAGAAAAATGCTTGACAAAATTCTGTTAGTGATCAAAACTCTTAGTAAACTGGTAATGGAAGAGAACTTTCATCAGCCATGAAAGGGTATTTTAAACAAAAACAAACGAAAATCCAAACCAAAATTCTTCAAGAAACATCATACACAATAGAGGAATATTGAAAGCCTTCCCAAGCGCTTGAGAATGAGACAAGAGTTCCTCCCGTTATTTCCGTTTAGTATCGTATGGAGGTACTGGTTGGCGCAGTGAGAAAAGGAAGTAAAAGGAAAATGATTCGGAGGAACACGAGCTCTCATTTTCCATGGATGACATGATTGTGTACCTAGAAAAATCCTAAATTACCCATCGTGTTAATTATCTGAGTCAATTAAATTGGTAAGAACTCTAGATACCACGTCAATATACAATAGCAAGACTTGCTAGTTCGCAAAAACAGATGAAAAACTCGCTTTTTACTGACACTAGAAGCTGCATGTGGATTTTCTGAAAATGTTTAAACGTTTGTATGTTTAGGGGTATGAATGCAGATTTCTTACGTACATACATTATGCAGTGGTGAAGTGCTGGCTTTCAGTGTCCCCATCACCCAGGTAGTGAACACTGCCTCCAACAGGTGATCTTTCAACTCCCACCCCACTCCCATCCCCCCACCTGGTGGCATATTGAAAATCAAATTGTCTTGTAAAATTAAATCATCCAATTAGGAGGGGGATATATTCCAAGAAAATTAGTGCACGGTGCACACACACACACACACACATACACAGAGCGAGCGAGAGAGAGAGAGAGAAACTGGATCTTGCTCTGTCGCCCAGGCTGGAGGGCAGTAGTGCCATCACCTGTCACTGCAGCCTCAAACTCCCAGGCTCAGGAGATCCTCCCACCTCAGCCTTCCAAGTAGCTGGGATTACAGGCAGATATAGCGATGCCCAGCTATTTTTTTATTTTGTAGACAGGGTCTTGCCGTGTTGCCCAGGCTGGTCTTGAACTCCTGAGCTCAATCGATCTGCCTGCCTCAGCCTCCCAAAGTGCTGGGATTACAAGTATGAGCCACCGCGACCAGTTTGCATTATTAAATATAGAAAATCTATTTGATTCACCAAATAACATTCTTCTTTATTATTCTTAAAAGTAATATTTTAATGTAATAAGATTGCTTTGCACCAAAAGGTGGGGTTTCCAAATTATTCTCAATGGGGTGAGGATGTTATCACACCCACGGCCGTCAGAAAGCGATCACTCCGGAGCCTTTGTTTCAAATAGTACAGGGTTTGGACAGAGACCCAATTAGGACAGGACAAAGCAGAAGGCTCCTTCCAAACCTGGATGAGATCCTGAAAAGCAGCAGCTTTTGCCAATAAAGATCCTTGAAATTATTCAGTTACCCTCAAAGCAGTCGTTGTCTCCAAGACAATCACTCGTAAGCGCAATCCCATGGGAGCCAAGGTACCATTTTGTGATTTTCATTTCCACCTGAGGCCATTCATTCGATCAACTACGTGTCTTGCCTTTATGAGGTTCTGACCTAATTAGACATATGCCCACTAAAATCCAAAATAACATGTGCCGTGTGTTGCATCACAGAATGTGTGCCTACATTGTTTAAGGACACCGACTTTGAAGGAGGGGACATTGCTACAGTTTTCTCACCGAGCGCCAAGTACTGCCAGGTAATCTGCACTTACCACCCAAGATGCCTACTCTTCACTTTCACGGCGGAATCACCGTCTGAGGAGCCCACCCAATGGTAAATGCTTCTGTTTCTACATCGAGGACACAGATTTTGCAGGGAGCTTGCTATTCATAACGCATTTCCATCTATCATTTTATAAGATTTAACATTAACAACTGGAAGATAAATTGCCTGTCAGTTGAAATATTATTACAGAAAGAAGAGATGGTGTTTAGACAATTTAGAAAAGAATCAATATGCCTCCAAGTGCAGACTTTCCGGACTCTCTTACCGTCTCAGTATTAATGTATGTTTCCTCTTCTTGTCTCCATTTTTATTCTTCTTAAACATTTCACACTTTGCTTTTCCATCGATTATTAATTTTTGATTTAAACTGGAACTTCTATTTTATTAGAAAAAATTATCTATTAAAAATTATTGCTGGGCACGGTGGCTCACGCCTATAATCCCAGCACTTTGGGAGGCCGAGGCGGGTGGATCACGAGGTCAAGAGATGGCGACCATCGTGGTCAACAAGGTGAAACCTCGTCTCTACTAAAAATACAAAAATTAGCTGGGCATGATGGCGCGTGCCTGTAATCCCAGCTACTCGGGAGGCTGAGGCAGGAGAATTGCCTGAAACCAGGAGGCGGAGGTTGCGGTGAGCCGAGATCGTGCCATTGCACTCCAGCCTGGGTAACTACAGCGAAAGTCCGCCTCAAAAAAAAAAAAAAAAAAAATTAAAATTATTATTAAAATTAAATATTTTATTTTAAAGGATAATTGAAAAAAATGGTACAGTACGATGATCCCTTTCCATCACCATAACTGCGATTTTTGCCTCTCTTACCTATGTTTGTACACATGCTTAATTCTAAAACATCATGACGCGTTACCCCTAAACACCTCAGCATGCATTATCCTGCATAATAGACATACGTAATGTAACGAGAGTTCCTTTATATTATTTCAGTTTTCCCTCAAATGTAATGTATAGCAATTAACCAGAATCTCACCAAGTTTCACACACTGCATTGGGTCGTTTGTCAGATTTAAAATATTTTAAACATCCCGCCAACCCCTTGTGTTCCCATGCTGAGCTTGAAAATGTAATAACAAGCCTTTCTGTAGAATTAACTTGTCCACATCTTTGTGTATTACTGCTACGTCCACGGGCATTTATATAACACCTTGAACTTGTAAAATTTACCATTCCAGAATGTAGAACAGGGATCAGCAAACATCTTCTCAATAAAGCAGGGTAAATATGTTAGGCTTTGTGGACAAAACTCACAGCGAAGCCAAGGACATTATGCAAGTACTTACGTATGTCACCACTTCAAATGCAACCATTTGAAAACATAAAAATCATTTTATATCACTAACAGGCTGTTCAGAAACACACAGAGTTTTGGTTGCATTTTACTAACAGCCCATAGTTTACCCGTTACTGTTGGTTCCTATAGGAAGGAGTATTTACATGTAGTCTCTTAAGTGTGGGGATGCTGGAGTGAAAAAACACACTCATAATCTTGCTGAGAAACACTTGTGTTGGCAGAGATCAGTCTGTTTCACTCTCTTTGTCTTTCTGTGTGCTGACTTTTAAGATCCATTATTTTAAAACACAAATTCCTATTCAGTAATACATATTTTTTAAAAAACAGGTTTACTTGTGTCCTGAAAGACAGTGTTACAGAAACACTGCCAAGAGTGAATAGGACAGGAGCAATTTCTGGGTATTCTTTCAAGCAATGCCCACACCAAATAAGCGGTAAGATATGTCGTTAGAATTAACAAACACTAGGTGTGACGTACACATATAGTCACATCAGGTGTGGCTTTGTGACTATGGAATAAAACACTGCTATGTGGGGAAAAAAATCCCTTAAGTTCTTTCAATGTAGAGTATGAACTAGCATACATGTGTGCCTGCCCATCCAACACACTATAAACATTTCTTTACGTCATAGAAAGGCATATCTTACAGGCTGGATGCAGTGGCTCACGCCTGTAATCCCAGCACCTTGAGAAGCCGAGGCAGGCAGATTGCAAGGTCAGGAGTTTGAGACCAGCCTGACCAACGTGGCGAAACCCCATTTCTAGGAAAAATTAACAAATCAGCTGGGAAGGGTGGTGCATGCCTCTGGTCTCAACTACCTGCGAAGCGAAGGCAGGATGACGGCTTGAACCTGGGAGGAGGTCACAGTGAGCCAAGATCACTGAGAGCGATACTCCGTCTCAAAAAAAAAAAAAAAAAGACATGTCTTACTACCTCACTTCTCATCATTCATTTATATTCTTTCTACTTCCCAGCCTAAAAATCTTAAATGGAAGTCCCATTTTCTGAGACTGGGTCTCACTGTGGAGTGCAGTGGTGCAATCGCAGCTCACTGCAGCCTTGACCACTTAGCTTCAGGAGTAGCTGGGACCAAAGGCATGCACCACCATTCCCAGCTAATTTAAGTTTTCCTAGAGGCAGGATCTCACTGTATTGCCCAGGTTGGTGTCAAACTCCTGGCCTCAAGTGATCTGCCCGCCTTGGCCTTCCAAAGTGCTGGATTGCATGGTGCCCAGGAGGAATTCCTTATTAAACATATTAATCCAAATCAAAAGGAGCAAATATAAAGGTTGAAGTGACCCTTGTCTTAATAGTGAATAGATACTTGAATCAATTAATTTGTGAAATGATCAGTGCAGTTAGGGAGAACAGAGGCTAGGTCAGAAACAACATGTGAATTTACAAGTCTAAAACTGTTACAATATAAGAAGGATACTGGGCCAGGCGCGGTGGCTCAAGCCTGTAATCCCAGCACTTTGGGAGGCCGAGGCGGGCGAATCACGAGGTCAGGAGATCTAGACCATCCTGGTCAACCTGGTGAAACCCCGTCTCTACTAAAAATACAAAAAATTAGCTGGGCACGGTGGCGTGTGCCTGTAATCCCAGCTACTCAGGAGGCTGAGGCAGGAGAATTGCCTGAACCCAGGAGGCGGAGGTTGCAGGGAGCCGGGATTGTGCCATTGCACTCCAGCCTGGGTAACAAGAGCAAAATTCCATCTCAAAAAAAAAAAAAAAAAAAGAAAGAAGGATACTGGCATTCTTTTACTGCTTTCATTCAAGAACAAGAATTTTGCAAATTAATATAGCAGAAGACTTCTGAGGAAAGGTGGGTGAAAAAGTTAAATGAGTGAGTCAGGGCTGGGCACGGTGGCTCACACCTGTAATCCCAATACTTTGGGAGGCCGAGGCAGGTGGATCATGAGGTCGGGAGATCGAGATCATCCTGGCCAACATGGTGAAACCCTGTCTCTAGTAAAAATACAAAAATTAGCTGGGCTTAGTGGCATGTGCCTGTAGTCCCAGCTACTCAGGAGGCTGAGTCAGAAGAATCACTTGAACCCGGGAGGCAGAGGTTGTAGTGAGCCAAGATCATGCCACTGAACTCCAGCTTGGGCAACAGAGCAAGACTCGGTCTCAAAAAAAAAAAAAAAAAAAAAGTGAGTCAGGAGAGACAGTTGCTTAGGTCATTGCCCCTGGAATCTGGAAGGGACTCATGTTTTCTGCTTTTATTTCCAGCTTGCAACAAAGACATTTATGCGGACCTGGACATAAGGGGCATGAACTACAACAGCTCGGTTGCCAGGAGTGTTCAAGAATGCCAGGAAAGATGCACAGATGACATCCACTGCCACTTTTTCACGTATGCCACAAGACGGTTTCCCAGCCTGGTGCATCGGTGGGTGAGCCCCCATGGTGGGTGAGCCCCCATCAGAGTAGCCAGTGAACACCAGAATGGTGATATACTAAAAAAATTTTCATCACCTTGATGCCAGAATTTATTTTAAACCCCTAAAAGACATTTCTACAAAAGTACTCCTAGTTTTCTTCATGAAAAATACACTTAAAGCCTACTTTGGATGCATTTCCTTTATGATAAGAAGTCTACCTTTTAATAAAACTGTCAGAAAAATAAATGCACCTAAACCATATCCTAGCTAATTTCAAAAGTGCTACACTATTAAATTGGCAATTTAAAAACACTACAATTGGTCTGATTGGCAGTGTCCTTCCCAGTCTAAAAAAATGTTACAGCCTTAGAGAAGAAAAATAAAAATCTACTCTCTCTCTCTCTCTGTTTCTCTTGCTAAATAACTTTCTTACCTAAGACAAAATACTCATGTAAAAAGTTTTATCCTGCTTCATACAAGATTTTGAAATATTTCAAGGATAAATCTATTATGTAAGAATTTAAAAATGATCTCGTATCTAATGACCAAATCTGTGTTCTCATCTTTAAAAATTTCTAGGGAAATATATTATTAATTTGTATATTCAGAAATATTTGAGATGATTTAGATTTTCATAGTAAACAGCATTTATCTGGAGTCAACAGAAAAGTGAAAAACATTCAAATTTCTAATATTTGTGTTTCAACATTGGATATTAACATTTTGTTCTCCACATTCACAAAGAGGAATAAACAGAGAGCAAACAAAGCATCAACCAGCTATTTCAGAAACGATCATCAGGCCTGTAATCCCAGCACTTTGAGAGGTGGAGGCGGGTGGATCACTTGAGGTCAGGAGTTCAAGACCAGCCTGACCAACTGGTGAAACCCCATCTCTACTAAAAATACAAAAAGTATCCCGGCGTGGTGGCACTCACCTGTAATCCAAGCCGCCTGGGAGGCTGAGGCAGGAGAATCTCTTAAATCCAGGAGGCGGAGGTTTCAGTGAGCCGAGATTGCGCCACTGCACTCCAGCCTGGTGCCAGAGCAAGAATTCATCTCAAACAAACAAACAAAACAACAGTGGTTCTCACACACACACACACACACGCACACGCACACACGCACGCACACACACCCCAAACCCCCTAATTAGCCATTTGACTTGCAAGGCTTGTCTTGAGCTCAGCTCAGAGGACAGCGTTTATGTCTAACACTTAACACAATGTGGACTGCAAACCAAAGCAGGATTTGTCAGACAGTGAATCATTAGAAGCGGAAGGCTGAGAAGTCGCACACTCACGCACTGTTTTTCTTCATGCGGTCGCTCTCTCAAGCTCTCACTGTGCCAAGGAAGAAGTAAAGTCGCACAGTTCACAGGTGCTGAGCGTCACTGCTGGGGCCATGCCCAGTCCGTCATCCTCCCAGACGGATGCCGCAGGGGCTTCCAGGACCTCTCTCCAGAGGGGAGTTTCTTACCATCTCGTGTTTTTTCCTCCTTGCAGTTGGAAGAATAAGACTCTTTCCGTTATTCTTTTTATTCAGTAACAGGTGTCTGCTGAAGCACACCCAAACGGGGACACCAACGGGGATAACGAAGCTCCACAGAGTGGTGTCTGGATTTTCACTGAAGTCCTGTGCCCTTTCTAACCTGGGTAACTATTGACTTCTTGATGACGTAGTTTAACCGTGAGACATGTGGATGATCGGTACGATAGACCTAACTCGGGATACCAGCTATGCTCACTGATGAAACGGACCCAACGATCTTTGCCTTCATCTTGTAGATTTCAAGATTTCACCTTGTAGATCCTATATTTAAATTTCAAGTTTAAAATAATCGTGTCATTTTCTACTAAATAAAAAAAATTAAAAGATCTTGGGATACATTTAAATTTTTAAATATGGAATATACAAATTCTGTGACTGGAATTTCCCTGACCGCTGGCGCCCTGATTTCCTAACAGAGGTCTTCTCTTGTACAGCTCGAGTTAGGTTCGAACTGACTTCCTAACGCACGTCTTCTCTCGTGCAGCTCGAGTAAGGTTCGAACTGACTTCCTAACGCACGTCTTCTCTCGTGTAGCTCGAGTAAGGTTCGAACTGACTTCCTAACGCAGTTCTTCTCTCGTGCAGCTCGAGTAAGGTTCGAACTGACTTCCTAACGCAGTTCTTCTCTCGTGCAGCTCGAGTAAGGTTCGAACTGACTTCCTAACGCACGTCTTCTCTCGTGCAGCTTGCATTAGGGACGTTTTCCCTGACACCGCGTTTGCAGACAGCAACATTGCCAGCGTCGTGACTCCAGACGCCTTTGTCTGCCGCCGAATCTGCACTCATCATCCCGGTTGCTTGTTTTTTACCTTCTTTTCCCAGGAATGGCCCAGAGAATCTCAAAGGTAAGGAATTAACAAGCAAGGATAATTTGTTATCTTTCAAAAATAGCTGATCAAAATCCATCAGTAAAAATTCCAAGTTACTAAAAATTTAATCCAAATGTCATTGCAGGATAAAAGATGTAAAGAATTTCTAACTTCTCTCCCGTTCTATTCCCTACCTACCTACCACAAACCCAACATTACCGAGGGCTTATTTTTAAAAATAAATATTATTTTACCTAAATAAATTTTAGGCACAGGTACAGTTTTGTTACATGGATAGACTGTGTCGTGGAAAGTGTGGGCTTTCAGTGTAGCCAAATAGCACACGTTGACCTATTAGGTCCTTTCTCATGCCTCACCCCCTCTATCCTCCCAATTCTGAGTCTCCAATATCTTTCATTCCACTCTTTCTGTGCCCGGGTATACTTTACTTAGCTCCCACTTACAACTGAGAACATGCAATATTCGACTTGGTTTCTGAGCTGCTTCACTTGAGATAACGGCCTCCAGTTCTCTTCGTGTTGCTGCAGAAGACGCGGTTTTATCACTCTCATGACTAAGTAACATTCTATACTGTATTCCTTCGTCTGTTCATTTGTTGATAGACTTTTAGGTTGATTCCATGTCTTTGCTACTGTAAATAGTGCTACAGTAAGCATGTGAGTGTAGGTATCTTTTTGATATAATACTTTTTTTCCTTTCTTTTCATTTGGATATATACCCAGTAGTGAGATTGCTGGAGGTCTCCACCTTTGGCAAAGGGAGAGTTGCCTAGTTCTAAATGGAATGAAGAGATTCCATTTCCATCTCATGACCACTAAAAGGCAACGCAGTCCAATCTTTTGTTTAATTGAATCAGGAGCAGGAAGAGCTGAAAATGTCAGTAAAATGTCAAACCCAAAGTGGAGAGAGAGAGGTGGAAATGAATGTCTCCACCAAGTGGGTTGGGGTGATGGCGGAGGGGGATTTCAGAATTGAGTCCCTGTTTCCTTTCCAATGGAAATTGACACAGGACATCAGAAACAGCATGGACAATTTCTTTGATCATTAAAAGGACACTAGCTAAGGTTGGCGTCTCTCTGTTTCTTTTTTTTGTTTGAGACAGGGTCTTGCTCTGTCACTCAGGCTTGGGTGCAGTGGGTGCGATCTTGTCTCACTGCAGCCTCCACTTCCTGGGCTCAAGCAATCCACCCGTCTCATTCTCCCAATTTGCTGTGACCACAGGTGTGTGCCACCACGCCCAGCTAATGTTTGTATTTTTGTAGAGACAGGGTTTCGGCATATTGTCTAGGCTGGTCTAGAACTCCTGGACTCAAGCAATCCACTTACCCCGGCCTCCCACAGTGCTGGAATTATAAGCTTGATCCACCACGTGCAGCTTGCTGTTCCTCATTGACGACATTCACTTAAACAAACACACAGACGAACAAAAATCTATGAAATTCACTGAATTGGAACTCTCAGGGCCCTCGGCACTGGCTTGATTGGCCTCCTGTTGAGGAACACGTGTCCTCCAGAAAATTCCACCAAGGGGCGACCTCGTGTGCCTTGCCCATCACAGGAGCCTCCCTTTCCGTTGAGTGAGGCTATTTCAGAAGCGCCAGGTTTGTCACGTGAAAATGAATCTGCTACCTGCATTCACTAAACACATTTAGTAGAATTTATTTGGTGCCTATTATATATCAAGCATTGTTCTGAACACCGGTTATACCATTTAGTGGATGAAATAGATAAAAACCTTGCTTGCTTGGAACAGAGTGGAGATGAGACAGAAGTGATCGGATTGGTGTGTGTTATCAACAGGGAGCCAATAAGATTTACTGGTGGATTGGACGGTGGATTGTGAAGGAGTCAGTGATAGCACCACAATTTTTGGCCCAAAGAACTGGAAAGACGGAAATGCTGATGACGGAACCGTAGAAGCTTTAATAAGAATCAGAGTGTAGGATAACAATGGCCTTGAGACATCTAGGGGAAAAGGTTGAAACGGCGACTGGAAATAGAAGTCAAATTCAGGAGAGGGGTTTATGCTGTGGGTCTGCGTCTAGGTGCTGGCCATACACAGCTGATTTTTTTTTTTTTTTTTTTTGAGACGGAGTCTTGCTCTGTCACCCAGGCTAGAGTGCAGTGGCATGATCTCGGCTCACTGCAACCTCTGCCTCCCAGGTTCAAGCGATTCTCCTGCCTCAGCCTCCCGGGTAGCTGGGACTACAGGCACATGCTATTAAGCCCAGCTGATTTTTGTATTTTTAGTAGAGATGGGGTTTCACCGTGTCAGCCAGGATGGTCTTGATCTCCTGACCTCGTGATCTGCCCTCCTCTGCCTCCCAAAGTGCTGGGGTTACAGGTGTGAGCCACCGTGCCCAGCCTACGTTTTGAAAATCTAGTGAAATTATCAAAGGATTAAATGCAGACAGAGAAGAAAGTAGGTCCAAAGATTGAGCCTTGGGGCATTATAAAGTTCAGACATAAGAAAGATGCCTTGTCACTTGTAATCTTGTGTTAGTCCCTGCTCTTTCCTTTGTCTTATTCCCTTACTGAGCAATTCCTATAATAGGAATAACACATTTGATCTTTAATAGAGAATGTGATAGAAACATGGCTTCTATAAGCCAAAACTTGGCAATTTAAATGGAAATTGATTAAAATTAAATAAAACTAACAATTCACCTCCCCAGCTGTATTAGCCACGTTTCAAGTGCCCTGTAGCCACATGTGGTTGGTGGTTACTGCATTGGATGGCAAAGGCAGAATATTTCCATCACTGCAGGAAGTTCTAAGGGCAGCCTTGCTTCAGGCTGTGAGCTTGTCTGCTTAGGAAAAGTCACTCTTTTCCAGGAAGATGCTCCCAGGGTGTGGAGTCCACGATGGACTTCACTCACCTCCTTATAAAACTGTCACGGCCCTGGATAGGAGATTTCTAGGCAGCATGAAGACTCTTGAATCTTTAAGATTGGCTCGGAGTGTTGAAAGGAAGGAAATGAAAAGGGAAGATTCTAGGAAGGCTGACGACAGATCAAGCTCAGATAAGGTTTTACAAGCCAGGTGATTTAGTTAGAAAATTTTTCTGCAACCTAAGGGTCATGGAGTGTGACTCTATGGTTTGTGAGTGTGACTCCGTGGTTTGTGAGTGTGAGTCCATGGTTTATGACTCCGTGGTTTATAAGTGTGACTACGGGGTTTATGAGTGTGACTCTGTGGTTTATGAGTGTGACTCTGTGGTTTATGAGTGTGACTCTGTGGTTTATGAGTGTGACTCCATCGTTTATGAAGAGTACTTTCAAAATAGGAAAATCTTTGCAATTCAGTGCCAGCATGAACCGACCTTACCTTCCTTGTGTGCTGTAAAATGTTTTTATGTGTTTGATGTGATCCATTTCTACTTCCCTTTTGTTTTCCTTAGAAATCTTTGCCTCCTTAAAACATCTGAGAGTGGATTACCCAGTACACGCATTAAAAAGAGCAAAGCACTTTCCGGTTTCAGTCTACAGACCTGCCGGCACAGCGTCCCAGGTAAACAGCAGGTGTTCTGCGTTCTGGCTGGAGGCTGATGAATGCTGAGAGTGTGTCTCGCTCTGACATGTGGTCTGCTGTCTAGTGTTCTGCCATCCGTCATTTTACCATGACACTGACTTCTTGGGAGAGGAACTGGATATTGTCGCTGTGAAAGGTCACGAGGCCTGCCAGAAACTCTGCACCGATGCCGTCCGCTGCCAGTTTTTCACCTACACCCCAGCTCAGGCATCTTGCAGCGAAGGGAGGTAAGCCGTATGAAGGGTTTTGTGGGTCCCCTTCTCCCATCTGTCTGTGAGATGCATTATGTTTATACCGTTTTGTTTCCAACTGTAGAGGCAAATGTTACTTAAAGCTTTCTTCAGACGGATCTCCGACTAAAATACTGCACGGGAGAGGAGGCATCTCTGGCTACACATTAAGGTTGTGTAAAATGGATAATGGTGAGTATAATGTCACTTGAAAAAATATAGCTGAAGGAATTACTCCATGCTGAGTATATCACAGCCAAGGCTGTCACGTACAGCCACAGAGGGGGGAACATTCGTGAAATAACAAACTTCGCAGTTTTCTGTTATTTTCACTCCTATCACCCGAGCTGACCATGTTTTAAAGGTAAATATTGGGGCTTGACGAAACTGCACATTGACTGGTATTAACTAATTATGAGTTTCAATTTGACACCTTTATACACCTGGCATGCATCTCTCTCTCTTTCTTTCTTTGCTTTCTCTTTCTTTCCTTCCTTCTTTCTTTTCCTTCCTTTCTTTTTTCTCTCTTTTCCTTCCCTCTCCCCTGCCCTTTCCTTCCTTCCTTTCTTTCTCTTTCCCTCCCTCCTTCCTTTCTTTCTCTCTCTCTTTTCCTTCCTTCTTCCCTTCTCTTCCCTTTCCCTCCCTTCCTCCCTTCCTTCTTTCCTTCCTTCCTTCCTTTCTTTCTCTCTCTCTTTTCCTTCCTTCTTCCCTTCTCTTCCCTTTCCCTTCCCTCCTCCCTCCCTCCCTCCCTCCCTCCCTCCCTCCCTTCCTTCCTTCCTTCCTTCCTTTGTTCTTTCTCAGACTCTCACTCTGTTGCTCAGGCTGGAGTGCAGCAATGCAATCAATGTTCACTGCAACCTCTGCCTTGAACTCCTGGACTCCAGCAATCCTCCCACCATAATCGCTGAGTAGCTGGGACTACAGGTGTGCACCACAACACCCAGCTAATTTTTTGTAGAGATGGGGTCTTGCCATGTTGCCCAGGCTGGTTTTGAACTTATGGGCTCTAGCAATCCTTCTGCTTTGTCCTCCCAAAGTTCTGGGATTACAGACTTGAGTCACTGCACCCAGCTACAACTGGTATTTCATAATGAGATGCAGACTCAGCCAACACTCCTGTTATCAAGGCAGTAATCTTTCCCATGATCCTTTATAACTGAAATATCAATCAGAACCTTGGTTAGTCAAATTATTCATTTGCTTCTAAAAATGTGGATCTATTCAAGAGACACTGGAGCACCTCCTTTTTAGGGGTCTTTATTCAGATTCCATGCAGGATTCTTTAGACTTATGAACTGGCAAAGGTTAAGGTAAAACTTTACTAATAACAATGAGTGTGGTAGCGTGGAATTAGGGGTGTTTAGATTATACAAGACCTGCAATAACATAAAAGTTACAATAAAAATCACAGCAGCAGTGTTTCCATCCCAGTGGCCAATTTCTGAGCATAGTCACTAGAGATGGTTTGCACGCAAACAGAATTGTCCTAAGGGACAGATCCCCAACAGGAAATAACACAGCACAAACAGTCCTGCCTAAATTCCCATAGTAACGGAGGATGGCTTCCATACACTCTGATCTACATACAGCTGCATTTCTTAGACTGTTTATTGCTAAGTGCTCAATATTACAATACTCTGTAAGATGCAACTGAGATTTTATGAATAAAATGAAAGTGATATCATGCTTTGCAGTGTTTTAGACACATACAGATCTTTTGTGTCAGATTATCTGCTGTACTGAAAAGGCAAATCAATCCTTAACTTCTGAGAACTTGTTTTGTAGAACATAAAGATGTTGAACTCCCTCCAACACTAACATGCTAACTAGCAAACGGTGCCTTCCTAGAGCTGCGAGGTGCTCTGATGAAAATCTTTGGATGGCTCCAGCCTCCTTAGAAAGCCCATCAGTTAAGTCGTATCTCTTACATTCTGTTTGCCTCACAATAAACTTCCCTGAGTCAAGGAGGAGCATCCAGAATCATTCTGTGGTCTTCTTTCTACTTCTAAGCATTGGAAGGAACCCTTAACAAATATTGTTGTGGTTTAAAAAATGGGGATGAGCACTTATACCTCCATAAATTGCAGATCGCATTTTCCCGCTTCCTTCTTCATTACGTTTTTCTCTGTTGGATTTACAGACTCTGGCCTGTAGCGGTTACAGTATATACCAGGTATAGATTGATGGCTACAGGGGAAAATGTAAGACAAAGGAAAATGAGCTCATCTGTCCTTCAGTGCACCTTCGGAGGGAGTGAATTAGATGACTCGGTTTTTACTGCACTGTGTTAGATGAAATAGCCCCTGATGCGGAAGGGAATGTCAACCTGAGATGTTTATGGTGTCTTGCACTGTCGTTGGTCTGCATTGTAACTTAACTTTCTGAAGACAGCAGCAGCACTGAAAGAAACACTTCTTAACACAAAATATGATTCTAAACACAGATTTTCAGCATTTCATTTAAACTGAGTAACAAAACAGGATGGACATCAAGGCCTCTCACCTGCACCTAATGGGGTCTGTACTGAGTTGTTTCTAACGTACCTTAGTTACTACCTACCTATGAATTCTCCAAAGATTTACCTTTATTACACTTCCCACCTTGCAGACTATAAAGGCTGCCCAGAAATTCCAGAATAGAGTTAAGACCTTCAAAAGGGCCCTCCAAAACGAATGTTCACCCTGCCAGCTCTAAAGTGAGAGCCTCTGCTCAGGCTTCCTGGAACTCATTGTGCTTGTTCTCACCTCGGCTCTCTTAGCTGCTGCTTCCTCCCAAAGTCCTTTTCCCATCCTCTCCTTCTATTTGAAATCGGCCCAGAATTATACACTCATTTTCCTACCAAGTAAAAAAAAAAAGGCCTAGAAAGGTTGTTTTACACTCACAAGACTAGTGATTGCGCCTTCTAGGATCCGACTTCTCATCAGCGATTCTTCTGCTAACTTAAACTCCTTCCTTAGCTCAGCACACGGAGCCTCTCTGGGCATCTGAGCCTCGTTATTCTAAGTGTGGTCTGGGCACAGCACATTGGCATCACCCGGGAGCTTGTTAGAAAGAATTTCAGGACCCTCACAGACATTACTGAGCTGGAATCTGCATTTTAAAAGCTTCCCAGGCGACCCACAGGTGCATGAAAGTTTGAGTCTCACTGCTCTAGAAGACTGCTGTCTACGAGCACCCACTCCCATGCCATCTGTGTTCCACAAAAGACTGGGTTCCAAGGCTCCAACCGGGAGGGTGGGCTTTTGTCGGGCATCCCAGTAAGTAGAAATAGAGGGAACCGTCCTGTCTAGGGAACCACAAGAGAAAAGAAACACGTGGATGAGTCTGTGTCAAAGTCCCTGAAAAGTACCAAGGACCCCAGAGAATCCCAAACGGTCAACAAGGCCAAAGGTCAGAGGAAGTTCACAGCAGGTCAGCCTTAGTTTGGACGGGGATGGAGCAGGAGTGACTGGGAGTCGTGGTCAGCAGAGTCACAGGGACAGCGGAGAAACTGGACCACGCTGAGTCCAGTCCACACCTGAGCGCACGGTGCTCGCCTCTTCTTTCTAACAGTAGTTCTCACACTTCAGCAGGGCTGCTTCAAACACAGATGGCTGAACTTCCAGGCTGGAGTTTCTCGTTCACTGGATCTGAGGTGGGGCTGAAGAATGTGCATTGTTTTATTTTGAGATGGTGTCTCACTCTGTGGCCCAGGCTGGAGTGCAGTGGTGCCATCTCAGCTCATTGCAACCTCCAGCTCCTGGGTTCAAGCAATTCCCTGCCTGGGCCTCCCAAGTAGCTGGGACTACAGGTCCCTGCCACCATGGCCAGACAATTTTTGTATTTTTAGTAGAGATGGGGTTTTACCATCTTGGCCAAGCTTGGCTTGAACTCCTGACCTCATGATATACCCACCTCAGCCTCCCAAAGTGCTTGGATTACAGGCATGAGCCACCGTGCCTGGCCAAGAATGTGCATTTTTAACAAGTTCCCAGGTGACTCTGTTGGTCTGGGGACTGCACTTGACAACCACTGGCTTAAAAGAACCATTCATGTTATCATTTGAAGAAGGATAAGACTTGTAGGACCACACGGGGAGGGCTGCATCCTTTGGGGTGTGTCATTGCAAGATGGCTTCGTCAATTCCGTTTCTTACGTGTGTGGTCTGCTTTGGCAACTTGACCACAAAGTCTCTGCAACTCGAGGTCATGGTGAACTGTTGGCTTGAGGGAAGGTTTTCTTCTTCTTGCTCCTGAAGGAGGAAAGGAAGACGCAGGACGCTGCTCATCGCAATGCTTCTGTTGCAGAGTGTACCAGCAAAATCAAGCCAAGGATTGTTGGAGGAACTGCATCTGTTCGTGGCGAGTGGCCGTGGCAGGTGACGCTGCACATCACCTCACCCACTCAGAGACACCTGTGTGGAGGCTCCATCATTGGAAACCAGTGGATTTTAACAGCTGCTCACTGTTTCTATGGGTCAGTACCATGCCTGTTTTTACCAGTTCATCATCTTCACATATTTATGAAAACTATTACTAGCATATTAGGAAATAAACACTTTAACCAATTAAATTGTCTTATTCGCAAAATTAATTCCTTCAGTGGAAAAAAGGCAGAAAGGAAGAGCCCTTCATGGTCTACCCGCTTCAGGACAGGTGCAGGTACCTGGCTGCTTCACTGCATGCGATTCTGCTTCCCATCTAAGCGTATCCGCACCACGAGGGGTCTTCATGTTCCCTGCAAGAGCATACCTTTTTCTGCGCCTCACTCTGTGCACTGCATATATATTGGCAGAAAATACTAGTAACACTTGCCCAGAACTGAACTCACAGAGAATTCACCATTCTCTGAATCAAATTTCTAGTGTGTGTGTGTGTGTGTGTGTGTGTGTTTAAATACAGAAAGAGGCCAGGCATGGTGGCTCATGCCTGTAATCCCAGCACTTTGGGCAGTTGAGGTGGGAGGATCCCTGGACGCCAGGAGTTTGAGGGCAGCCTAAGCAACATAGTGAGACTCTGTCTCTAAAAATATACAAAAACTAGATGGGCATGGTGAGGATCGCTGGAGCCCAAGAGTTCAATCCAGCCTGAGCAACAGAGGAAGGCCCTATCTCTAAGTAAATAAATAAAATACAGACGGAGTTCAGTATGCATCCTCAAATGGGGTTCCAAACTTACGTCCCTTTCAGCATTGGCCAACATAAAGGCTGCAGCTGGAAGGTCACATATTCCAGGGACGTGAAGTCAGACAGGCTTCCCGTTTGCTCCTTCCGTAACATCCGAGTTGTTTCCAGACACACTTTTGTGTGTTTTTTCTTATTAGGGTTTCGTTTTGTTTTGTTTTAAATCAATCTGCAGCACACTCATATTAAACTCAAGAACGCATGTGAGGTCAAGAGTCCCCTTTACCTGTCGCAGCATATGTGAATGGAGTACCAGAAAGGCTATGTGAGTTTCTCAGTGTCACAGCTAGTCACTGGCAACGTTGAGACGAAACCCAGTGGTTGTGTGTGTGTGTGTGTGTGTGTGTGTGTGTGTGTGTGAAATGAGTGCTCATTCATTTTGTGTGTATAATGTATTTTCTTTATAGGGTAAATTTTTTTTTAATCCTGGAAAATCTTAGGATAAAATCACTGTTGCCAACCTGAATGCCCATCGCTGGCAGAAAATACTGGTAATAAATAGTCACACACTTAAAAGTGTTTGGGTTGGTTTTAGTGAAGGAAATTTCTTTCCCTCTGCTGTTTACTCCTAGGGTAGAGTCGCCTAAGATTTTGCGTGTCTACAGTGGCATTTTAAATCAATCTGAAATAAAAGAGGATACATCTTTCTTTGGGGTTCAAGAGATAATAATACATGAGCAATATAAAATGGCAGAAAGTGGGTATGACATTGCCTTGTTGAAACTGGAAACAACAGTGAATTACACAGGTACGGAGACTTTTATTTGGAACGTTGTCTCCAACGGTGAACTGGATACAATGTTTACTAGACTCTTGACCCTGCCAATCTCTCTATGCATCATCATCATGAAAGGGAGAGGCCTGGGACACTGGTCATTCATTCTCTTAAGGCTGACACGCTTTCCTGGTTATTGAAACTTATTTGGGGACTGAGAGTGAAGAGATACGTTTTCTTCAGGCTTCTCCAGGTGCATAGAATGACATCATTTCACAATATGTCGGAAGAGTAAAGATAAGGTAGTCTAAAGATAATTCGGTAAAGATAATTTACGGCTGAAGGATGAAGGTCAGACAGAACAATTAAGCAACGTGTGCAGGATCAGAAACTGAGCTGGGTGGAGGAGTCTCTGGGGAGGGTGAGGCTTGTCTCTTGTCCTCTCACCCTGGCATGGGTGAGATACCATGTTGAACCTGAGGGAGGAGAATATGTGACAACAAGGCAAAAAAAAAAAGAATATAATATATGCATAAAATGCAAATGATGGGCAGTGAAAGAAGAGAGTCTCTTCTGGAAAAGAGGATGTATTTGGCTTCTGATATTTAAACCATGATTTTTTAAATTTAGATTTTCAACGACCCATATGCCTGCCTTCAAAAGGAGATAGACATGTAATATACACGGATTGCTGGGTGACTGGATGGGGGTACAGAAAATTAAGAGGTAAAAATCATGTTTTTATATGTGCTCAATCCTAAAAATAAAGAATGTAACCTTTTCTGCCCTGTCAAGTCATGTAGCTAAAGTGCAGGTCACATTATCCAACTGCAGGAAGAGGATGAATAGAGACGGAGAGGCAGAAATCACCAAGCGGAGCTGATGCCTCATCTGTTTGATTGGAAATTTTAAATATGACTAAAGCTCTTTAAAGACTAATTATATTTAATGAAGTTTGATGTGAAGCCCAGCACTTTTCAGGGAACGTTCTAGCCTGCAATCCAATTACCTTCTCTGGGAAGTCATTCCCGTTAGAGTCATAATTAATTTCTGAACTTAATTAACATTAACAAAATGGTACATGCAATAGTGGGAATAACATCTTCTTCATCCTTGTAATTATAAAAGATCTGTGAAATAAACCTAACATTTTTTCTTTCTAGATTTTTATATAGGCATGTTTTTTTTTTGAGATGTAGTCTCGCTCTGTCACCCAGGCTGGAGTGCAATGGCACGATCTCAGCTCACTGCAACCTCCACCTCCCGGGTTCAAGCAATTCTCCTGCCTCAGCCTCCCAAGTAGCTGTGACTACAGGCTTGTGCCATCACGCCGGCCATGATTTTTATTTTAAATATATGCAGCTGGGCATGGTGGCTCATACCTGTAATCCCAGCACTTTGCGAGGTAGATCACCTGCGTCAGGAGTTCAAGACCAGCCTGGCTAACATGCTGAAACCCTGTCTCTTCAGAAATACAAAAATTAGCCGGGCATGATGGCAGGTGCCTGTAATCCCAGCTCCTCGGGAGGCTGAGGTGGGAGAATTGCTTGAATCTGGGAGACAGAGGTTGCAGAGAGCCAAGATCACACCATTGCACTGCAGCCTAGGCGACAGAGTGAGACTCTGTTGCTCTCTCTCTCTCTAATATAAGTGTGTGTGTATATATGTTTATATATATTATAATATGGTTATTCCACAAACAAACCAAAAAAAATTTTTTTCAGACAAAATACAAAATACTCTCCAGAAAGCCAAGATACCCTTAGTGCCCAATGAGGAGTGCCAGAGGAGATACAGAGGGTATAAAATAACCCATAAGATGATCTGCGCGGGCTACTGGGAAGGAGGGAAGGACGCTTGCAAGGTAACAGAGTGCTCTCAGCCAATGGAACATTTGCAAATGGAAATGGTTAATGTATTTTAAAAAGCAGCCTTCTGCCAGTGAGCAGGGAACACAGTGTATTCGTTTGACTTAGACTGAAATCTAAAACGAGGAGACTGGATGAACGCAAGCACCCAGGCTCTTTGCAGTATATTAAAGGGCCAAGACAACATTTTAGGCAAAATCAGCCTGAGTAAGATATACGGAAGACAGGAAGCATCTGAGTTGATCTGTGTGTCTTTTCTTGTCTCTCCTTGTTCTAGGGAGATTCGGGCGGCCCCCTGTCCTGCAAACATGACGAGGTGTGGCACCTGGTAGGCATCACGAGCTGGGGCGAGGGCTGCGCTCAGAGGGAGCGGCCAGGCGTTTACACCAACGTGGTCGAGTACGTGGACTGGATTCTGGAGAAAACTCAAGCAGCGTGAACGTGTTCCCGGGGCCATTCGAGTCCATGGAGCACAGAGGATTTGCTGGGAGAGTGCGCTGATGTCGCTGAGGAAGACTGTGCCTGCCTGCTTCCTCCACAGTAACGCCCGGAAGGGGCTTCGTCTTAGTGGGAAAATGCCAAAAGAAAACCAGCAGTCACAAGCTGTTTCCCAAACCGCCGCTCTGCACTCATTGTAGCTTGTTTCAGCTTGCGGTCTCGTTTTTGATCGCCCTTCTATGGAGCCCGGGAATTACCCTAAGGCACTATTTTCAAAGATTAATATATATAGGGAGATGTATAAGAAAATAGACGAGCAGTGGCAGCCGGGACCGGACAGAAGAACTGATCAAAGAAGCCACCATGAAGATTTGGTCAATGGAAAATGAAAGTGGGAAGAAAGGAGAACAGAGACAGTCATCGTCATTTTGCAGAATCTACACTCTGCCTACGTGAACACCTGTCTTTTGTAAAGAAAGAATTTGATTGCATTTAATGGCAGATTTTCAGAATAGTCAGGAATTCTTGTCATTTCCGTTTTAAAATATATATATTTTTTAAAAATCCGTTTGGGTAGACACAAGAGTGAATGTGGAGACACCAGAATTTCTGTATGGAAGAGGATTATAAGCAGCAATTGACCTGGAAGTGGTGCCTTAGGACCGATCCTGAAGATACCCTTTCCTGAAAAATGATTTGTGATGGATTGTATATTTATTTAAAATATTTTGGGAGGGGGAGGCTGATGCAGATGCATGGTCAAGCTTCTCTAAGACAAGCTGCTACGGTGACTGTGGGCTCCCAAGGCTAGACCCTATGTTTATTGGACACAATTCCCCACAGACTGCATCCATACAACAGAGAAAAAACAATTTGGGACCAAATGGATGGTTACAGCCAGGTCTTCAGCAAGCAGCTCCCTGTATTCTAAGTACTGGATTTTATGTTTAGTGCAACTATTTATCTGATTATTGTCATGAGCTAGTGCAATAACCTCGAATTTGAACTGTCACCACATAGCTTTCAACCTGTGCCAACAATTCATCCAGTGTAAAAAAAAAATTTTTTTTTTGAGATGAAGTCTCATTCTGTTGCTTAAGATGGAGTGCAGTAGCATGATCTCAGCTCCCTGCAACCTCCACCTCCCAGGTTCAAGCGCTTCTCCTGCCTCAGCCTTCCAAGTAGCTGGGACTTCATTCAACCACCACCATGCCTGTTGAATTTTTCTGTTTTTAGTAGAGACAGGATTTCACTGTGTTGGCCAGGCTGGTCTTGAACTCCTGACCTTGTGATCTGCCCACCTCGGCCTCCCAAAGTGCTAGGATTACAGGTGTGAACCACTGCGCTGGCCATGAAAAATATTTATTGAACACAATTATGCAATAGCATCATGGTGAGCAAACAGGTATGTCCTAGTTTCATGAAGCTTATACTGTAGTTAACACGAGCAACAAAATAAAAATCATCACACAAAATCTATACGTTCAAGCTGAAATGAGCGGCTGCACCAGATTCCATGAGATGAGAAAGGAAGAAGGACATTTTTCACCAAGTTCAAAGACTGGGATACAAGAAAACTTGTCCTCAGGAAGAGAAAACAAAAGAAAAACCCGGAAGAGCAAAATGACGGTCGGGCGCGACGGGCGTATCAGATGCAAAACGCTGATGGCTTTGAACAGAACTGGAACGGAACGTCAGAGTGCCTTCGAGACAGGACTAGCTTATTAATGTTACCTTATTACATCGTAGACTGGAAGCAACGCTGGACACAAAAAAGGGCTGGGATGTAATTTTGGGTAAGAAGAGATCTTTCTGTAAAGTCTTTCCTGAGAAGCTTATTGAGACAAACATATATTTTTGATTTTAGTGTTTAACTTTGTAAAATGCCTTGATTTTTGAAGAGCTAGTATATGCCTATGATTCATTAATGGAAATACTATGAGATATAAAATGTACAATGAGAAGATCTCCTCTTCTGCGTAAGAGGAATGCACGTTCCACACATTGAGTAGCACCTCCTCACTTCCATTCTGTCTGGGCTCATTTCTGATTGACTGTCTGTGGATGTTTCTGATGGCTACAGAGAGAGCTTCCTGTATCTTGGGGTATTTCCGATGCGTACAGGAGGCCTCTGTCCACGAGGGAAGCCTGGTGTTTGCAGTGGGGATTCCACACTTCGTTTAACCAGTCCCCTTCCAGGACACTCGCGTTGTTTTCAATCTCTCCCTCTTCCACACATACACAGGAACATGTGTAGGATAAAGTCCAGATGTAGAATTGCTGCAGGCAAAACAGAATGAAAGCAGCAGATGCATCTGTCCTGTTGACTACTGCCAAATTCCTCTTCAGAAATTGGTAGCAATTTTGTCTCCCACTAGCAATGTAAGAGAGGGCCATGTCCCACCTACCATAATACGGCACTTAGGAGTTTTTGACAGTCTGATGGGTGAAAAAAGGTATCTCGCTGTAGTTTATTTTGCAATTCTCTTACTATGATAAATTAGTTAATTGGGTATATAAGATCACCAAATTATTCACCACTTCAGTTTTTACTGAAATACTAATTTGGCAGATATCACATAGACAAAAATGGAGCATGCTCCTTGCACTCATGGAAACATGGTAAGAATTCTTGCCACAGGAACAAATGTTCCAGAGCTTATGCTGTTCAGCCTCGGAGTGGCTCAGTGTCACGGACATTCCGGCTGTCCAGCCTTCTCCCTGTATGTTATGGATATAAATCTGGGGTGCAAGTGGCCTCATCTCCAGTTCCGGGGGTGGATTCTGATTCACACACATTTTCCTGATGGAATCACCCCCGCTGCCCTGGGAATCGGCTCCTGGCAGTCCAGGCCAAGGCAGTGGGCACCTGCCTTCACTCCCCACAGTGACAGGCTCACTCAGCAACCTGGGCAAAGGTTAAGAATGTGGACGTCCTGTCAGAGTCAATGCTTTCTCTTCCCCCTCCACATGAATGAGGAAGCGCTGGCCTTGGGGGTGGTGGCACTAATCATGAAAAGCTAACCAAGGCCACTGGGGCCTGGATAGAGTGTCTGAGGTTCGCCCCAGCTCTGGGCTTTCCTATTTCCCTGCAACGGCCCCTTTCACGTGCAAGCTGGCACGCAGTGGGTTTTCATGATCATCAGTGGAAACGTCCTGGGCTCCAGGACTCGGGCTACTGATCACAACCCCGATTCAACGAAATGAAATTGACATTCACTAGGCACGCGTTACCACACTATTCTATGGGACACAGTTTTGTTTTTTTCCAATTTTGAAAGTTGGAAATTTCCTGGAGTACTTTTGATCCTAAACCCTCAGAGAAAGGCTGTCTGGGAGTCCCTCCAGGGCTGCCCCACTTTCTGACATGAGCGGTGCTTGTGGCCGGCGGGCAGTGACGCCACGCTTGTGATGAACGCTGTGGTTCTCACCTGCGGTACCCGAGGCACCAGGAGGTAGCCATCGCGCTACGCTCTAAAGAGGGAAACTCAACTTTGGAATGAGGATCATACATTTAATAAAGGCTTCTGAAATCATAAATTGACACTATACATGACCCTCTTAGGGCCTTAGCTGCTGTCCTGCCTCATGAAAGCATCAGAGGAGGCGTCCCCCGTTTGGCTAAGGTTAGATGTCTGCATCTCAGCTGCTCAGGTCTCCTCCCTTCGTCCTTGCTTTGTTCTGTGAATTTCAACTTCCGTTACCAGGCTCCATCAGAATGGGTCTTTCCCTTTGCTCATGTGACAGGATTTTCAACATTCTGGCCGGCAATGTCCCAGAGCTCACATGTAGAGAATTTCCCGACAGCACAGAAGCTCCCACAGCAGTTAACGTGGGATCAGGGCAATCTTCTCTTTGAATGTCCTTTCCACAAGATGTCTGTGAGACAACCTGTCACCCAGGACGGCTTCCCTTTGTCCAGGCAGAGGTGGTGGCCACAGGATCACTGCTTCCCAGTGTGCACCGTGAGCCCACCCCAAGTCTCCGACCTGCTTCTCACGTGTTGTATACACGCGGATCATTCATCACGGCAGGTCAGGCTTCCTTTAGGAGAACATTGCTTCCTTTTCCAAGGCACTCCCACGAACCAGAATAACCATTTAGAGCAATTCTTCAAATAAGAATGTCCACGTGTGTGTGTGTGTGTGTGTGTGTGTGTGTGTGGTGTGTTGTGTTTGAGAGACAGAATGAAAATGAGAATGACCACGTGTGTGTGTGTGTGTGTGTGTGTGGTGTGTTGTGTTTGAGAGACAGAGAGAATGAAAATGAGAATGTCCACGTGTGTGTGTGTGTGTGTGTGTGTGTGTGTGTGTGTTTGTGGTGTGTTGTGTTTGAGAGACAGAGAGAATGAAAATGAGAATGACCACTTCTGATACCTGTAACACTCACGCCCTCCAGCTTCACTGCGTCTCGGGTCCCCAGGTCTCGTCATCTTTAGATGCTGTGTTACTTTCCTGTGGATTCTGTACATATCACCACAGCCCACCAGGGTGGCTGAGTAGCACAGATTTGTCCCCATGGCCCTGGAGGCTGTAATGCTGGAACCGCGGTGTTGGCAGGGGACCCTGCCTTGCTTCTTCCTCCATCCTCAGCTGCCTCCTTCTCCACTCGGCCCTCTCCCACATTTCTTCTCCCTTTCTCATAAGGAAACGAGTAATATTGGTTAAGAGCCCAAACTGCTGTATGCAGCATATTCTATATGTGGCACATAGTATACAGCTTACTGTCATTTCCCATTCAAGTCTAACTTTTAGAGAAGAGACTCTACTCTAAATGCCTCCCACAGCAACTGGCACAAGATAGTATTTAACCACCGAGTTCCCTCTCTGCTGCCCTTGGCACCAGGCTATTGATTGTCTTACAAATGTAACAGCGGACGCTAGACTCCCTGATGGAGAGAATTGTTTGCGTATGTGTTTGTCTTAGTTCGTCTGCCCAGACAGGTGTCAAAATTTATCTTATATGTATGGATGCAGCTTTTCTATTGCACCCAGCACTCCCCGGGAAACATGGGCGTGCTTTGTAACCACCAGTAACTTTCAAAGGACAATGCTGTGCACAGGTGGAAATTTTCACATCCTGTGATGACTGCGTGGATCCCTTCAATGCTCAGACACTGTCAGAACGGCAGTCAGAATGGCTCCCAGGAGCCTGGGTGGGAAGGCACCTTCACAAACAATGCAGACCAGAAAGCCTTTGTCATTCCGTGGAAAACACTATCAAACGCAGCACAGAAGTATGGGCTTGGGGTTTTTTGGTAAGTTTCTGCTGCCACCATTTGAAATAATTACCTGCACTATTAGAACTGGAAAGTAGTAAAGAAAAAATCAAGACAAAAAGTGACTTCCCCAGAAACAGTCATGTAATTGAGCAAATTAATATTTTATCATAGTGAGCCCTCACCTCAAAACAACCACCAAAAAAATAAAAATAGAAACCTCATATAAAGAGAGTTCTCTCGGCTAGCCCTGCAGATCAGAATAACATGACAAGTTCAAAGTTGCACTGGTCTCCAGTCAAATCTACTGCTTCGATTTCTGGCATTGACAAGTCCTAACCGTAGGAAGTGACAGGACCAGTGGAAGATGCTATTTGGTACGTCAATTGTTGGAGTCCATAAGCTGCTAGAGCCGAAAGAGACTTTAGCCATCATTCCACAGAAACGGAGCTCCAGGTGGGGATGTGACCCCTCCAAGCTCAGGCGGCCAGTTAGGGCGGACGCTGAGCCCAGAAAATGTGGGTCTTCTGAGCCTCAGTTCTTCAGGGGCCGGTTTAAATGTGAAGGGAGGTTGGGTAGCAGAGTTCGTGGAATAGCAGTTCTTCTGCCAGGCCTCTGTCTCTTTGCTGCTACTTACGTATGAGAAAGAATCATGTTTCTGAGATGCCACACTTATCGCTGAAAGGCACTTTTTGTTACTTTGTTGTGTTGCTGTCGGTCTGCGCTCGCTGCTGACAGTGAAGGGAGGCTGCCATCCTCAGAGCCAGGACCTGTGCTTCTCCTTCCTGCCTCCTCTGACCCAGCAGCTTCCAGCACAGCATCTAGGAATAGTGAGTGTGGACATATTACCAATTATGTGAATGTGAAGCCTAATTAACAAACCCACAGAAGGCATGATCTTAAGAACGTCACTTATGTCATTATCATTTAATTCTATCCAAAAAGAGTTAAAATGGACACTCTATAGTTAAGCGAACAGCCTGTTCGATGAATCACATTGACATAAAATGCAGTGGGTCCAACCAGCAGTGACTGGCATAGTTAATATCATCTTGATTAAGAAGAGTAAGGACTAAGTACTGGAATACAGATGAGACTGTCACCATCCTCACGTCTCTCGGGTCCTGCTGTGCGCTGTGCACCATGCAGTGGGCTGTCCTTCGCACCAGCACTGTGAAAGTAAGATATTATTATTATTCCCTTATAACCGTCCATGGGACTGTTTTCCAGGTGGAAAATAGACAAATACGCTAGTAATATTTTCAACCCAATTCTCCATTTCCCCACTAGGTGGCACTTTTATACCTCTCTGCTCCATTTTTGAATCCCAGCAGATGGGCAGAACCACTTAATTTATAGCATGTTTAAACAAATCCTATGTATATATAATATCTGGGAACATTAAATCAAACAAACTGCTTCCATTCAATTATGCTTTCCTTTTCAAATATAACTGCTGTAAATATCTGGTCCCTGGACGGCAGGTTCGCCCTTCCACCAGGTGCTCTGGGCCCAGCTCTGGGCCCTTGCTCCTGCACTGGCCGCCCAGCTTGAGCCCCAGGTCAGGGTCCACGGTGCCCGGGGCATGGCGTTCTGCTGGGCTCCGGGGTGCTTGGGCCCTCTGGGGCCTCCCCCGCACTGCTGCTGCCTTCCCCGCAGTGCCACCCCTGCTCACTTAGCTCTTTCACCTCTTTCCTCATGAACTGCGAACAGCATCTCCACTCTTGAGCCCACAATGCCTTAAGGCTGTGTTGTATTTTTCAAAGAAACAAATGTAAACATTTGAATACCGAAGCCTTAGTGATAACAAAAATAAATAAATCTACCCACTGCCCCCCACACACATCACAACACACACACAACACAAGCACATATAAAACATACATTCACACACATGAAACACACAGAACACAACATACACATACACACGTGAAACATGAACACAAAACACAACACATGAAACACGCACAAAACACACACACATGAAGCATGCACACAAAACACACACATATGCACATGAAACACACAATACATATATACACACGAAACACACAGAAAACACAACACACATACACATACATGAAACACACAAAACACAACACACATACATGAAACAAAAAACACATGAAACACACAGGAAACAGCACACACACGAAACACAAAATACAATGCACACATACACATGAAACACAAAACATGAAATACAGAAAATGCAACACACATACACACATGTGAAA